CTCCCACCAACCCCCCCCCCCCCCCCCCCGCCTTTTTTTTTTTGTGCTATTGTAAAGATTTTTTTTTAGAAGTACCAGAAGCCAGGGTGTCCCATCTGTGGTCTCTCACCCCCCCCCCCCCCTCCCCCTCTCCCCCTCTCACGGGTTCCGGGAAAGAGACGGTTTCAAGGCCGGAGAGCCGGAAGGACCATCTTTGTAGTCAAGGGACGTTGTCTTGCGTGTTCTGGAGAAAAGAAAAAACGCGTATTGCAGGGTGTCGCGCATGCGTACATAGCCCCAATGACTCGGCTTTTTTTTTTTTTTTTTTAGTTGTGGAGTTTGGATTTGTTGCCCCGAACTCAGCATGCGAGTATGCGTTGTCAAATCCGGCTTCCATACACCCACCTCACGCGAAAAGGAAAACATTGGGGAGTTTTCGCAGATCGTTTTCGCCGTCCCGCAAGGCCTTTCGCAACCCGCTACGATAGCGGGAACTCCACAGTCAAGGCTATCGGCGCGCAGGCGCAGTAGCAACTTATTCGTTGCGGAGCGCTCAGCGGAGGGGGCAGCGCGGTTTACGAAAACTTCCTATTATTTTTTAACCTAAAGACGGAATTCCCTTCCGGTTTAAGCAAGGAACTTTCTTTCAGCCTAATAGCCATTCCTTTTTTTCCCCGCTCCTTTTTTTTTTATAATTTGGGTGGTCACGGGAGTGCTCTAAGCGTCTCCCCGCCCGCATTCTTCCACTTGTTGACTTCAGACCTCTTGCACCTTACTTGACGGCTTTTCCTCCTTCCTCTCTGACCTCATGACGTCACATCTGTCATGTGTTACCTCCACGTTTTGGATATACGTTGTATACATATTTTGATCTATCATCTCCTCTTTTAGTATACCTGAAGAAGACCGTTTGGTCGAAACGTCGTTCCGCTCCTTCCCTCTGGCACATCTCCTTCCTTCCATATCCCTGGCGCTACAGTATTCAATATGGCGCTAACCGCGATGCCATGAAGCCGACGCTAAGAGCAGATGGAAGCAATCATGGAACATGAATCGTGGTGTTCGTTCTGTGTCTGTACGTGCTCCATCACGGCTGAATCAATCATAAACTGAAAAGGACCAGTAGCAATGGACCTTTTGTAGAAACATCGGTTCGAGAGTAAATCGTTCCAGTACTCTCTCCCTCTTCCTTCTGGCCGAGCAGAGAGGGAAGATAATTTCGTTGTATCAAACTTCGGGGCGGAAGATCACGCACGATGGGGACAAATGCGAGTTTGGGAGAGCCGTATCTATACTTCGTTTCATTTTATCTGCGAGCGAAGCCAAAGCTAGAAGCGCGAGACCAGCGCTTTTTGCGTTTCTCCCCAGCTCGCGCGCTCGAGCAAAGCCTGAAGGCACGGAGCTCTCGTGCTCGCGCTTCCAGCTTTGCCTTCGCTCGCACATAAGGTGAAACGAAGTATAGGGTCACAGCGCCTCAATGGGTGAACAGGATGTAGCTGACGTTTTGGGTGTGGAACGGGTGGGAGAGGCCTTGCGCGCACGTTGTTTTCTCGCCACTTAGCCTCGAACCCAGTCGCGTGTCTAGGTGGCAGCACATATTCGCCAAGAGGTCCATTGATTGTCCCGTGTGCTTCTTCGTCTTTTTGTCTCGTCTCTTTTGCGCTATTTTTAATATGAATGTCCACTACCAACTTGCCCAGCAGACCAAGCTTTTACAGTCCATTGCGCTCTTAAGGCTGCTTGATCGGTTCCATTAGCTCCTAGCGTCGGCTGCGTTCCGTACACGATGAAGAATGCGGCTCTTGAAGCAGGCATTGAAGACGTACCCGCACAAACAACCCTGCTACTTTTCAGCTTTCCCAAAGGACTTTGGAAGGCGACAACTTCAGTGACCTTGAACCAGAGCGACCGGCCTTGAACACAAGTGGAAGGGAGGGGCCCGGGGGCACCAGCTCATAACGTTTGTCGTCCAGTTTTGCCACGGTCGAAACCGCAACAGCGATCGCAGAGACGCTTGACAACACAATGTTTGGTATTCACAAAGTTTCAGTTTCAGGTCGGCATCGTTTCGACATCAAACCCCACAGACTCAGCTGACTCAGCTCCCAAAGGCCTTCGGCCTTTCTACTCTTCTCCCGACTGTCCTGAACTAAATAAATGAAATGAATAGCAACACGAATAGCCTCAGGAAAGGGTTAGCATTTCTTTTCGTCGTGGGGTGTTTCAATGTTATTTAATTTGTATAATCTTTTTTTTTTTTTTTTTGAGGTGGGCGGACAGACGTGTTCGCGGGCACCGAGATGATCTAATTTTACATCACAAAATGTAGAAAACCGTAAAAAACAAAAACTACAAAAAAAAATCTGGCAGCGGTGGGATTCGAACCCACGCCTCCGAAGAGACTGGTGCCTTAAACCAGCGCCTTAGACCGCTCGGCCACGCTACCGGTAAATTTCTGACGAAATAAAGGAGTTACTTTAATCATACACAATGTTTTTTTTGTTTTTTTTTTGTGTTTTTGTAAATTTCTTTTATTAACAAGTTTTGTAAGTGTTGAGATTCCACAGTGATCTGTAAGACACCACAACCTCTTAGTGCAACCTACAATAATATCATTACAGTTTTAGAGTGACGAAAACATTTCGACGACTAACTAACATGTTATCGGATTCATCGGATTCTGCTAGCATTAGTTTTCATGTTCAAAGGGAAATACCGTCGACAGCGTCAACAAGATGGTTTATATTGCACCAATAAAGTTAGCTAAGTCCAATCAACCGTCTTGCATACCTCTATTTGTGATTTAATCAATTACTGCTGATAATACGGCTCACTGACCGGGTCGTACCTATCAACGGCAGTGCGTGTGAATAGACGTACTGGCCAGCCTGAGCCACTGCATGCCAGGACTGTAAGACATGGCCTGTCCGCGATCCCTGCAGGCGTAGGTGAGCTTCTCTCTGTCCCGCTGAGGGAGCGCAAGCCTCTTCCGCGGGGCAGGGAGGAGTCCCATGAGCTATGCAAACGATACGGCCAGCATCTGTTCACAAGTTGATGGCCCGTAAGAGGTTCGCCCAAGGGTCTTCGCGCGTGCTCCGTGTCACCCTGGGGCGGGGCGTGGCGGGGGCCGCGGTTGCGGGCTCGGCTGCGCGGGGTGCACCGCACACAGCGGTGCGCTCGCGTGTTTGTGCTTGTAGCTGGGACCTCCGCCGTGGTCTGCGTGGGGGTGGGGTGGGGCACAGCGAGGTTTCATATCTTCCCCTCTGGGTTATGATTATTCGTTGTTTTTATACATGTATATATGTTATCTTGTACTTACGACTACTGTTTATGTTTACACCTACTCAGCGGCGGGCTAGCAGGCGCACATGCGTAAGGGTACAAACCTTTCTGTCTAGCCTTGCACGCCGCTGAGTGGGCAAACTTTCTCGTGCAAATAAAAATTATTATTATTATTATTATTATCAATGAATTAGGTTGTCAAGCTAATTCGTTGAAATAAACTCATCTGAAATCTATTTGATATCATAAATAGAGGTACGCAAGATGGTGATTGCACTTTGCTAACTCTATTTGTCCAAAATAAACTATGCTGTTTAAGCTGCGACGGTATTTTCTTTATGATGAGCATCACTAAAGTTTCACTTCTGAAAAATCGCTAATTGAAAACGAGCGTGTTGGCGAATGGATACGAATACATGTAACAATATTACGGCATAACATCGAAGACTGGACGGAACTTCCAATCTCCTTGATATTATACAAATTTAAGCTTTAGAGATAATAATCACTTAACATTACGAAACGAAGAGTTAGTAGATAATTAGCATCATGAATAGGGAACATAGTAGCCAAATGCTGATCAGACCTTGCAAAGAACGCTCGGTCAAAAGCGCTCCCGCGTGGCCTGTAATTCACCTGGAATCATACGCCACATGTCATCATTTAGCAATAAGGCTAATTAGCACCCTATTGATGACAAGGTATCCGTCTTTCGAAAAAGTATGGACTATGGAGACGGGACCGATCAAGTGTACGCTGACTCGTATCACAATTTTTCGGTTCTAGCTCTGAACAAACGTCTACACTCTTATATGATTTATTAGTGTAAGCACAATTCATGCAATAGCCATATCTCTTTTAATAAAATAGAAAAATATATTTCTACTCTAGCCGCTTTGCTCGTAAAATAGGGTCAACACGTCGTACCAGCCGAGTATCTCGATGGCTCGACGGCGCCGGCGGGGCGACTGGCAACCAGCGACCTTGAGATTTACATCATCAACGTGCAGAGAATAGAGATATCGGACTCGTTGATAGAGGGCATACGTAGACGCCAGCAGAAAGAGCCAGTGTTTACACAATTTGTTTCACTTTCTTGCTACTTCGTGCACTTCCATTTATCTCTTCAGTTATTCACCGAAAATAGGCCGATAACGGCGCCAAACTGGCCAAGCCAACAACAGCTAGTCTTTTCTTTCAACATTTAATTCCAGTGCAGCCTTTTTTCGGTCTGGGGCTTCGATCAAAATAAAACCAACCAATCCTTGTTTCTTTGCCGTGGTTACTCGCTGTTCTTTTCGTTCGGAGGACAGGCACTTGGACTATGAAATTAGTTACCGACAGTGACAATGGCACTCGAAAATATACGAGTACTAAATTAGCAACATTTCACGCTCAAGTTTGCATAAACTAGACACACCTAGCGCTTAAGGTCATTGGCGCGAAACGGTAAAAAGTTTATTTAGATACATTCGTTATTTGTCTCGTAAAACAAACACTCGGCATCCCGTTACCCACCTAAAACCACCACTACCGTTTGAAGAAACTGGCACCAACCAACCACTATCCCATAGCGCACAAGTATTCATCCGCTCATAATAAAATTGAAAACAAAAAAAAATAATACTTATTCAACAAACTTACAAAAAAAAATAGTTGTCACGATTGTATAAACTTTTGATAGTCTTTATAAACATTTTAATGTAAAAAAGTTGACCTTAATTGAGACCTGTTTCTTTAGAGCGCATTGACACAACGTGCGAAGGCTGTCCATCTCGAGCGCCATCTTCAGGAACCACGTGATTGACAAGCGTCTTCGTTCACTTCGCGCAGTTGGTTCGGTTGGTGTCGGAGTGGCAGCGGGGGAAACGAAGGCTGCCTAAACAGGTAATATTCCTTCAAACTTCATTCCTAAATGCCGTTGCATAGCTCCACCTTACAGTACGAGCTCGTGCAAGCATCCTTGCGTTCAAGAGTTTTGCAGGTGCCCTGGGTCGTGGTGCTAGAACCGCGAACCAAGAGAATGGGTCCGAACCGCTAAGCCTTTGTCACGTTCAAGATTTCGCCTTTTAGGTCGGCTTTCGGAACGCTTGAGAGGGAACCTTTTCGCGTCTCCAGCTTTCTTTTGAGTTGCGAAAAAAAGGGCTGGTTCATATCGCCGACTTCGCGAACATTGTTTTTCGCCGAAAATAAGTTCATGTTCGAAGCAACACGTGGTTTCGAAATGGTGGGAACAGAAAAAATGACAGCACCATTAGCTGTCACAACACACTTCGAATGCACAAAGTAGCGTTCGCGGCCCTCTTTCCTTTGTTGTTCGCGCGTTCGCCGACTCTGTCGGACTCCTTTTCTCGGCTTGCGGACGCTGTTTTTGACAAGCGTCGTGAACGTAAAGTTGCTTTGTTACGGGGGGTTCTTGCCGGACTGACTTGTAGCAAAGAACAGACTACGTATTCCAAAGTATGCAAAGTTAGCTATCGCTGCATGTCGTTTTCGAACGCCTAATTCGTATGCCGCGTAAGCGCCACCGTTTTTTTTTTTTTTTAATTTTTATTTTGATTTGATTTGAAATAAATATAGAGAAAGTGCCGCGTTGTAAATCTTGTTTTTTTTTCTTCCAGATTCGAACAACATGGCTGAAGCAGCCGGCTTCACAGCAGGTGGATTTGGGTGAGCTTATTTCAGACTCGCAATGTTAAGTTTCTAACTCTTGAGCTACTAATATTCGCATTATCTCGTTCTTTCTTTTTTTTGGTTTTAGGGTTAGGTTATCAGTACGCAAGGATTGCGGTCCGACACCCGATATTCGGACTGCTTAGCAGACGGGAAATAACTGTTTTTTTTTTTTTTATGTCAACTTTTGCATTGTTGTTTTGCATCCTGGCCGCAGTTTTTTTTTTTTTTATCTCCTCCCTCTTTATCGAATTTTTATCTTTCTCGGCTCCTGAATGCCGGCGGATGTAAGCAGCCTAAGAAATAGTTTGCGTCAAACGTCCTCCGTGTATTAAACACTGACGAATTCGGCGTCTCGCGTCATCGTAATTGAAGAAGCTTCCAAGAACTTTTCCGATGTTCAGCTTCTGGGAATTGTCCGAACGAAAAGTTGGGGTACAACTAATTCCGATATTTCAGGAACAAACTTTTTATCGCGCCTAGGCTGCTATGTGAGTGTCTTGTGTTACTGGATTTGAGATTTGAATTTTCCAACTGGTGTTGCAGCCTTTTGCGCTAGTGTTTTTTTTTTTTTTTTTTTTATTCTTTAGCCAGTGTTTTTTAAGTTGTGCTTGTTCAAAGATGTTCCCATCTATTTTTGCAATCAAGGTAGCTTGTGTCACTTGTTACATGACTTGCTTGTGACGTCATTCGCGGCCATGCCAGTATTTTGTGCTCCACAAGTGTTCGGTTTGCTGTGTTATTTGCACGCTGCAGAAGTTGCAGTAAGTAGAAATAACCGTATGTGCCCAGCAATGGCATCAATATATCTATATATATTTTTTTTTTTTTTTTTTGAGACCTAGAAGTCTTGACCTGGTTTTATAACACACAGAATAGTAGAAATCTGGTCTCAGAAACAAAAAATTGTCTTTTTGTATTTGTTTTTGAAATGTTGATTGCAAGCAACATTAACCATTTGCAATACCATTTTACACCCAATGAGTGAGAGCAGTTCAACCTGGGAAAAGGCACAGGTGAACTTCACATTGCACACACTTGCGACTAGGTTTGCCATATTAGCGCTAGTTTTTCTTCTCAGTTTGAACATCGGTCGTGCATGCCATCATAGCTCCAATCCAGTCAGCTTTCGGTTTAAAGGAAAGGTGATGCGTTTTGACGGTGCAATTCAATTCTTCGCCGTTAATTGCAAGAATCCTCGCCCTTGCGACCGGGGGTGCAAAATTTATTGAGGCGGGCGTGGCGTAGGAGAAATTATATTGTTCTTGAGTTGTTGCTCCTGAGCAATACTGGGCATCAAAGGGTTAATTCGTTCCACCGTTGGTGTTGTAATTAGTGTCACCTTGCCATGGATTAACCACAAAGGCTGCAAGAACATGCAACTCGTGCTAGGCAGTGCCTCAGCTACATGGCCAAGCTGTGGGGTTCTTTGCCTTTGGCGACCAGATTGTAGTATGGCCTATTACTCGATCACCATGTTGTGCTTCGGAGGTACAGGAAGTAGCGAGCTCTCGAGTTTATCCAAGCTGAGCCTGACCTTGAGCCTATCCACCATAGTAGCTGATGCAGAGAATGGCAGGGCTTGTCTTTAGATTGTCCGGCCTTAAGCACCCATTACCTTTGTGGTGCGAAATACCGAAGCTTTTCGTCGCCCTAAGCTGACGGCAAGGGGAAGCATTGGGGGCTGCCTCGAGGTGAAGAAACTTTGTCTCGGTTAGCTGGCAGTTAACGGTGGTTGGCGGACCTTTGGCAGAGATTTTGCCTAGCCTGTTGGTGCGGCATGTTGAATCAAATGTCAGACTAAAGGAAACTATGCTGACGCTTACCCCGAGTCAAAAGGTTGAAGCATACTGAGCTTCAACCCTTTGTCTGTCCTGTCTCGAGCTCCGAGAGAGGCCATGATCGCGCAGGCACTTCTTTTGCTTTCGCGCTTCGCTGGGAACCGCTACTGGGTCTTCAACCTCGGTACTTCCCGATATGCATGTTTTCATATTTCTTGTTGATGCGTACACTCCAATCGCATTCTCACGAAGAGCAATAAAGTCTTTTTGCACTTGCTTGTTTAATGTAAAAAAGGAAGACTCATTGGATCACATTTTATCATATTGAAGCAGCATCTAGTGTCCCATACCTTTTCTTCTTTGTGGGGCAGCTTTTGCATAATGTGGCTGTTTTGTGAAATAGCTGAGGATTTGCTTGAAGGCTAGTTTCCTGGCCAGCAAGTATTTTCGCCATTTTAATTTGCAAGACTCACAATCTTCTAGATGTGCTCTGCTTTGATTTCATGCCTGTAGCCTTTTGGCTTGCTGCACACTGTAGTAAAGCATAGCTGAATTCTTTCCTATAGACCTTCTCTCCAGCATGCACTCTGCTAAAGTGGGAAGGGGTGGGAGGAGCTCTCGCTTTATTCGTCTGATCGCCGAATATCTGTCCAAATGTCCAGCTAAAAATATGGAATCTACTGTGGCTTCAGTAAAGAAAACGTGAAGCACTTTTCAATAACTCTGGGTTAGGAGCAAACTTCCATAGCTTCTGTCCCGTGAATTAAGTTAACGCGCTTAAGAGTGCCAAATGTAAATATAAACTGTATTTATTTTGAGCAATGTGCAGCGATTGTTGCAGGGCAAGGGGGATGCTCCCCACTGCCCGTTATCTGTCCAAAGCGTTGCGAAGTCTTTGTCGGCATACCAGAGCCAGCTTAGTCGTGAGCGAGGCTCCTGACCCTGCTGATAACATCACTTTTGCTAGTCTTTCTCTCCGCTCTCCTGCCGGCGTACCTGGACGGGCGGGGTAATGTCAAAATTTTAATTGGCGATTACAATGCTCCTACTTAATAGGATAAAAAGGAAAATAAAAACTACGCATAATTTTTAAGGTGACTGCACCGCATTACAACTTGTGCGTTTCCACTTTGTTGGGGATACCTTGTAGAAGCACAGTAGGTTCCTTGGGTCTATATAATGTGTTTTATTGACAACGTGCAGCGCATTTGTCAATAAAACACATTATCTAGACTCGAGGAACCTACTGACATGGTGACGCTTCACGGCCTGCGTGAGCTAGCCCTAAGGATGCTGCGAAATGCGTGGTTCCCAGAAACTTTTACATTATTGTTCAGTTAAGGACCTTTCCAGTTTCCCTTTATTGGAAGAGGGGGGTGGATGTCGTTGACATGGCAGCAAAAACATTTAAAGCTTCCTGGTGTTTAAGGCTTCTTTGCGTTTTGCCCCTAGGTTGGGACGTGGACGCGGACTTAAGCCTGCCGTTACTGGTGCTTCTGTTCCAGCTGTAGGAGGCTTCGGTGAGACTCGTTGGCTGTTCACCTCTGCAACACTGTGTTCTGTAGTGTTTTTTTTTTTTTTCTTTACTTTTAGGACGTCTGCCTGGCACAAACTCCGTCGTCTAATTTTCTTTCCTTGTTTCCAGGAGGAGCCAATAACGGGTGGAATGGCAACGCAAATTCTGGGTAAGGTTCCTCTTTCTGCTTTAAGAAAAGCCCTCGTGCTCCAACCTTTGCGTCCAGGCATCTGCTTGCGCGGTGTTGGGCGACCCCTCGGCAGTTGCCATATAGTAGTGCAACGTTTATCATTTTGCAAACAAATTTAGGTGATCTGTCCCTAAATGCCGAGTTTCCTTGTGACTTTGTTTGGTGACAGTCGCTTTTTCTTGTTTGCTCTCTTGACTAGCCACTGATCTCTATGACAATTGCTGGATCGCGTTTGCCCGCTCCGCGAATGCGGTCACTGGCGGCCATCTTTAGGTAGAGTTATATCACCTCTAGCCAATGTAAGCTGCTGCAGCCGCTATCATCCATCCATGGCAGATAGCGTTTTGGCAGGTGGGTTGGCAGGCTGCGGTCAAAATAGCGTGTGTGATATTGCGTGCTTGATTAAAATTATTTGACGAAACATGTTTTTGAAACCCGGCGTGAACAGTAGTCCGGTTTTTGAGGACCCGGTGAAAGTTTCACAAAATCGCAGCACCGGGAAAAACGCAGCACAGCACGTATCGAAAGTCGCATCGAAAGCAGACGACGGTACGGAGTCTCCTTTTGATGCGAGCTGCGCTACTTTCCCCCGGTGCTGCGCTTTCGTAGAACTTCTGCCGGGTCCTCAAAGATGAGGCTACCGTTCACGCCGGGTTTTAAGAATCTGCTTCGTCGAACAACTTCAATCAAGCACGAAATGTCACCCACGGTACAGTGTACTAGATCTACGGCTATTTTATGGCAGCCTGCCGCCATTGCGCTGTCCGCCATATTACTATGATGGCTAGAGATGATATAACTCTACCTAAAGATGGCCGCCAGTGACCGCATTCTGGTCCATAGGAGGAGCTGGTCAAACGCGATCCAGCAAATAGACATAGAGATCAGTGTGACTAGCTGTTAGCATCTGGCGTCATGTTTCTTGGCCTTTACAGAGTTGTCTAATATGATGCCTGTAAGTTAGTCACTAAGGAAGCAAGCGAGGGGGGGGGGGGGGGGGTCTAGGTCTATACTCCGCGACAACTTTTCTTGGCAATGCAGTGGAAGGTACAGGCCTGCGTCCCCTCTCCCATTTTGAGTACGCAGGCTCTCCTCCTCCCCCATTTCCGGGGAGAGGGAAAGAGGCTGCGCACACTCAAAATGGGAGAGGGGACGCGGGCCTGTACCTTCCACTGCATTGCCAAGAAAAGTTGTTGCCGAGTATAGTATGGAAACTAAAAAGATGCAGGATTGATGAGACCTGTAGAATTAAACTTTCTCGAGGCATTTGAGGTTTTTCGTGTTACCGGGAGCTGCTGGGTTTTTTCCAATGGTCGTTTGCCACCTTCTTATTTACCCATTAAGTATGCTGAGTATCCAATCTTTTGCGTGGTCTGGTGGCAGAGTCTGACTTGGAACTTTCGGCATTTCCAGCTGGGAGAACGGTGGTTCTGCCAAGCCGCAAGCGGCGTCTTCTGGTTGGGGCGCTTCGAACGGCGCAACCGAAACGTCTTCTGGATGGAACGGCGGTGCAACAAATGCCAACAACAACCATGTTCCTGCGGCGGCAACGACTCGCGAGGACGATCCTTGGCAGGAGGACACCTCCAACGACACTTCTTCGGGGTGGCAGGCAGAGCGCTCGACCTACGGTGGCGGGGGAGGACGCTCTGGTGGAGGCGGCGGAGGAAGCAGAGGTACGTTTTACGTCCCGACAAGGTCCGATCGCTCTTGGTTGGGAGGAATGGTATGCTTAGAGGCCCAAAGTCGCGACATGTTTTGATGGCAGACGAAAAATGTGATTCGTTGTCGTTTCGTTCGTTGGCAGTCAGTCATATTTTAGAACTATTTACACGTACTACTTGCCGCCATTTAGCCACCAAGGCACGAGTCGTACGGAACTAAAATGTGCAGACTGAAATTTAAAAAAAGAAATGTACTAATAAGACAAGCAGCAATAAACTGTCAAGAATTAACTTGGAAGGTCAACCTGAAGCACCGTAAAGTTCTTGAATGGATGAGGCAGTTGTAATGACAGTGGGAAGACAGTTTCATTTGTTAGTGGTAGACCTGAAGAATAGTTTGAACACTGTTGGATGAGATAGGTGTAAGAGCAGGGGTACACAACTGAAAAAATTGGGCAGGCCAAAATTGTGTTTATTAAAAACTGGTCGGGGCCGCACGTAGTGCCATGTGTTGCACGTTTTGGCTGCGGTTAGGCTTCCGATATTGGGTGTCATTAAACTTGTTGCTGTCTTCAGCACGTCTTGCAATGTCATGGCAGTTCGAAGGCGGTTCTTCTTGAGTCGTCAGCGAAAAGGTCTGCTCACAAACATAGCTGCTCTCAAAAAGTGACTGCAGTTTCCAGGCGTGGTCCACCAGGGTTTCTGTACTTGTTCTTGTCCAGGTTTTTGTACAACTCTTGCAGCTGATATTCGCGATGCAGTCTTCAGTGCTGGTGAACGCTGGAGAGTGATGAGCTCCAGTCGCATCGGAGGTCTCTGAGAATCTGACAATTCAACTCTAACTAACCCAAGAGGAAGGGAAAGGGTTGACGCCTGCGTCGTGAAAAAAGAGAGGGAGAGCAAGAAGTTTTTGCTTTCTGTGTGCGGGTATTTGATACAGCCACACTATGGACAGGGACATTTTGAACCCTGGAAAGTGGTGACGAGGAGGACAAACAGGACACAGATCTCCAAACGCAGCTAAAATTTATTTCAGGCTCCACAACCTTTTATAGGTACGTACAGAAAGAAGGAATTTGAAAGACTAAGAGGCAACATGTAGGCCCGGACACACAAAGCAGAACAACCTTGAACTGGAGTGACAGTCGAACAATTAGAACAGATTCATACTTAGAACCTGGCAACAAACCAACCACAACAAAAATTTAAAAAAAAAATTGGAAGTTTTTAGGGAGAAAATTTACACAATGGACAAAGGCAGGTGACCTTGAAAAACATAAGTGACCAGACAAATGACAAAAAAAAAAAAAAAAAGGCAGCTGCACATGTTGTTTTATTCTTGTCAGTGGGATTAGTGGAGAAACTGAGAAATTATTATTCCTTCGCCAAAGATTGAGAAAAGTTGATCGGAAGGTATCCCTGCTGCTTGCCAAGCAGAGTGGTGGATTGAATGCCATAGTAAGCAACCCTCTGCATGAGCCAAGCTGCTAAAAAAGTGTGTGCAGGCCGCGTGTTGTGCACCCCTGCGTAAGAGTGTAGTGAGCTTGTCAGACATCCCTATAGTGTCATTGGGGGATGGTGGGGGAGTATGCCCCACCACCTACCTGTGTATGGTGTGTAGATGTTACTGATGACCTCTAGCTCCAATGCTGCTTGCATTCCTTTCAGGAGAGTTATTCGTCGTACGGTGTGAGAGTTACGTACCACAGAGGTATTTTCCTGTGGGTTCAGCTGTGCAGTAAAATCTTGGCAGAACTTTTACTTGTGTGGAAAGCATTTATGTATGCTGCAGTAGTCATTAGCTGGAACCTTGTTGGGATGTACAATGAATTGGGTCATTGCGTGGTAATTCACAATTGAGCAGCCAGATGTCTTGCTGTCCTTTCCCTATGCATCGCGTAACTAAGCTTTCGGTTGGGTTTTATGTAGTTCAAATACATGGCCTAAATTGCTGCTCAGACGTCTGCTGTGTCAGATGCACCTCTTGTTGGTTTGGCATTGAAATCTCCAAAATCTTTATTTAGTGCATTGTGCTACATCTGTCCAATATGTCGCCAGAACTTAGAGCCACAGTCTTCAATTGGTAGCAGACGCAAACCCTGGTGCCAGAAATCATAGATAGCTATAATTTAGGTGTGCAATGTCTTTATTTAGTGCATTGTGCCACGACTGTCCAATTTGTCGCCAGAACTTAGAGCCACAGTCTTCACTTGGTAGCAGACGCGAACCTTGGTGCCACAAATCATATAGCTATAATTTAGGTGTGCAATGTCTTTATTTAGTGCATTGTTCCACGACTGTCCAATATGTCGCCAGAACTTAGAGCCACAGTCTTCAATTGGTAGCAGACGCGAACCTTGGTGCCACAAATCATAGATAGCTATAATTTAGGTGTGCAATGTCTTTATTTAGTGCATTGTGCCACGACTGTCCAATATGTCGCCAGAACTTAGAGCCACAGTCTTCAATTGGTAGCAGACGCGAACCTTGGTGCCACAAATCATAGGTAGCTATAATTTCGGTGTGCAATGTGAGGGTGGATTCCGCATGGGGTTGCTATTGGGCGAAGCTGCAAGCCTACATCTACAAACTGTGTTGTCAAGTAACTGGGCTGCTGCTGCTATATCTATCGTGGGTTCTTTGCAATTCCAAACAAAATAATTGGGAAAACTTAAGCATCTCGAACATTCTCTAGGTAGACCCGGCCTAGAGTATTTTAACACTCCCGTACACTGTCCGCCAATTCCGTGCCAGCCCGGTCCGGTCGTTCCGGGGACCGAGGACGGGGGCAGAAGTCTGCGCCAAGCAGCGGTCGGAAAACAAACAGAGGTGAAGGATCGGATGTTGAACCCCTAGCTGCCTGGGTAGTTCTCCCGTAGAACCCCCGCATTCCCTTTATTTTGCACTCTAGGTGAACCTGCATTCTCCTCTAGGTGATCTAGACAGCTCGTTTTGACCCACCTCGTCCAATTATTTTTGCTTCTGTGCATGGTTCTTTGATTCAAACATGGTGTAGTCGCCGACACGACAACGGCGGGAAAATCGTTAAGTTGTCCTGCCTCCTGCGCGAGTTTCTGGCGCGAACAACACGCAAGGTTGGAGCGCAGGCGCAGCCACTGCGCGGCAGAGGACAACGGCCATGCGCCAGAGGCATCCTAAAGGGACACTGCTGTTCCCACTGTCGGCAACTACAGTATGCAATACAGAAATGGCCAGGAGTTGCTCCGCCGAATCGAATGCACTATGTGAGGGACAATTTCGGGGCCACTCTGTGGATTTGATTGCCTTTGTAATTTTGTAGCAGCACAGTACTGGTACCGTATTTACTCGAGTAATAGCCACACTATTGGCCTCGAGATCGACCTAGAGGTGGCGCTACGGTCGCACTATCATCATCATCAAAGGGGGGATAGGAGCCTTATAGGCTCTCCAAGTTCGCGCGCGAGACGGCGTGTATTGTTGTGTTTATTTTGTCGCGTACTATCGGTGGGAAAACGATTCTAGCGGAAAAAGATGCGGTACTGTTCGGTGCTTCAGGGAAGATTGAATCGTGTTGCAGGCATGCTGCCTAAATTTATATAATCGCTTCCGTGGGTGCGTCGTCTGCTGTAGGCAGACGTTGGAAAGCGTGGATCACCACGACTGAGGCCTGTCTCCGGCTGAACTGGAATATTTATGTTCAATATTTTTTTTTTTTTAATGGATGTATTGGCTTATCAACGTGGCAATTAAAACAAAATAAATTCCAACCCAGATAACAGAATACTGGTACTGTGGGCTGTGAAATCGCTGCTTCTATGCTTTTTTTTTTTAACTTCTAGCTTTTGCAGTAATATAAATATTTAGAATGAAGAGAAGTTAGCGCTGTATTGGAAATTGCCATGCTGTTGAGTTCCTCTGCCCTTTTACTGTGCCATAGTGTGGGTAAGTTTCGTGGAGTCTGAACAATCAACTGCATTGCGATGAGGAGAGAGTGTCTCTTCTAGTTAAGATCTGCAAACAGCACGGTTGGCAGGACAATTGAATCAAGTGAAACAAACTGTTCTAATATATCTGCCGTGACTGTAATAAACGGGTGTGACCGAGCAACGCAGCAATGTTACTGTTATTAAATGCTTTTCTCGGTAGTGTGGGTTCACCCGCTTCAATTTTGGCGAGGGCCGCAAATGTCAAGAGGCTAATACTATGAATTTCTGGCTAAATAATCGTATTCAAACACAGTAGGCTGCAACCCTAACAAACGACGTGCCCCAGGACACAGACAGCATCGGCCGCAGTGATGCTCTTTTACTGATAAGGGCTAGCAAGGCTTCACGAGACTTTCCGATCACCCTCCGCTCTCACCTAACGCAAGACTGGGCGGCTCATCGATTAACTTTCAGATTATTTAAGTACTGCTTTAATTGCAATTTTTTTTTTTTTTCTGCCAGTTAGTGGGAGTTTTGTGCTGGAGAAAGTCAACAAGGAGTAAAAAATGCCTGCTTTAATATTTTGAAGTCTTTATTTCTTTTGTGACACTGGCTTGCACGGTAAACCACTTCAGCGTGCTTGTCATTTCACCGAGGGTGATTATACTGTTTAAAGAGTAACTTAAAAATACTTCATTTTAAAAGGCTTCCCGTGTTTATATTTATGTAGGACTCGCAACGTGAAGTTTAGAATGGGAATGCAATATGCCGTTTATGACATAGTAAAACCAGCAAAAAATGTGTAGTTTTAACGTCTTTCCCGCAATATGACCGGTGAAAAATCAACATGCGGATTTATTTATTGATTAGTCTATTAAAGGATAGCAATCAGTCGGGTTAATTTTTTAATCAAACCACAGACCCACTAAACATTCAATGCTTTATGAAAGCCACGGTTTGTGCGAGATAACAAAAATATGTGGGACCTGCGATTGTATAGACCCTTTCAGGCAACATTTCATGGGCGCCGCCATCTTGACGTCACGTGACCCTGCCGCCATAGTCTCCAATCAGTTTCTCGCCGTTCCTCCGCGTTGTGTGCTGCACCGGCCACTACCGGAGCTTTGTTTTCGCGTTCTTTTACGTTCCGCGTTGAAATCTTGCGTTTTCTTTAGGTCATTTCGATATTTCGGGCTTTCATTTAATCATTTGATATCTATATTTCAACATAGCTCTTCTATTTTCTTATTTATGAAATGGAATCGGGCAGCGAATGGATCGACAATACAAGATTATGGCTTCAGAGACCATGTAAGTTCATCCCATTCTAACGTTTTTCTCGCTAATAAAGGGCAGTCAACACCATTGCGCCATATGCAAATTTCAACTAACTCACTAAGGCTCCCCAGTCGTGCTTCTCGCTGCATGTGCGCGCTCGTTTCCGCAAAGCCGACCCGCATGTAAGCGATTTAGCGTGCCACGAGACGAGCGTCGGTGACAACGACGAGAGTCAGCGACGAAGATTTCTCACGCATCGCTTGGTTTTTTGGGTTACTCTTCTAGAAAACGTCGCTCACCGTCTCGGTCGCTTGCTCCCGTCGCTTCCGTGCGATTTGCCTCGTCGCCCGAGCGACAGCGAAGCGGGTCACCGTCGCTTGTCTCGTTGCTCGTCGAATCGCTTGCATGCGGTTTATACTTAATATCGAGACGCCAATGGTTCAATGGTGTGTGCATGGAAATTAATAGAGTATAAACTGCATTTAAGCTATTTGGCGAGCGACCAGATAAGCGACGGCGACCCGCTTCGCTATCGCTCAGTGAAGCGGCCGCATGGAACCGACGGAGCAAGCCTTAAGACGGTGAGCAACGTTTTCTAGAAATTCCAAAACCGAGCAATGCGATGGGAACGGTGAGAAATCTCCGTCGCTCGTCTCGTCGCACGCTAAATCGCTTGCATGGCGGGTCGACTTTACGGAAATGAGCGCGCTCATGCAGCGAGAAGCACGACTGTGATAGCCTTACTGCGTCAGTTGCAATTTACATATGTTGCAATAGTGTTGACTGCCCTTTATTAGTGACAAAAACGTAAGAATGGGATGAACTTACACCGTCATTGAAGGCTAGTAATCTTGTATCGTTGACCCATTCTCTGTCCGATTCCATTCCATAAATAAGAAAATTCAAGAGCTATGTCGAAATATAAATATCAAATGATTAAATGAAAGTCTTAAATATCGAAAAGACCTAAAGAAAAACCAAGATTTCAACGCGAAACGTAAAAGAACACGAAAACTAAGCTCCGGCAGTGGCCTGTGCAGCACACAACGCGGAGCAACGGCGAGAAACTGAAGGTCGGCTATGGCGGCCCGGAAAGCGCGCAAAGGGCGCGTCGACTGGTGGCAGCTCGAGTAACTGACTCGCTGAAAGCGTCTATACAAACCAACGCACCAAGATTATGGAAGCTTCCGACTTAATAATAATCGCTTTGCTTAATTTCTATGCATGGGAAACGATACAACACAACCTTTACTAAGAAGAAACGGTAACAGAAACATAAAACATTTAATAAGGAATGTCAAGCTCATTAAAGTAGAAGTTTGGGCTAGTTGGTATTTCATGATTAAAGATCAAAACAGCTTTGTCCGTGTCCTTGCGCTGTTTTAATCTTTAGTCAAGCTCATCCTCAAACGGGCTTGCCTCGTCGAGATCCATGCTTCTGTGCGTGCACCCGTAGCAGACTACGCACGGCGGTATCGCCGCTTTCACGCGTTTCCAATTTCGGCCGCACGGTGGCGACACGGTTCAATCTCGAGGCGAATTTATGAACAAGGCCCTTGTGTCTACTTTCCCACAGAACACATATACAGCCAATCACTGCATTATGCATTGATAACAGCAAATAACCAGATGGAGAAAAAGATTTTCCATACTAGTTCGATCTTCACAGATGGTACCTTAGCACGAAGGCGTTATCTCTGTCCTATAAACAGCTGGAATCATGCTGTCGATCGCGATTATGGGCAATCTGTGTGCTCTGCGGAAAAGCGAACCCTCCATTTTTTTTCTATTTCTTTTTCCATAAACAGTGCGGTTATTACTCAAGTAAACACAGTAGTCTGGACCTTTCGGCTGGTTGACTCTCGCTCGATGCTATTGGTGTCTTTTGAGTTTGATATGCTTCATTGGCTTGCCTCAAGGAATGTTACGGCGATGGTCTTTTTATATTTTGAGTTTACGCCAGTCTGGCGTTTTTGCCCGTCTACCCCTTTCATCATTGTGCGTAGTTTTCTTCCGTGCACTAATCTCTCGCTATTTATTGCGCAGCCTGCTTCAAGTGCAACCAGGAGGGTCACATGAGCCGGGACTGTCCCAATGCGGATTCTGGCGGCGGGCGCTCGGGCGGAAGAGGTCAGTGTTTCTCCATCCCGTTTTTTTGTCGAATGTCTCCTGCGCTTGAGGAATGTAGCACATTGTTTGGGTGAGAAACTAGAGTCAGTTGTGCTGTGCACGCTGCACTCTACATGGGCTTGGGTGTTGCCATCTTGTGCAGGCTGCTTCAAGTGCGGCGAGGAGGGCCACATGAGCCGAGAGTGTCCCAACGCAGACTCCGGAGGAGGCCGGTCTGGTGGAAGAGGTAAGAGCCGTCATCGAGTTCGCTTTGCGCATTCTCGTAGGCGTCGTGCATTGCCGTGTAGTAGCAGCCTTGGGTCTCGTTCACCTTGCGAAGCTTTAGAAACTGGTGTATTTCAGTGGCATAAAGAAACAAGCCAGTTTGCCCACACCGGTCGACAACAGCGCCATCGCAGTGGCACAATGTCAGGGTAGTAATTGGTCTCTACATACGCATTTTATCCCCACTTCGTACCTTTGATAGAGTAATTGGTAGTTTGTTAATTTGTATTAGAATACATTTGTTTGCTAAATGGGGACTTGGAACATTTATGTTTCCTAATAAAGAAAACTAGTCGGTAATATTGGCCTTTATTTCGTACCATACCGTTGAATCTTGAAATGGTTCGGTTTTACACTTACGGAACTTGATATGTGTTGTTAAAGCGGGACAAAGGCCTGAGCTTCAAAATTTTTTGAAAAAATTCATTTTTCAATTTTGAAGTTTTCAGTTTTAGAAACTAATTATACACCCCTACACTAAATTTCATAATTATGCGCCAAATAGTTAAGTTGATATGAAATAGTTTCAACACATTGTGAGACAGTATCAAAGTAAAGGAGTTCAATGTTTAATTGCATTTTTCTCAGTTCTGCTTTTTGCTACACATTTCATACGAAGGGATCTTGTTTGAAGGTGAAATTATTCTGATACCACAATGAAGATGTTTCTGAACTGAAATTTACTGGAGAATCGGGCTATCTACTTTATTTTGTTTTACATTAAAGTCCTCATTGAGAAAAAACTAGGTTTTCAAAAACTGACATAGGACAGATATGCATCTCATATTTTGAGGTAATCACCTTCCTGAAATATTTACATTTGAGTTGTAAAAACTAGATAGCCTGAAGTCCCATATCCCCCACTTTATACTCAAGCACTTAAAATGGTACGTAAGAGCTTCCTTTGCATATCATAGATTTCTTAACGAAGAGTGACACATCTTCTTTTGGAGGTATGTAAAGTTGCCCTAGAGAGCTGAAAGTTTGCACTGTACACCTACATCTGAAGTTAAATCTCCCCTGCTAATTTCATTCCAATCACTTGAATAGTTCAAAAGTTCAACCTGCTACCCAAAGACCCTTTTTATTTAATATAAACCCTAGGATAATGAAACTTTACATGCTTATAGGGTTTTTTTCTCCTCTTCAGAACAGTCATTAGTTGTGACTTGGTTTATGTTCAGCACCCCATACAATTACAAAAAAAATGGGTGTTTTTGTGTAGAACTTTTGTCATACTAACTTTTCACCAGAAATATATTGAAACACCTTGTTTTGTTCCTTGTGAGATGTGGGATGCTGATAACTATTTGAAAGTTCTGCACAATTTTCCTATCTATATAAAAAAAAAAAAAAATAAAGATGCTGTAATGCTGTAATTTAGAAGCCATCTAGAAGTTCATCGCAATTCACATAAACATACATCAGAAAATGACAGGTCTAAATACCATATAATCGCGTGTAATAGCCGCACCCTCGTATATAAGACAAAGTATTGCAAAAAAAGAAAGAAAAAAAAATTGCAGAAATTATTTGTGTGTGGCTGCGCGCGCACCCCCTTGTTTTCGAGGTGGCGCTAGCCATCGCCAGAGTGGCACTTGTCCGCATCCCCGATATTTCCTCTCCACTCATCCTAATCACCGTATAGCATAACGGCTGTCGACCTCGATCGTGGTCGGCCGCACTGTCGGGATGCATTTATGTTGCGACGAGGCATTGAGAAAAGATAAAGGATATGTCGGGTTCCGTGGCAAGCGCGAGGAATGGAGATTCAGCGGACTCGGTTCGCGCGTGCACTCGGGTTTCCGAACGCCACTGTACGCTCTGGGGAGGTTTCCTTTTGTTCTTCGATTCGTGTCAAAGCGTCGCGATTTGTCTGTTTTTTTTGCGCAATCTGAGAGCTATGGGCGAGTGCCACTTCAACAGTAATATTTGATTCAAGCCGAACGTTGCCGCGCATGCTATCAAGTATGGCAAAAAAGTGTATTACGCAGTATGTGAACTAATTAAATCCGACTGACGATTGAGTCCGGATTTTGGAATGAAGGCGTTTCTACTAATGCAGCCGAGCGCGCTCATGTACGTGCATTTTGGAATGTGGATACAGATTTTTTTTTTTCTTTTAATCCGTGTAATCCGTGCACTTTGAAAATTTGCCTTCAAATCGGGAGAAAATAGCGCGGCCCTTACACAAGTTTATATGGTAGATATCGCCAATCTATATACGTTGAAGAATGTGTGCAAAATTTCGTTATGATGCCAGAATTGTAAGCATCTGAAAAGTAGTGTGCACAAACTTCGAAGACTGCCGATAATCACAATAGGAGAAAAATGCATCTGGAAGTTCAAAAGTTGTATTCTCATCAAAAAGCAGCTGTAATTGCACGAAACTTGGCCAGAACACAGGCAGGCTGTCCAGGAAGAATCCAAAGTCACTAGAACTCTCCAGCACTAAGTTGTTCCCTCGCGGTTTTCGCGACTGGAGTCCTTGTGGTGAGCTTCCTTTCGCACTCCTGGACGGAGAGCTTGCCCTGCTGACATGTCGGGCACGTCGCGCCGCAAACGAGCATAGTCAGGGCGCCGATGCTCGTTTGCGGCACGCTGAATCCAAGCTACTTTTCGGAAGCGCCCACAAACGTCAACGCACCGTTGATCTCAGAGTCGCCGATGCCGTCGTTAGGCCTAGCTGGCCCAGTCTGCCGCGGAACACGATTTTTCGCCGTCATTCTCCGCTTGACTTTCCGTCGACTTCCCTTGAACTTATTCTTCGTCCAGTACTTCAGAGCACGGAAATCGCGCTTCTTCGGAATGTCCATAGCGAAAGCGATAGGGTAAGCAAAAAAAATAGCGGTAGTTGCTTCAAAGACGCGCTAAAACGCACAGTTTACTATTATTGGCTGGGAAAGTACAAAACCGACGGAGTTCAGTCGGGAAGAATGAGGTCTTGACTACTGCCACGAGCGATCGCAATGGCGGGCGGCGGCGCCGTCCCGAGAGATAGGCACTCAAAAATAACAAACATTCGCGTAAATTTGCGATTTCTTGAGCCACCCCGAGGCAGTTAGACACACTTTTCACTTACTTCTTATTAAGATATTGTTTTGACTTTTTTGTGTGAAAGTAGAATGATCAAGGACAATAAAACAAGCACAAACAAAAAATCTCAAGCTTTTTAAAAGATGGAGATTTTTCGACCCACATCTCTCCTTAAATAGGCACGTTCTGTTTTAGTGAGGCTTAAGAATCCATCTGATGATCCAACCCGCTGCCGGAACAGTTCCCAATAGCTGCCATTTAGATAACTTGCAATGACATTATTTTTTTTTTTTTTATGCTATGGGCTGGATTATATTTAAGCAAAGGGTATGTTTGGAAACTGTTTTGGAACGTTACATGGGGGTGTTTTTCTGCCTGCAAAAGGCTGAAGCTTGCTTGCACCCCTGAAGTAGCTCTTAAAAAGTTTAGTTGTCTGAGAAAGAAGGGATCATTTTGATGTTGGAAACCTGTATGGAGTGTAGATGTGCTATATTGTTGTGGTTTTGAAACTGCATTATGATCACGGGGGGGAGGGGGGGGTGCCACGTGCTATCTATGTTAATTGTTTAGCTGTAGTCGGTTAGAATAAGGTTTTTAGGTTAGACTGACTTTCTGTTCTTGTGCCCCACTTACCTATTGTTTTTTCTTGGACTTGGTAGGCTGCTTCAAGTGTGGTGAGGAAGGTCACATGAGCCGGGAATGCCCCAGCGCAGACTCTGGTGGAGGCCGCTCTGGGGGCAGAGGCAAGTCATTTTCGCTAAGCGTTCTGTCACAGGCCATTGGAGAGCTGCATGCGAGCTTTGGTAACTGTTGTGCTCAGCTAAATATGTGCGGGCTACGGGCTTTGATGCTACCTTCTGCCGAGTTAACCTTACACTCTGGGGTTCTTGTTTAAGGGGAAGGTGTGTGCGTGCCTTGTAAGCTGAAAAATCGTGGAAACGTGTGGAAAACCACTTTTGGGTAGTATTTCATAAACTTATTTTCTTTTTTTTTTTTCCAATGGCCCACCACTTCTGCTTTTGCAACCATACGGTGGAGGCTTTCACTGCTGTCTGTCTGGGTTTAGGCGTTATGGCACTGCTTGGTTTGTGGGCAATCCTTCAGCGTCCCATTCAGACTTCGCACACAGAGTCACCATTTCTTGTGTGCTTTTAGCATTGCTTTTATTTTGCTGCGCGCTGCTTTGCTTGATGTCCGTCTCCCCCGCACCTCTTTCCCACTAGGCTGTTTCAAGTGTGGCGAAGAGGGCCACATGAGCAGGGAATGCCCCAATGCTGACTCGTCTGGTGGCGGTGGTGGCGGCGGCAGTCGTGGTGCGTTTGCTGGGGAAGAGCCCTGCGCTTTTTAATTTGGGGCGGAACCTTCGAGATGCTTCGTGTTTGCTCTTTACCGCATCTCTGACAACTTTAGAATTTTGCATGGGCTGGGTTTTGCTTTGTGGTAGTTCATGCATGCCAGGCTTGTGGAGGAGTGCCTCCTGCTGGTCTGAATTGTGTTGTCAGGCCTTGCAAGCACTCATGCCATTGTATACTTGCTCGCCTACGATGCAATTATTTGAATTAACCTATCGTGTTTTTGTAAAGTATTCTGAAGACACGTCATTAACGACAGTAAAACTGGCAGCAAACACTTCACACTGTTAGCGCGGACACATCATTGGCACTTTTTCCCAATTTTATTTAGGGGTGTTAGCAGGCATCATATACAAGCCCTTACTTTAGTGCCCCGAATGAGAAGTCTTCACCTCTCTGGTAGTTTTGATAATAGCCCCTTAATTGTAAGGGAATACCAAGAATCACAACATCTCCACATGGTAAATGATGTTAATTGGGGTGAAGCTTTGGTGGTGCTGATGATACTGGTTTTATTGTTCAAAGGGAATGCTGGTGGTGTTAATTTTTTTTATTGCTCATAGGTAGTGGTTGCGTTTGGTAACCCCAGCTCTTGAGTTACTAGCACACCTCGGAGCCCCCTACTCATCCCGCAGTCGTGGCCGAGTGGTTAAGGCGATGGACTAATAATCCATTGGGGTCTCCCTGCACTGGGTCGAACCCTGTCGACTGCGCAAACATTCTAAAATTTTTTAAGAACGCTCCTTTGTTCTAACAGTGTCGTGCTCTGTACATCTTGGCAGGGCTTACCCCCCAAAAAACCAGTTTGCTTAACTGTGTAACTCTGCACACTGCCAGCGGTTATCATCCTGCTGTGGCGGGAAGCATCTTTAGGAGTGTGCAATGGGCCGGTATGACAATGTCCTGTGCTCGGCTTTCCAGCGTGCTTCAAGTGTGGCGAGGAGGGCCACATGAGCCGGGACTGTCCGAGCGCCGGCGGTGACGGGGACAGGCCCAAGAGAGGTGGGTGCCCCTTTGCATCGTTGGTCTCAATGATTCTGTTCGTGACAGAAGTGGCTAGAGAATGAGGCTTCGGCAGTGCTTAGTTTGATGTGAGGTTCTGTGCAATCTAATGACTCAGGTGAATTGTATACATGCGGGCTCTGCACAGGGTGTCGGCTATGCACCCGCTGCAGTTTATCGGAATAAGACTCTTTATTTCGGCCAAAATTTGCACCTGTTGACGACTGTATGCGATAACAAGTGTGCGACATACGCTGGAGGGCAGGGTTGCACGTCCCCACAAGCGTCTGTGGATGCGCAGGTTGCTTCAACTGCGGGGAGGACGGCCACATGAGCCGGGACTGCCCGAACCCTAAGCAGGAGCGCAGCAAGGGCTGCTTCAAGTGTGGCGAGGAGGGCCACATGAGCCGGGACTGCCCCACCGCGGGAGAAGGCGGGGACTCGGACCGCCCCAAGGGCTGCTTCAAGTGCCAGCAGGAGGGGCACATGGCCAAGGACTGCACCAATGAAGCGGTGCCGCGCATGGGGCCGGACGGTGAGTGGTCGCTGCCTGCCCGGGAGCACAGTTGTTGCACTGGGGCGGCCTTGGAATGCTTCGCATTTATGAGGGCAGCTCGTTGAGTTTTGGTGTCTATGGTGACATCACTTTGACGTAGTGTGGTTTATGTACCGTCGTCGGTGTTTCATAAGGTTCCTTGTGATGCCGGTGTTCTAATGACATTGTCACCTGACACTGATGTCATCTATAAATCCTATGCAACGATTTGGCTTTCAAATACCTTTTTCGGTCTTTCTATAACTTTGTTTTCATTGAAGCTCAAGCTTTGCATCTTGCTTGCTCCTTGAGGGGACCGCTTCAGAGTTCAGTTCAACAAGCCCGAAATGCCATTGCTTTTAATGCTAGACGTGCTGCCTCTCCGGAAACAAACTGCCAGGGAAGCTTTTGTGGCTCTTGTTTGGTTCGTAATCCTTGAACATTTTGGTCTTCTCTCTGCCCAGGCAAGCCGATGGAGGCGCCGTACGTGCCCCCTTCGATGCCGACGGACGAGAGCAGCATCTTCGAGGGAATCTCGACGGGCATCAACTTCGACAAGTACGACAGCATTCCGGTGGAGGTGTCTGACCCCAAGTTCCAGGTGCCCTTCACCTCCTTTGAGGAGATGGGTCTGTGTGACCTGCTCCTGCGCAACCTCCGACGCGCCCAGTACACCAAGCCCACGCCCGTCCAGAAGTATGCCATCAAGATCGCACTGGGAGGGAGGGATCTGATGGCCTGCGCGCAGACGGGCTCTGGCAAGACGGCAAGTCCCAGTTCCCTGCTTCTCGTAGCGCTGCGGCCGTGGAGTGCTCTTTGCAGCGGGCTCGCGTTTGCGTGCACTTCGGTTTTTGTCTTTGCCGTGTTTGGGGCGTCGCCTTTTACTGTTGCACTCTGCGACCCTGCCGAAATCTGTCTCGTATAGTGTAACCAGGTTTGCCGATACTTCGTGCAAGGTATTTAAAGGTTTAAATTTTTTCACTTGCTTTTTTATGCAGTGCCAGTGTTAGCACTTCATAGAGTTATATACCGCTGCAGTAGCTTTCTGGGTCCTGCTGCTTTGAAGCCAGCGTGTGACTCCTACATTTTAGTTGAGTTGTAATTTTGCTCTTTATCTGTGAAATGTTTACAATCACACTCGCTGTACTTCTGTGTGGCAGAGGCTGTAGGACGTTGAAATGGTCTCAAATTTGGGACTGAGGGCAAAGTTTATTGAGGGGGCACGATGGGGAGATGAATTGAAGGGATGTTTGACAAAAAGCAGTAGATATGTCTTCTAGGTTGTTGAAGCAACTACTTTAACAAGCAATGCAGTTGACTCGTTCACTTCGCCAGCACCGGTGCAGAAAAGTGCAGGACAATGCACTTCTGGTCGTATTTTGCAAGTCGTATACGGCGGCGTGCAGCTGGCGCGGCTAAATGGAACGCAACGAGAGTGGTGTCGCTCACCCCGAGATGCGATCACCTGCAGGCTGCCTTCATGCTGCCCATCCTGCACACGCTGTTGAGCGACCCGGCGCTGGACAACCCGTCCCACCGGGAGGTGCAGACACCCCAGGCGGTGATCCTGTCTCCCACGAGGGAGCTGGCCATCCAGATTGCCCACGACGCTAACAAGTATGCCTACGACTCGATCCTGAAGACGGTGCTCTGCTACGGGGGCACCTCGGTGGGGCACCAGCTGTCGCAGCTCTCGAGGGGCTGTCACATCCTGGTGGCTACCACGGGGCGCCTCAAGGACTTCGTCGAGAAGGGCAAGGTGGGTGGCTGTCAAATTAAACATTTATATTTTGCAACCAGAATACAAAACTATCGACGACGGTTTCCGAGTGAAAATTGCTAGGCCTAGGCGCCGAAATAAACGAGATCCAATAAATCACGTGCTCGAAAATGGCTCAAATTTGCGCTGTTGTTGCAGGAAGGGCTTCAAACTCTTATCGGACTAATTTGCGATGATACCCGATCTTGATTTTAATGCGAAAGCATTAACTGTCTCGCGGAGCGAGCCACGCTAAACGGCACCTTCTATCCTTTCTCCTAGTGAAGCCAGCTCCCAGTTATGAAACCACATGAAAAGCTAGCCAACGGCACCTAAATTCCCTGATCCCGAATGAGCGGAGTAAAGCTTATGGATTTTCGGCTTCGATCCCGTTGGCTGGCACGCGTCGGCAAGGCTCTTATTTGCAGCTGCATGTCGGTTTCAACGACTGCTCGCCCCATGGCGCTGCGGGTCTGTCAGCGCGCTCACTGACCGGTGACGAAAAGTATGCAGCAGACAAAATAAGGAAGGGGACGAGCGGCTTGCATGCTTTCACATTCACAACTCATAAATGTATACCTCGAGCCCCCTTCTTTTTTTTTTTTTTTTTTGGTTCGCAGAAGAGATTGAATGAACGGCTTAAGACTAAGTGAACGGGCCAGTCTGAACGCGTTGCAGGCACCATAGCAACACCAATGGACGACGCTGCAGTCTGGGACTGAGGTGGCCTTGTTGCAGGTGTCCTTTGAGAACCTGCGCTTCCTGGTGCTGGACGAGGCGGACCGCATGCTGGACATGGGCTTTGAGCCGGACGTGCGCTGCCTGGTGGGGCACCCGACGATGCCGGCCAAGGGCAGCCGGCAGACCCTCATGTTCTCGGCCACCTTCCCGGAGGCCATCCAGATGCTGGCCAGGGAGTTCCTGGTGGACAGCGTCATGCTCAGCGTGGGCATCCTGGGTGCCGCCAACTCGGACGTCAAGCAGGCCATCTACCAGGTCACCCAGTTCGACAAGCGCAACAAGTTGCTCGAGATCCTTGGCGAGGAGGGTGAGCCTTCTTTCCTGGCCCTCTGCTTTCTTTCCTCTGTCCCCCGGCCACCTTGTTGAGCTGCAAGGGTTGCCGTTAAAGCGTGTTTGGCACCGCTGCTCTACTATCGTACTTATTCAAAGATGAATCGCCCTCTTTATGCCGGCTCGTGTATTTCTCTGTGGAGCTCAGTAAAGACCTATCATTGCAGTTTACAAAAGCCCCTGCGAATGATAAGGCACCGATAACTGTGGAGTGCAAAGATTAGATCTTTGTGAATCACATTTTTGAAACTGTCCAAACTTTATATCTGCTTCGCCATTCGCCATCTCCTTTCGTAACTCTTCGTGTTGGTGTCCGTGGATTCTGCGAGAAGTCAACGCAGGTCTGTTCATGATTAGGTCTATCTATTTTTTTAGTTGATCAATGTGGTATAATGGCATTACGCTATACTCGATTGGCCCCCAAGCTGTCTCTGTGGTGGAAGCTATGCACTCGCCGGACCAGTTGACCACCTCCCTTTCGTGGAATAACCCCGATATCGGCATACAGGTATGTTCAGGTGCGTGATGATGTGGCTGTCAATAGATGTGCAAAGGGTCCAATGTACATGTCTTCCACCGCACTGTCTGCTTGAGGGAAAAGTCAGGTTTGCAGGAAAGAGGTTTGCTGTATTTGCACCCTCTGTTACCATTACCTTTTATTGCGCTCTCTCGTAATAAGGATGGCCGCATAACCCATGCTGATGACTTCTTTGTCTTTTTCAGGAAGTGACAGGGTGATGGTGTTTGTGGAGAAAAAGAAAACTGCAGATTTCTTGGCTGCATTCATTTCCCAGAAGGGCATCAAGACTACCAGTATCCATGGGTGCGTAGTCTTGGGATGTATTCTATGGCTAGAGTCGTGCTTAAAAAATGTCAAAATGGGTGGCTTCTTTCCTTGAAAGAAAAAAAAAAAAAGAAAAATGAGAGGACAGTCTCAATAGGTAGGTGACTGGCATTTGGCAACAGCCGCAAAGCACCACGAGTGTTCTCCCTTCTGGTTTGTAGCTAGCAGCAGACTCTGCACCACGGCTGCTGTGGAAGTGTGTGTGGGGGTGTTGAATTCAATCAGTTCGAGCCACCTCTTTCTGCCGCCGGGCGAGTGACATATTTCTGAGCGTCTGAAGTTGCACTTCCACGGATATGTTGAGTAGGAATCTACACAGATGCAGAGAACAACCAATAATGCGTGTTGAAAGCGAGGTTTGCAGCAAGCTGCACTCTTGCCCCGCTTTCTGGATTGTCGCGAGGAACGCTCTGGCTCTGTTAGGAATTTTGTTTTCCTTTTGAGCCAGCATTCATTTGGTTTTGTTTATTTTTGATAGCTACTTTAGATCACGTAGACAACTGAAATAGGTTCAAATGTAAGCCGCGGGACACAGCTAGATGAAATGCCCGGTTTGAAATTTGGTGAACTTCTGCTTGCACTATTGACGAGAACCCTTGCTTTTAAACACTCATGCTTTTTTTTGGAGTGGAACGACATCTTTCTCCTCACTTACAACAAGGTGCAAAGTTGAGGGTCGTTGCCTCCAAACCTTTGTCACGGAAGTGATATCTTGCAGATTTCACTGGAGCGCCGACTGAATCTTTGGCTCCCTGCGCTCTCTGACGGTGTGCCAGTCTGCTGCAGAGAACCATGTAGTATGCACGCGTGACCTTTCCGTGACCTGTGGAAGGGCACCTGTGCGTCCTTCCACAGGTCGCCTCGTTTCGTCACTCGGTTAACAAAGACGGCCCATCGCTGCTTCGGTTCCTTTTTATTGGAGCAGGAACATCTTGTACCCTTTATGGCTTGCATTAGAACAACATACCCTCGGAGCAGTGTACCATTTTCACCTCAATACAGCACGGCTATCAGGCCTAGAAAGGCTCTTGATACAGCTGAACGAACCACGACCGGCGCCGTACGAACATGAAGGGTGAAATTACGTGATGCCTTGTTTCGAACGACGAACCTTTCAGCTCAAATGCCGTAATGTATAGGCTTCTCTGCGACAGCAGGTGATATCACTTTACATTGGCAAACTATTCTATTTTGAAGGGGCTCTGCTGTGCAGAGATTCAGTAGCGCGGAGTCATCCTGCGTCCGCTAACATCTATTGCTTTCAGGGACCGCTACCAGCGCCAGCGGGAAGAGGCACTGGCCGACTTCCGCCGCGGCACGTGCCCAGTGATAGTGGCTACGGCCGTGGCGGCCCGCGGCCTGGACATCAAGGACGTGCGCCATGTTGTGAACTACGACCTGCCGCAATCTGTGGACGAGTATGTGCACCGTGTGGGGCGTACAGGCCGTGTGGGCAACCTGGGCAAGGCCTCGAGCTTCTACGACTCCGAGACAAACGGCGCTTTGGCCAGGCCCCTCATCAAGATCCTTTCTGAGGTTGGTTCCGGAGTCTACTGCGCCCTGGCCGTGCTCCAAGGGTCAAGGACGTTGCATTCTGAGCATGTGAAACGAAAGCTCTTGCTGTAGGAACCAGGGTTTAGCCGTCATCCCTACCTGCTTTGATTTGGATGAGCGATGTACTGGTGTGTGGTCGCGTGGCGCTGTGGCGTGGTGCCGAGACGCTGGGCTAGCGGTTGTACTGCGCTAACATCTACGGCGGGGAGGCCAGACGTGCTTTCGGGCTGGCTAACTTCCCGCTGGCTTATCGAACACAATTTTCCATATATGTGTCGAGACGCCCTACGTCAACAAACTGCCGCCTTCGTTTTTTTTTTTTTTTTTTTTTTTTTTTCTCCATTACTGGGTTTGTTAAACGTTTGCTTTTCATCTTCTCCGTGCAGTCCCAGCAAGAAGTACCTGATTGGCTGGAGAATGAAGCCAAGTATGGCGGAGGTGGCGGCGGCGGAGGAGGTTTCGGGGGCGGCGGCGGTGCCAAGGTGGGTTTGAGTTTCGTATTATTTTCAGGATGGGTGGAATGCAGTGCAGTGCAAATGCTGCCATGTTCATCTACCTGGAGGCATGTTTTAATGCATGTTTTTAAACTCTTTGATATCTAGAAGCCTCCATCTCGCTCGAATAGCAGGGGGGGAGACCCCTCCGGGTCTTAGCACTGATGCAGGAAGGCATTTGCGATGACTTCAGACCTCATGAAGAATACTAATCCAAAAAGCGGGGAGCATATTTGAGCTGTGGATCAATGGATGGCTCAGATCTGCCTGAACAGTACTTCAACTGGAAAGACACAGGCAGGGACAATTTGGGTACTTGGGTTTAGTGTCCCTTTAAGGGAAGCTGAAGCACTTTTTAAGAAATGAGAGTTAGGAGCGATCTTCTATGCTTTTTGTACCGAGAGTTTGGTTGTCTCAGGCAGAAGTACACTTAATCCGCATTTATTTTGAACAATGTGTGGCGGTCCTCTCTGCCACCTGTTATCTGTCCGGGGCATGTGATGTCATTGAAGGCATCCCTGAGCCAAGTGGCAATTAAGGTTCATCTGACCCCGCTGATGACGTCACCTGTGCTAGTTTTTTTTTTACTCCGCTTTCACGCTTTCTTATAGCGAGTTTGTTTCACACGCACTGGCACCAGTCGAGTTCTCTCCCAGAATGCATCGCACTCGCAGAGTGTTGCACGGAGAACTGGACTCGAACAAACTCGCCAAATGCACTGAGTGCAGAAGTTCGTTGCTGCCGCCATCTATGTTGTAGGAAAGGTACCGGCCTCAAAACGAAACTAGCGCCTTTCTGTTTGCAGTGATGAGTGGGAATGCGAGAGTGCAGTCGCTACCATCGTTTATCTACAAACGTTGGTCGCTGCAACCTGTAGTTTATATTTGCGATGACTTCAGGCAACTCGGCTGTCTTAGAAATAGTTAGAGACAACGTAAATTTTTGGAGCCAGCTGTCTACAAAGCTTTCAATTCTTATAACCGTTTACACTGGAGAAAACTGATGATGCTGTCCAAGCAGAAGCATGGTATTATGCGTGAACCACTGAAAGGGTACGGCTTAAAACTAGTCTGTTAGAATATCCAGCTAAACTTTTCGTGGGACTTTAGATCGCTCGCCGGAGCGAGGCATGACGGGATACCATTTTGGCACACTCGATTTTTCCCGGTGCAGCGAGTGCATGCACGCGTGGGGTGTCAGCGATGAAACAAAACTGTGTGCAAGCACTTTTGGAGTCCGGTCGAAACGAACCCGCTCCACGCTGCGAGTGGGCACGCGTGCAGTGAAACAAACTCTCTATTACCTTTGGCGTGCGAGTGTTTTGGTAAATGTTAGGAACTGTGACCAGGCGGCGATAACTACACTTCCAGTAGGCGTTTTTGTGCATGTTATGCATAGGACTTTCTTTGTGAATGCCACGGAGCACAGATATTGAACTAGAGCAAGTATCAGGAAACAGGTTGCATAAATGAAAAGGAGCCCGATTTCTACCAACTGTACAATATTTCAGCCACTTAACCCCAATATTTAAGTTCATCCAGTGCGGATCTTTTCTTACAGGGTTGGGCAACGATATAAACGTTTAAAGAATTTGCAGCTTGTATCTTTTATTTAGTTTATCGAAGCACAGGTGACCAAAAATGCATCACCTTGCCCTAAAAATTTGCTATTCTGCTGCGTAATCGCAAAGAAAAAAAAAACAATTTGCCAATATGCATCCGCGTGAAATTTATGACTTTGGACAGCAGATCTGGGCAGGCAACAAATGTCTTCCTGATTAGAAGTGAAACTGCATGTTGCATTGTTTGTCACCGCTCTTGCGTTCCTTTGCAGAGCTACAACTCGGACTCCTGGGGCTCAAGTTCTGGTGGAGGCGGCGGCGGAGGCGGCTTCAACCAGCCTGTGGCGGAGGAGGAAGACTGGGGATAGGGCCAGATCCTCCTTAGCCTTTTTTTCCAAGTGTCTGGTTGCCAGCAGCAAGAATGCAGCAAGTGACTGTGCGCGGCGGTGTGTTGCGCTTGTTTTGTTTTTAAGGCCCCGTTTGCTTTTTCCTATGGCCCAAAGTTTCCAAAAAAAGTTGTATATATATGCCGTTCCCTTCACCCGTAGAGTAAAGAGATTTTACTTGACGTCTCAATAAAAGTATTTTGATGAAATTGTTTGCTTTGGTCGCCTTGTTACGTCTGGCCCTGAAAACGGAACCACGGATGTAAACTTCAGTGTTGATTGATGTTCTACATTCTCTATTGTCGCAGGAAGTATTGTTTGCTTTGAGGTGCGAACATCCTTCCGTTTAAATTTGTTCGGTTCTGTGCTAATAGGCTCCTTGCACTGACGTCACATTGCATACTTTTGAACACCAAGTAAAATGGGGAGGGGAAGCTGCCTTTGTAAGAATTTTGAGTGACAGGTTAATCTTCTATAACCTTCTGGGAGGAGAATAGCGATGCCTGTGCAAATCCGGGAGGCACAAAGGAGTTCCTGATCAGATGGGAGCTCCTTCCCCTTTTCTCTGGATGGCATCGGAAATGACGTCATGTGCAAGCCACGTATAAAAAATTCTACGCCATTGACTTCCGGTTTTGGCGAAACTGCCAGAACTAAGAAAAAAAACGTAAAAGCGATAAACTGCTATCCAAACCAAATCGCCCAATCATGACTGATCCTTGGCCAATCTCGGTTATACGCGGAACAAGGCAAAAGCTGATCATTTAGTGATTGCGCAGGCGAGCTGGAGGATGTTCACCATTGGGCGCGTTCAGTAGCGGCCCCGGAGTCAAGGAGTCACTGACTCCTTCCACTGGACGGCCAAAAGTCACTTCCGGTGCACGTAACTCCGGGGCTTCGGAGTCAAGCTCCGAAGCACCGAGTCCGGAGACGGTGCACGTAGAGTCAAAGGAGCTAAAATGACGTCATTTCCTGACTGGTGACGATTTCCGGCGCTAAAAGAGGAAAAAACAAACAATATGGCGGGATAAACTGCTTCGGTTCTGTCGCGGGTGCGCGGTTTGCTCGCTTCTGTTAATGAAAAGTGCTCTAGGTAAGACGAATAACGCGTTCGAATATCTTTTTCAGGTAAGGCTCTTTTGGAAAATGCATTGGACAGTATTTTGTTTGGTTTGAATATGCTAATAAACAACGCAAACGTTCATTTGACGCTGTGTCTTGATCACCGTTGCACGGAAACTCGGTAATTGACGATAGTCCTGTCCGCGCTCAACAGAGCAAAACAGGGTATGAACGCGACTTTGGAAGCCGGTTGGACGCTCACGCAGAGCATGATACCGATTAATGTTTTGTTTGCGTAGCTAAATCGGGGTGCACGTTGGCTGAGGCTCGCTTCGGCCGACAAAACCTTGATCGCCGAGCGCGGCCGAACTTCCCGTGTGTATACGAATACATTTTATAGGAAGTTCGTTACGAAGGGCAGAACAAACTTATGGCCGTATAAAAGTATCGCAACCGGCGGGATAGATTCGCTGAGCTCTGTATTTTGCGTGTGCTGACGACGTTTTTTGTCGGCTTTTATAACAGTAGCTGCCTTTGCACCGCCAAGCGAAGGGCTCGATCGCGTTGCATCGCTTCGAACAGCAGCGCTGATGTGTACAATCACCCGCTTCTTCTTCAACGACCTTGTCCAGACTTCTTCAATACCGGGGTCAAATAAAAGCGATCGAGCTCGCCATCGTCTGCTTCCAGTTTATTCGGAGACCGTCTGGCGCAGGGGAGGAAGCGGAAGTTGCGTAGAAGCAGGCTTGGAGCCGCGGGTTTTTTTGCCGTTCAGTAGGCGCTCCGATGACTCCAACTCGAGGCACTCCGTTCGGAGGCAAGGGAGGCGCTACTGAACGCGCCCATTGAGCTATGTTAGAGACGTGTCCTCGACTGTTCATTTTTTTTCTTCTACTTTGAAACTTTCCTCTTTTCCTGCCTCAGTCTCGGGCTAAGAACAAAAAGGCAAAAGCGGCATTACCAGCTGCGTGCTTGTAATTTATGCATTAGTACGCACATGACGTCACGGGGCGGAAGCCAATACGCGTGTGGATGCTGGGCGAGTGAAATTGTGCAGGTGTGTGGCATAGCGAAAACAAAAGTGAAGCGGCTTCCTAAGGAGTCACCAATGGATATTCCTTTTTAGTTTTACACTGCTGTCTCTCGCGGGCGTATTTTGTGCGGTTAATAAAAAATATCCAGAAACGCCCCATTTTTTTCTTTCACATAATACCGAAGAAAACCGGCAGGGGGCTTTCTAATGTACTTGTTTGTATTTTCGTGATTTTGTTTTTTTAAATCCAGAGGATGGGGTTGTGTTTGGAATAAGTGTTCGACGTTCTTGCATACGGGGGGTATGGCGCGCCGATTCAGCTAAATTTGTGTCAACAAGTGTCTCAGTTGCTTCGATTCGATGCCTTCGAGCTAGCGCGCAGTGTCTGGACGCAGCGTTAGGCCTACCCCTTCAGCTGATCAACGCCGTGAATGGTGAAGACTTGCGGAGACAGTCGCAAAATCGACCTTGAACATACGTATCTCCACAGCCGCTTGCAGGTTTCACTCAGGTGTGAAAATGTACCTCCCGTGTAACTGAGGGGTCTTATTGTTTCGTAAGAGCGTCCTTGAAGTTCGCCGACGATGGACCGAGCAAGCAGGGCGATCCGACGGTGAGTCCCATACTCGCAATTTTTTTCAATCGCCGGAGCGCCTCACAACTTTTTCATTTCATGTCCACAACAATACCTCTGTTATTATTTTCTTTTTTTCTAAACGAAGCGTAGCTAATCTAAAGTCACGTCAGTACGCCGTTGTCAACGGATCACAAGACCGTACAATCTTTGCCGCTCCGTTTTTACACGAACGGCGACAAACGATCTCCCGTTTTCACGGCCTGAGCACGAAGTGCTAGATTTCTACCAAGAACAAAATGTTGGCGAGGAAGGCTGGTCCGTCGTTACATTTTGTCACTTGTCTAGCAGAGCGTGAAAGAACGAGCTGTCTCTAACCTTCCGTTAAACAGGAAAAGTAAATAAAAAAAAAAAAAAGATGCTGTCAGCTTATGATGGAAGCGACAATGTCTGGGTTTGACAGTTGCGTGTTCGATATATCGCTTGTTTTAATATGTGGTGATTTTGTTTTCTTTGTTTTGTGTGTTTAGGAGTGGAGCGAGGCTCAAGGCTTTGAACGGAGGGCACGCCGATCTCAACTTGGTCATCTCGGAGTTGAGGGACATTCGCTTGGCCATGAAGTCTTTCCTGACGGCGCAAAATTCTGGTACTGGTTCCTTTCGCCGTCTTTGTTCTCAGTACTGCGGATTGTTATTGTCTGTCGCTAATCGATGCCGTTTTCGCGCACTTGGCAGCCGCTCGACTTGTTCCAAGATTAGTTTATTGCTACACTTGCGGACGCGGGCACCAGCAGCCAACACGCGCTCAAAAAAAGAAAGATGAAAACATTGGCAGCGCGCCATATGCGAAAGGTACTCGAGTTCAAGTGGAATTCCGCCTTGTTTTTTTTTTCTGTGGGTAACCATTCAGATATTGGACGGACAAATATAAATAAGCCTGGAAAAAAGGGATGGTAGCTGAAAATCTGGCCCAAACATTTCAAAAGTCGGGCAAAGTTGCATATCCTGTTAAGAAAACAGTGTTGCTCTAATTACTCGTTTTCTTCTAGGTTGTGTTCAGACGATTTAAGCATAACTTTCCGCTGTGCAGGTAGTTCCGTTAACATATCGAGCTGAGCATCGTACAAATGTGAATAAACATCGCCTTTGTTATTGATGATTGTGGTTTTTTTCTTCTTTAGTTAATGCTTGGGGGCAGAGAGAGAGAGAGAGAGCTTTTATTGAATGTGGGACGATAGAGTGCGTGGCTCTAGTGCTCGTATATCATCGTCGGGGAAAGAGATAATAGAAACAAAAAAGACAGTAAATTCAGTGCCAAAACAAATAAAAAATATAAATAATTGGTAATGCATTTCTAGCTGACTTCACAGACTTTCACCTGCTTGCTTTCTGTGCTCGTCCAGAAGTCATAGAAAGAAGCCTAGCTGTCAGTTTCTGTTGTTTATATGCGCTGGCCAAAAAAAGAGTCGGAAGGATAAACATGCAGATGGCTGCGAGTGGTTCCAATCTCAGCTACTGTTGCGTAGGGCTCCCGGCCTTGGGTAGGAAATTTGTGCCTGTACCCATTTGATTCTACTTAAAGTTTTTTCTCATTTCCAGTCTCTCAAGATTTGGTGCTATGGGCTCAAGCCGATGAAAATCGGGTGATCCAGGTAAATGATATTTGAAAGACCCCGCATTTCTAGGAATTTTTCCCAGTAGTCTCAACATCTGTGCCAGTTGTATTATCTCGCTGTGTACCTTCGTCTTCTCTTTGTCCTTACGTTTCCCGGCCCCCCCCCCCCCCCCCCCCCCTTCTTTTTAATTGCGTCCACAAGTCGAGCACATTAATTTTTCATTTGCAGCATTTACCGTTCTGTTGAGGAAAAGTTTAGTTCACCTAGAGCCGTGTCTGTGTCTATTCAGCTAAAATTTGCAATGTTCCCGCTTGTTAAAAAAGCCGTAAATGGTTTTCCGACTTCTAAATGCTGCATAAAATTAATCCCTAACATGCATAGCATATGAAGCATGCACGGTGATCCCCAGAACTGTGTGCCGACACCGTGGTTCTTATGACTATGTCAGTAAGCTTTGCGAAGAAAAATCAAAAGAATCAAATTGTGGCAACGACAAACGAGCTTCTGGCCGAGTAGCTTTGAACTATTGTTAATGACTTAATTTTCACAAACTTAGTGACTGATGCGTGCAATTGATTATGATGATATTGGCTTTGAGACCCAGATTGAATGGTGTGGAAGCGTGCTTTTGTTTATTCATGGTTCTCTAGGAATAGGGTTCAGGGCCGTAACCAGGTGGGGGGGGGGGGGGTTAGGGGGTTCTGACCCCCCCCCCCCCCCCCCGAAATTTTTTTCTGGGTACGGCCCTGGTCGGTGCACTTGCAGCCAGCCGATTTTAATCTCCACCTCTGCGCACGCGCAGTGGCACCGGTCGGCTACCGGGTACCAAACCGGGACCGGTTCTTCGGTTTGCTATAACTCTCCATTATATGCCACCGATGCACATGATTCATAGGCGAAAATAAGACAAAATGGCCGCCGTTGTCCTCGAAACCCCCCCCCCCCCCCCCCCCCCCCCCCCCCCCGAAATTTTTTTCTGTGTATGGCCCTGATAGGGTTCTATCGTTTTTGGCTTTTATTTTTCCAAAATTTATCGTAATTTTTTCGGTGTTTAGTTTAAAATTCAATTTTCGTTTCTTTTTTTTTTTGCGCTTATATTTATTTCCTCAAAAGTTTACCATTTTTTTTTTGTGAATATGAAAGAAATGCCATCAGACACCGGATCAGATGATCCTTGTAGCTGTGATATTTGCGATCACTCAAAGAATACCGACACATATACTTACACGGTCTTCGCTACAACTTCCGTCAGGACACACCTCAAAATCGCGGAATTCGCAGGCATAATCTCCAGCGTGCTTCTTTTTACTTCCCATTCTGACGTTGTGACTGTCAGAGGTGATGACCGTACAGAAACCAGCAAAATGGCAAAAAAAAAAAAAAAAATCCATTGTATTTATGTTTTTAACTATAGGGAAGTTTAAGAGAGGGCATTAAGAAAGGTATTGACAGCTTTCCTCAATGTCCTCTGAAGGGCATGAAGCGAAAAACCTTATACTAGCCCACATCAAAACTTTTCTTGGGGGACCGGGAAGTTGACACACTAAGCCCGATCACAGGAAGGACACAGATGTCCCACAAAGGCCAATCCAAAACCTCTTTTGTTGCATGTTGAACCTTGGAAGAGGGCAGTCACGAAGACGTCGCACAATGTCGAACCTTGCAAAGCCCTCTCTCTCTTCGCCCTCACCCACCTCAATGCGGCCCTAAAAAACTGGCCTTTTTCGGTTAAAACCGAATATTATGGAGCGAATTAGACATACTTTTATCGGTTTAAACAGAACACGCCGAACCTACAAACTGACCTTTTTCGGTTAAAACCGAATTTCCGAAAATGTATTCGGCTTACTTCTATCGGTTTTAAAGGAGCTGTGCAACAATTTCAGGGCTTTGCTTAAATAGTTGTGGAAGTTGATGCCTGACACTTCTGCAGTGAACTACAGAAAACAGATTTTGCCTGGATACCCTAGTTTTTATTTTAAAAAAATAAGAAAGATCCAGGTTTTTGCCGCCTCTCAACTCGTACATCGTCTTCCGGGTCACGTGCGCAGTGACGTCACTAGAGTAGGCGCGGGGTTCCGGAAACGTTCTCTCTTTAGAGCCACCAACGAGCAGCGAGAACTCATCCGCTCGCGACCGCGTGACCACGTGCTGGCGGGCGCCCTGCGAAATATACGGTGAAAGGAGGAAAGTCTCATCCGGGTCCGGCCATACCCGTCCTTGCCCGTCCGGCGCTGTTCCGCCCCCCCCCCCCCCCCCCCCCCCCCTCTGGCTTCTGGCGGCTATTCGTGGTTTTGTGGACCTAGGATAGATGGCGCCACTAAAACTCCGTATAATAAAAGTTTTGTCGATGATACCAGGGTTTTGACGCATTTATATATATGTTGCAACGACAAGATTTATAGAAAAGTTACCTTTTATCGAGGAGGTATTCGCACAACTTGCTATTTTTTTTACAACCACCCAAGTGACGTCACGCCGCTTGTTTCGCATGGCCGCCGCTCGTGGCTGCAGGTCGGGAAATATTCTAAGTTCTGCCTCGCTATTACGCGGCGGAATCGCAACATTTCGATGAAAGGAGGTGTGTTTTCTGCCATTTGTGACACAATGAACAATATCAAAAGCAGAAAATGCCAATTCTTTCAACATTAAAATCGTTGCACAGCTCCTTTAATCGGTTTAAACCGAAAACTCCGACCCCTGTCTATGAGGCACGTGGTAATTTCATCTGTCCACAATGCGGGAGGAGACAAAGCATCCACACTAATGGCACAAAGCACGGGCAAGGATACAGACCACGAGCTCTTAGCAGTTGATTCCAGTGCGCGAGGGCTGCATTGGCGCCTCCCATGGCTTCGGCCATGGGAGGTGCCTCCATGGCGAGCGCTGCATTGGCGCCTCCTATGGCTTCGGCCTCGTGTGCGTAGCATTCGTCTTGCTCCAAGTGAGTGTTAAAAAAAAAGCTTAGTTCTGCTTTTCACCGCATGAGCCATCTTGATAGAATCTCGAGGCAAATATCAGCCCATGCTAATGAACCATGGCATATCACTAATAACCGTAAGACTTTGAAACCCGCAAAAGCATATTCCTGAAAGTTGCACTTTGCAAAAAAATGGAGCCATTTACAGTACACATCCGTAACGTGTGTGTTGTAGAAAGTTAGATTTTAAGCAGAAAGAAGGAGCAAGCAAAGAACTGCGCCAAAACGGTCCGTGACCGGTTTCCAGGGTGCTGTAAACCCTCGAGGCCCATTCGCACACACTTGCGTCTGACTACGACCGACTGACACAGGACCGGTTTTTAGGCCTCTTGTGATGGCTTACGATTGACAGCAATCCAGCCGGTCGTAAGCCGTCAGAAGAGGCTTAGAAACCGGTCTCGTCTCAGTCGGTCGTTGTCAAAAACTTTAGCGCTTTGACCCCTGGGAATTTCTGTTTTAGTTGGAGTCCTCAGGTTTCAAAGAAACCTGAGACCCCAACTAAAAAAAAAAACATTCTAATGCATTCTTTTTCTGCAGGACGTGATGTCCCAGTTGGCTGAGCTGAACACCTTTTGGACAGATGTGCAGAGGGACTTTGTCGGTAGGTAAACAATTTTTTCTGTCTCGTATTGTTGCACCTATCGCATTAAGAAGCACATAGCTAAATGAGTCTGGAAACAAGATGTAAATAATTGTGATGATAATCATCATCGTCCCCACAGCCGCCACCATCATCGTCATTCCTTTGTATCGCTCCTAACATACACAGGCATGCTGGCCCACAAAAGCAAAGTTGAATTCTATGTGGGACCAGGTGGCCAACAGCAGACTGTGTGCATCAATATACAATACGAGCAAGACAGATGCTGTAATATACAAACTCTAGCAATGGGCATTATTGATATTTATCACTTGGTAGCTATCAATGTCTCATCTAAACAGGGCAAATGGCAATGTTTCGTGGTGCACATTTAATCCTTTTTTAAAGGTTTATCTGGGGTTCCGACTATAGAAGCATCTTCGGACGAGGAGAAGGGCTTCTCCCCGTCAGTTTGATGGTGCCGTCTGGTGTCTGTGATAGTTTTGAGGTGGTCAATTTTTTATATCAGTTTTAATAAAAAAATTGTTCTCGCGTGAATGTAATGTTTGGTTTTTTAGGCTGCTTAGAGCCCATAAACTGAGCTATGACCATAAATAGACTATCGCAGAAAGTGGTTGAGTGCTTCTCACACAGCCCTCCACTTCAACAGAGCGAACGCTGGAGGGGTCACCTCCTCTCCGGGGTTCGCTCTGCTAAAGCGGAAAGAACTGCAAGGAGCTTCCACTGAACCTTTAACCCGTCGCTGGCTATACAAACACTCCTCTCCTATTTCGCTCTAAAATTCCGACCCTCAATGAATCGTCGACCCCGCCAATCTTACGGATTGCAGCGCCTCTCTAGACTTCTTTCACTAATCCCCTAACCTGCTTTTTGTAAACGTGGTTGGCAGAGCACTTGAAGGCCTTCAAGCACCACTTCGACCTGATCCTGGAGGGGGAGAAGCAGGTGGACCAGGCCCGCAACGCCCTGGTCTTGTGCGAGCAGAAAGAGCTCAAGATCAAGAAGGAGCTCAAGAAGGCCTCTAAGGTGGGTTTTGGTGCGGGGGAACAAAGACTGTAGCAGAATACAGCAGGTCGCAAGCGCCGACATTGGGGACACCGAAAGAAAGGAACGGGGAAGAGAAGCCGAGAGAGGAAGCAGACGACAGGTTGGGCGCGCCCGTTTGTTGCGACGACTTAAAATTGGTCGAGCGTTTGTCAACTTCGTTTGTTTTCTTATCCAATGTCCGGCGCCAGCGTTTTTCGCTAAGCGTGTACAAAATGAGGATAGTAAAACGATGATGTTTTTCCTGCTCCTGCGTGTATCTGAAAGCGATGCCGCAAATAAATTCTAGCACCCATTTTATCCTCTAAATGTCAACCACCTTCTGGCCACACCACGGAGACACCAAATATTTTGCTCGAAAAGACATCAAAACATTATTTAAAAGCAATAAACCGAATGTCGTTACATCACTACAAACATAAAAGCAGCGCCACTCCTTAGAAGTACATCATCAAGCTGCGTTCGCGTGAATCCTGTTGGACCAGATTATTGTATTTTCTGAACTATAGGTCGCACCCTTGTGTAAGTCGCACATCCGTATATTGAGCCGTTTTCGTGGAAAAGTTGGTATATAAGTCGCACCTTTGTATAAGTTGCACCTCTTTGCATGATTCACGTGATGAGTTCTTTAGTTTACGCGCATTGGTATCGTGAAATCGAAGTTTCACACAATTGCTAGATCGCACTCACCGTTTGACGCACATTTTGACTCGCGAGAAATGCTCATAGTATGGTGCTGTCTGAGGGGGGCAACCTAGTGTTTCGCAGCAAACGGACGTAAAATGTGCAAAATGAGAGGGTAGTCGACTTTATTCGAGCAAACAAAAGTTTAAGGCGCTAGACACACTCGCGATCCAAACTTTGAAGCACTAGGCCTAGCCTAGGCCAAGTCCCGGAGACGACGCGAGCATCGAGGCAGAAAGATGAACCTTGACATACTTTTTTTGGTACGTCTAAAAGATCGGCTAGCCACGATCCTTCCTTTTACATGTAGCAACACAGGTGGAGCATGACACAAAAAAACTGCTTATCGAGCGGAAACTAAGAAAGACATGAGATAATATTCTGCAATGCGTGTATACCAGCCCACTTACTTTTCAGTGTTACTGGACTGAAGCAAAAGAATATGGAACCATGGCTTGACTAGGATATATCAGTAACATGCTGTAAATGCTTGATTCTCACTGTCTTGTCTATCCACATAGGCAAGACAGCCACTTTGGGGAAACAATAAAAATTAAAATATCTCGCATTCCGGTGAGGGTGGGTGCAACTGGTAGATCGGGGATCACGGGATATGGACGCCATTCTGTTGCTAAATTTTGCTGCGAGTCTGCGGAGCAAAGGGTCGTTTTATTTCCTAACTCTGGTCATAAGAGCCCATTAATGTGCTTGAATAATTTATGCAAGGTAAAATTGATTATTTTTCTATAGCCACCAGTTTTATTCCGATAGGATAAGTATTTGTTCAACGCGAAAAATGGTAAATTCCGCCATCTTGGACGTTGCTGCTTGTCTGGCAACCCTGCTTCCTCCTCTCGACGTTGGCAATTCCCGGAGCGAGAAAGGCTACGCCAAGGCATTCGTTGCCTGCAACGGGAGGCGAGAGGAGGAAAGGTGCATGGGGCAACAGAGTTGCAACAGAGCGGGCGTCTGCTCTCGTGCAGGCAACATTGGCGCATATCCTTTCCCAATCCTCTCCCTGGGTGCCGCCATTAAATTGCAAACACTCTCCAGGATTTGAGTTGCACACACCTTCACTAGAGCCTCCCTAGAATAGTGTGGCAACAGCAGTGCCTCCTGAAGAGGCAAACACCACCTATGGCTACGTAGTTATGGTGCTCCACAAAACACAAAGCGCAATGTACCATAAAAAAAAAAATCATGTCACGCCTCAAAAAAAATAAAAAATCTTATATACAATTTTTTATTTTTTTTCGCATTGCAGGAGTTGCATTGTTGTATGAGTCGCACAAAGGAAAAATGTTCGAAAAAAAAAAAAAAACTGTGACTTATACACCGGATAATACAGTAGTCTCCCCTCCCGGTCTATTCAACTCCTGCGGGGAGAGCAGGGGCAGATTTATGAGTTAGGCTTGCTGAGATACAACGTTACGGCCGAAACGTTGCCTAATTCTGTTTTGTTGACCTGATATTTGCTAATTCACCAAAAACTAAAACCTTTGGCAAATGTGTATGAATTTTTTCAGTAAAAACAAAGTTGACCTTGGGGGGCCTTTAGGCGGGCGTGGTTGTCCCCTCCCCAGTAAATCCACCCCTGGAGGAGCGGCAACTAAAAACGGCCAGGTCGTAGCAAGTTGATGACGCCCAGCGGCAGAGCTCGTAAGCTTGCCAGCCTCCAAGCAGTTTTGCCCGTGCTGGGCCAGATTGCGTCACGTCTCCCGGGACGCATCCCGCATTACGTGACGTTCCCCAATGTATGGTCTTCGAGCGCTCGCTGGAATCGGTCCTTTGGCACAAAAAATATAGCCATCCCTTCAAAATAGCAGCGTGCAATTACCATTAGCAGATAGAGTTGATCGTGTTTAACTTATTTCTGAATGTGAGAGGTATATTTTAAGTTTCGACTCTGTGTCCCTGTGAAGCGTCTCCAGTGATCTTAGCCCGTAAGGACCCCCGATGTCCGCGGCTCCGCTCCGCCCAGGGTGGATCCAAAGGGGAAAGCGACGGGGGTGGCCGCCCCCCCCCAAACTAAGTCGCCCCTCCCCCCCCCTTCTCAAAGGGAAATTTGACATGGGTAGACTCCCCTTCCCCAAATAGAACCGATTACCAACCTGCCAGGTGGTAGAAGGCTCGGTACTCAAAAGCAAGGGTTCAAAATAGTATAGGTCATACCCTAGCCGGCACACTTGTACTCTGAACGTGGAGCACCACTCCGTCGAATGGGAGAATAGTATACTTACAAATTCCCCCCCCCCCCCCCCCCCCCCCCAAGACGGGGTTCTGGATGCACCGTTCCAAAACGGCTGCAATGCATGGGATGCACCCATCTAGACTCCCTCCAGGGGAAAGGGGACCCTTCCGGGAACTGTTGCCTAAAACGGCACTCGTGCAGGAGATAAATCCACGAAGTGATGCACGTGGCGTTATCAACGGGCACAATTCCCCTCCCGGCTTCGTCGTTCACACCGACGGCGCGTTGTGGGGAGGTCTGGTGGCTTTTGCAGTCCAATTCAACAGTTTAGACTCTTGACACTGCTGCAAACAAATTTTGCCATCTTTACATTTTGCACCAAAGTGTTTTAACGATTTGGCGTCGCTTGGTTATCTCCATTGGATCGCAGCTGTGGTCGCACGAAAAGTGAAACAAGATATAACCTTTGTCGCATCATCTTTATTTTTTTTTTTTATATTTTTATTTTTTTTTTATTTTAGAGCATTAAGCAATTTTTGAGAATCTAAAAAGCTCCCGGGGCAATGGCACAATCACTTTTAGAATGAAGATGACGACCGTGTCTCGCATGCACGAGTCGATCAAGCAAAGCCTGCTTGCTCGTTCAGTTAACCATCATCGCGTTTGTGCCTGTGTCTATTCAACAGAAGGCGACGGTGGAAGAGATCAGTAACTTGGAGCTGAAGCTGGCCCAGGCAGAGAGAGCTAAGGACCTGGCCCAGTATGAAGGTGAGTGGACACTTTTGGGAGGCATCTAGTTCGAGTTTGGGCAAGTTGTCTTCTTCGTTTCGATCTGGATGAGCGTCGTGCCGGCACGTGGTCGTGTGTCACTGCTGCCTGATGCGCATAAAAGACCCCGGGATAGCAGCGATACTTCACTGGCTAAATTTCTCGCTTACGGCGTAGAGCAGTCTCGACGTACCTCAACGGCCGATCGACCTTACGCTGTGCAAACACCAGCGTCCCCCCAAAATTCTTTTTCCTTCTGTTAAGGGGAGTTTCTGAATCCCAGGTGTAGCTGCTAACTGCACCTTGCAGTGAAATTAAAAGTGCAGTGAAATATGTTGAGTTGAACAACTAAGAAACTTGTACACATTCCCAGGTCAAACCCTCGAAGAATTCCAAGGCTGGTATCATTGTATTTGCAGCGTCAGAGAGTTACTTCTTTGAAGCCATAAAGTATCTTTGAAGCTACAAGGTTTCTTTAGGTTTTGTGTCAGTGGAAGGCCTTAGCTGCAGTACAACCAAACCAGAAAGTTGCCGAGAGCCGGAACCTGAACCCGACAGAACCACACATTCACTCATTTGGTTGATTGGTAGCTCCTTCAGTTGTATGGTCTTTGAACCAATAAATTAATTGTCAATGAGCCATTCAATCATTTGGTTGGTGAACCAATCAATGTCTGAGCCAATCACTTGATTGACTGATGAATTGATTGATTGGTCGCCAAACCAGCCTAGGAGTCAATCATTTGATCAGTCAATGACCCATTTGATTTGCTGGACAATTGATAGTTCAATTAGTCGAATGATGAGTCAATGATGGAAAATTGATAGTTCAATTAGTCGAATGATGTGATTAATTTATTAAATGATCAGCCAGTCTTTTCATTAATCGTCCAATCGATGGACCATTGTGCAGCCATGGAGAAGGTGCAGGAGAACGAGGCAGTCAAGCTGATCCGGGTCAAGGAGGGCTTGCTCAAACTGTCCGAGGCCTACCTGGAGCTGGCCAACAAGTGTGCCATCATCTTTGAGTCGCAGAGGGACATTGCCGCCCACATCCCGGACGTGCACCACATGGCCTTGCACGAGATGAAGTACACCGGTGGGTGGCTCTAGTGGCCCGCGTTGTTTGTGGAACTGCATTTTAATCCTGTTTCTACGGAAGCAGTTAAGGTCAATTCACACATACATTATAGCACTAAATCAGCACAAGGAACAATGCATACTGATGCGTCATTTGCCCGAATGTAGCCTAAAGCTGATGTAGCACTGCACGAGTGCGTCATCGTTTACATTGCGAGAAGTCAGGGCTGTGGCAGCGAGGTTAATGCTATTTCAAGTGCTGACCCAGAGTGCCGTGGTTTTTGCGGGAAAAAGCCTTCACTGTATGATATTGAGCGAGCTAGCCATAAGGACCGTTGAAGGCCTCGATATCCGACTATGCTCGCTCTTGCGATTTGTGTGTGGTACTGTTAAAAGCATGCATAACCGTATAAAGAATGCTGCTCCTACCCGGTGATGTCTGGCCTGTCATTGTACGAGGTGTCTATGCATTTTCAGAAACTAACATGTGTGGTGGCGTCTTTAGCCACAAACACTTAATGCACTTTGCTCACTTTTTTTTTTTTTGGCAATTTTATTACTACAGATACTTAAAAGGACGGTGTCACGATATCCAGTTGGAATGCATTTCACTTTACATGAGCTTACTGGCATTAGTGGGACTCAAGGATACTCGCACGCAATGCCACTGGCCAAAAAACTCCTTTGTTGCGGTGTAATTTCAAGGACAAAAGCGAGCGTTTTCAGTCACTCTCTCCTTCACAAAACTTGATGACGCAGCTGGGCGGTCGCAGGACCGCCGAGTGACGATATTTGAATGAGGCTCATAGATTGGACTCGAGCATTTCGTCGGCACTCGATTTGGGCTCGTGATAATCTATAGCTCGAGAACCATTCAGGTAGTGGCCCGTGTCCAATCGCTGCAATGACTACAATAGCCGAACCATAACAAAGTCTGCAACTCAGCTCATGTCCTGTGCGTTGCTAACCCCAGCGTGTGGCTATGAGCAATATTGGTGGCATATAATCGGCTCCAGATCATGTGGCCGCTTGTCCTGGCTGCGAGTTTGTGAGGGCGAAGGCTGCTCGTTTTTCTTTCGTTTTTCTGCGATTTCGATTGCGTGTGGTGAAAAACGAACAGGTGTTTCACAGGTCACTAGCGTCAGGGATCCATTCTAAGCGGTATTTGCGCAAAATACAAAAATCATTGCATCGCCCCTTTAAGCGGAATGATTTACAGAGGTGTTGAGGCTACTTCACGTATTTCCATCGGTTGCGTCCTGAAAGCAACCGCAACGGCAGCGATGGTGGGGACAGGTGTGTCTTGTGGTTGTGTCACGAAGCTGCTTCTCTCATCGCTTGCCGTGATCTGTACGGGAAAGAGTTGTTCCGTCGACCTTGTCGTTTTGGTCACTCTGAATGCAACAGACACAACCTTCTGAACCACCTTTCTGGGATGCATTTGACTCCAAGGGTTTTGTTCTGTTCTGAACCACATTAAGAAAGCTATTTGCCGTTTTTTTTCTTTTGGTTGTGCAGGCACAGGTGCCATGAAGCAGGCGGTGCAGAAGGCAAAAGATCGTGTGGACCAGTACCACCTGTACCAGTACCGACTCATCCCTCACTGCCCCTCCGTCGGTGAGTGCACCGACTGTGGGTTGCCATCGTGCCGGCGTCCTTGCCGTCATTTCGGGATGGGAGCTCACTCGAAGTGGAACTCTGTGTTCTAAATTTGGCATCGGGAGATGGCAGGGGGTTTAAGGAAAACAGACGTGCTTGTAGTAACAGTAAATGAGGCAGCGTGCTCATCAAATTGAGTCAATAAAAACACTGTTAGTGTTTTTATTGACTACAGGCATTTCTAGGCGACCTTTGCAATAGCATGCTGAGAGAAGAAAAAAAAATTGTTTTTCTCGTCAAGAACAAGTTGGAAGGACCACCATCGTGGTTTGAGTCGCGTGCAAGCCACGCGTATTGTTCGTCTGTGGTCTTGCTTATGATTGCGAGCCTCTCAGCTTCGACAGCGCTTCGTCCTCTCAGAAGCTCTGACTGTGCATGCGCAGCCAAGGCATGACGAAGGGCAGCGAGTTGGTGGCTAGGAATGCGGAAGAGATGCTTTGCACTTTCCCTGTCGGTGGTTGTCGGGGAGAGAGATAGTAGGGGCTTCATATCGGAGAGATTAGCTTTAGGGTGACTCTAGGTTAATATGAATCTAGACTTAGTCCTCTAGTTATGGCCGAGTTTGAGGTGCGGCTTTCTTCGCCAATAGCCTGTCCTCGTCCCTCACTCTCACAGAAGAGCCGCCCCCGCCGTACACCCCCGGCTACTACGACCCCACCACCGGGCAGCCCTACCACGTCCCCGGAGGCGACGAGGCGGCCTTCGGCTCGGTACGGCAGCGCGTGGTGCTTCCCTCCTGCCCCGCCCCCGCATTCGGGGGGGGCCGGGGCCTGGCGAGGCCCCCCCCGGTGCCCCAGCAGCTGCCTTCCCGTCCCCCCGGCGGCAACAACAACCCCGACTGGCTCCTCCCGAGGGACCCCCCCGCCGCTTGCCCCCCCAGCCCCTGGCCCCCCGCGTGGGGCTCGGACGGGGAGGAGGAAGACCGGCTCTCCGCCGCCATGGGGGCGGCGAGGCTGGGATGACCCCTCGCCCCGCCGCGGGAGCCGCCGCTCTTTTAGGGAAGGACCGACGCCTGTGCCTCCCCCGTCTCGTCTGGTCTTCCCCCGACTGCCCGGTTTCGAAAGGCCGCTCTGGCTCGGCCCCAGCCGTTTTTTTCCGGCGGGGACCTTTAGGAGAGACTGTCCCCGAATGGCTGTCTCTCGGGTCTTGCACGTAGGGAAACTCCTGCCAGTCTTCCCTAATATTTTGGGGGAAGAGGTGCCCCATTTCGTTTTCCCCTTGGGTTTTAGGGAAGCACAATCTTTCCACTGTCCCTAGAAAATGAAATGGGCAAATTCACCCTATGATTTTGTTAAAACGTGCATTTCCCGTTACCTGTCCCCAGAATGTTGATGGTGTCGATTGACGAGAGCCTTCCAAAGTTTATTGTTTTTTTAAATTCCAGTTGGCTTTTTGCTTCAGGTTTTCCATGGTGCTGTCGCCCCCTGAATTTTTTTAGGAATGACTTATCTGGGCTGGCTTTCCCCAACAGGCGAATGGTGATCTCTAGCTTCTCTTCTCTTTAAAACTTTTAGGGAAGACTGCCTCTCGTTTCCCGTCTCTGGGATCTCCCCTAGACTTCGAAGCAGGGTACTTTTGATCGGCATCCACTTCAACCTTTCTGGAACGTTGTTCATTATGTACCTCTAATACCAGGTTGGCTGTGAGGGGCCGGGGAGTCCTGTCTCCTGCCTGTGTTCAGTGTTTTTCTCTGCCTTGGCGCATCTTGGGGAACCTAACAAAGGGTGCCAGCAGCCCTGTGGTTGGATCGGCTTTAGGAGTTAACGCATGGATCATACTTCGTCGGTTTTTAATTCTAAATTGCCGTTCTCCGTCATCGGATACAACGGTAAAGAGCCTTGCTGGACGCCATCAACGTCGATGCCTCCATGAATAGTACACGATCGAAGGAAGAACGGGGGAAGGAGGTGCCCGGGGTGTTCGTCGGAACGGCGGCGTCGGTCCTTTTATCGTAAGCATGCGTGAATGAATGCGTGCGTGGGTGGTTGGAGAAGGCATTTACGGCTCATCCTCTTTCAAAAACATCTTTGCGACAAGCGACTCTCCACCGGGGTTTTCCCTCATTTCCCCAAGTGTCTGTTTAGTCTGAATGTCGTCTCGGTCGCCGTTGGGACGGCATGCTGTTTCGGGACAGAGAACTGCGAAGGGGGTGCCGGTGCAAAGTTTTCGGTGCTTGCAGTTCTGTTCCGTGCCAGCACGTCTCCTCCGAAAGTCGGAGTTTACATTTTGACGGTGTTCTACGAGACGTCGGCGAACGTGCCGAACTAATCAGCTCTGATGCACTTCTAACCCCAGCACAATCGTCGTGTCACTGCCCAGTACTGTCTGCTTACCACGAGTTCGAGTGGTGCCTCTGGGGGTGCCCTCACCCTCTTCCGAAAGTGCACTTACGCAGCTTTAGCGAGCTAAGGATTTGAGCTTCGGGAAAGGGTTAAAGCGCTCCGAGAGCACCATTCGAATTTTCTCTTAGGCATTTTATATTTTGTGTTTCTTCACGTTTTATAGCAATTTGTTGATAGCTTTGTTGCCCTGGATCAACCCTCTTCCATTAAGCAATTGAATTGAAATTACAATTTTTTTTTGTAGGGAACTGTAAAGGTTGCAATGTGTAGGAATTTCTTTTCATTTAAATTTTGGTTTAGTGTGTTTTACTAGTTGAAATGAATTTGTGTATGGTATTTTTCATATTCATGATTTCTTTAGACTTAGTTTTGCATGTCTTCAAATTTGAACACCTGATCACACGTGAAACCATTGCCAGCAGCCACTTTCAAAATATTTATTTTTAACATGGTTTTCTTGCCCTTAAAGCTTTGACACTTAAAAACTGTGATAGCTGTTGGGTGTTTGTGAAAGATAAGAGAAATGATGGTGTGTGTTTGTTTTATGTATATCTAGTGTCTAGGTTTTGGTAATAAAGGCCTTTGTTTTAGGGATGCTTTCAGCTTTTAGTCCGATTTTCCTTCTGTCCTACAGTTTTAAAATACCAATAAGCATTTATTGTACTCCATAGGGGTACTAAAAACAATTTTTTATGAAGTATATTTGGCATGGTATCAGTGTTTTTTTGTTGTTTTTAATAAAAATGATGGTGAATACCAATATCTGTGTTGGTGTGTGCATTTGACCAAGTTGCGAGTAAAGTCTGTAATAAACACTTCCTATGTCATTTTTTTTTTTTTTTTTTTTGTAGATATACTGATTAATCATGTAGCAAAATGTAGAAAGTAGCATATCTACTGGCAACAGAAAGAATAAAACTTGAGACGAAGGACGGCGAACATATCTATCTCGTTGGAAATGTTACGTAAACTGCATGTTTGTAGGGAACTGAGCACGATGCTGCAGTGATTACAGTTTCTTCGAATCGCTTGCTACAGAAAGAAAGAGGGAGAGAGAGAGAGGAAACTTTCAGGATTGGCTTGGCTTCGCAAACGACTGCGCTTTGGTTGGTTTGTCTCGACTTGTTTTGGCTGAAACTGGCTTGATGACTTTCATCGTTTCAAAAGGCGAAACAAGCGCAATCTGAAACATTCCAAGCAAGCTCTAACCTGACAGTTTTTATGCACGTCCTGCAGCCAGTAGTTTTAATCTGAGGGAGATTATGAAATTAAATTTTCGATATCTGAATGTCGATTTTGAGCACACATCGCTAATCCCAGGTTTCTGTCACTCGTCAAAATCAACATGGCCGACTTTTGAGGGTGCCGTTTGCTAGGAATGTGTGACTGCCACTTATCGTTCCCCGCATGCGTATGAAGCTCGGTCGGAATTTAAAGCAAAAAAGCCTCACCGCCAGTTTATCCTCATCGAAGATACCCAGGTAAGAACACTCAATTTCCCTCAGACGCGTCGAATCTGCTTCAGTCTGACTCATAACGCTCAGCTGTTAAGCCTATACGACGAGCTTTTCTGGATGTTTCTCCATATAATTTTAAATTTCTGGGTGTTCCGACGGATTAATCTGTTACGCAACGTGATCTGAACCATTCCTCCACATCTCTGTAGTTCGAGATATTGGCTAGTAACTCGCGGTCAGTTGGTTGACGATCAACGCATTGGAGTGACAGATATGTCATGTGCACGGATTCGGTCTTTTTCGTTTTTTCTTATTCTTTTAATGCGTCATGGAGCGATCATTTTTGAGTGAGCAGTGATTGATAAAAATTTACTTTCATTCTATAGAAACAGTAATTTAGTCTTTAGTGCCTGTACGCGTTAGGTCGTCTCAAACCTTTTCAGCAAATCGCTCTCGATTTAAGTATTGAGCACTAAAAGGTTCCGGCGCTGACACCATGCTTGTCTCTGAAGATATTTCCTAAATTATTTTCTGAAGTGCCTCTATAGATTCTTTGTTAGTAACTGTCTAAAGATCATTCTCCAATTGACATATCTCTGATTTACAACTGCTTAAGCATTAAAAGGGTTCAGACGCTGACGCAATAGTATTTCGGAGGGCTTTCTGCGAGTTATTATCTAAAGGAATTATTCTGCAGCGCACATTGATTTCCCGATAACCGATCGAGCAAATTCGTGGTCGGTGTTTTCACTGCTTTCGATAAATCATAATAAGAGGCGAGGAAGTCTATTGGCTGAAAACATAAATCCTTTGTTTTTGTCTTCCCGCTGTAAGCTGAGGGAAAGTTTGCGAGGTATTGCTGAGTGTAAGTCTAACATTTGCGTACTAGCCCGCTCAATCCCAAATTCAACTCGAAGTTAACTGTTTTAGTAAAGATTCTTACCGTCAACTCGACTTCGCGCATCTAGCGCGTGGCACGCATTTTAAGCACTCGAAGTTAAAGAGCAGAACTAACCGACCGTTGTAAACATCTGTAGAGTGACGTTGCGGACAATCGCATCGTTAAACATAAAAAAAAAAAAAAAAAGTACTATCTACTAAGATACGAGACACACATCTTCTGTTTGCTGCCTTACAAGCAGACCATCTTAAATAAGAAGAAAATCGTACTCAAGAAACTTTCCATCGTAAAAAAATCCTGTAAAACGTGTAGTTTGTACTCTGGTTGTCGTTGATTCTTCACCTAGTGTTTTATATCATAGTTAAAAAAAACTACAAATATCTTTAAATGGGACCTCGCTTTTAAAGGGGTTTAAGAATCTCGATCGCGTGTTTTCGGCTGCTTCAAAGTTTTTTGTTCTTTTTTTTTTTCGGAGAGAGAGAGTTATGCGAGATGCTAAAATCTAAACGGCGCAGGAAACGTGGCGAGCGCGATATGCACACGAGATTCGGTATTGCGAGCCCACGCCAGAGCGAAATCCCCGGCGAAGCAAAACGCGTCGGCAAAAAAATGTCCGCGGGCGCGACTCAGCCGTAATCAGGGGTAAAGCAACCTCGTCGGTCGCCGCCGCCGCCGCCGCAACCGCCAGTTCCCGGTTTCGGTTCAATGAAAACTTCCCTATTAGCGGTGGAATCGAAGGCGACCTCGTTTGAGTGACACAGAGTTCCTTCCGAGATCTGTAACTGGTCGCCGTGGCTGCCACTACCGTGCATTGAGTTGATGGTTACGCGTTGATTAATTGATTGATTGATTGATTGATTGAGGCATGGTTTTCACTGCAGACATACCAACAAAAGTATCCACAGAGACGCTTTAAACGTGTTTCGGAGCATGTTTGCTTTATACGCATGTAAGCTTTGATCATGTCTGCAGTTTTGCGTTATGTAGTAACTGTGTGACCGTGGCTTAATTAAGAGCCCATTGCTGGGTCTCAAATAAGTTGCGCATGATGCAGAAACGAAGCTTCGTAGAGGCCGGGTGGCTCGGTACAAAGACGTAGTTAGTCATTTTGTCGCGTGTGTGTTCCGAGAGTGGAATGCTAGTCGGTCCCGACGGGTGTCTGGAGTCTTTGCCATAGATGAGAAATTTGGCCTGCGCAGTACGACCACTAGTCCGGGGTCAAGCGTCACACCGGTACAGTGCTTATTCGGATCGAAATGACCAGGTATTGAATAACCCGGGACATCTGGGTTCTGCAGTGCGAGCTTTCGCTCCACGGTCTCGGAGCTTGCAGTGCGTTGGTACGCTGCAGCGTGAAGGAGTAGTGAGCGTCGTAAAACATACGCAGTCGCCGGGTAGTCCTTGGGTCACATTGCGGGTTTTCCAGCTTTATCCGAAGGAGGTGCAATTTCGAAAATGTTCGCACAAAGGATGCGAGTGAATGATGGAAAACACGGGCGGGGTAAGTACTCCCAACTTAACTGCCGGGAGTATGGATAAAATGAAAGCTCGTAGAAATGTTCATATTGCCCGAGAGTGCGTCGACCTACGGTGGCGCATCGGCGACGGTAATAGGTGGGAGGTGGGATATGTCGGTGAGCTAGCTATAGGAAGTATGCACGAGGTATAAGATGCACTAGTGAGAGGCAGGTCAAGGAGGCTAATTTACATAATTATTTTTGTTGTGTGTATTTTCAAAAAGCCCATATTGCAATTGAACTATGGATATATTGTGTACATCTGCCTGAGTGACTCTGCCAGTCATAGGTGGGGTGTGTTCTACTAATTACATGCAAAGAAGGTTGCTCGGGTTTCTAATTAAAAGTTTGCGGACAGACAAAAACGACATAAAATACTTAATCCTGTCGCAATCGGAGCGTTAGTGTTGTGTTTGTGTGACACACAGAACAAGCTTGAGCGGTAGCGCAGGTTTTCTTTAGCTTCTCCAGCGCTGCATGGCACGATGGTGGCCCAACATTTTAATTAGTCAAATTAATTAACCACCGCCAGCGGTCTACCTCCGTGTCTGCCCCCCCCAACTTGTCGGCAACCTAATTGGGGTTTCATGCGTGCAGTTTTCTTTTGTATGTAGGTAGCGACATCTGCGTCTTAATAACCAATTAAAGTTTGTAGCAGTTTTTCCCCCCTCTTTGTTTTTTTGTTAATTTTGGTGTTGCATTTTATAGATTTTGTGACCCCGCCTGCCTCCTGAGACGGCGAGTCTGGTTGCTAGACTCGCTCTGGCTAATTTCAGCTTCTATTACACTTGGATCGCGTTACTGTTGTGACATTTTGTTATAGGGACCTTGGTTGGCAATTCATCACCACAGTACATTTTAAAATTATTTATTGTGTAGGCTGTAATGCAGACCTAACCCGCCAGAGCCATCATTTATTTCGTTTGTATTTTGCTTCCACCATCTGCAATGTTATTTTATGTTTGTGTTCGGGTGCTTTTCTTTTTTTTTTTTTTGACTGCGAAGAAATTTTTAGTTTTCCGAGTTCTCTCAGTGTCTGTTGTGGTTATACAATCTCCGTTATGCATCGTTTTTTGACACCCTTGGCAAATTGGCGCAAAAGTATGTGCAAACATACACTCGATAAACATAGCATGGTGTATTCTCGGTGATCTATTGGTTCAGCAGTCAACAGGCATGGATTTCGGTTTTTGGTTTCTTTAGTTTCCTCCTTGGCTGCCATCGTGTAACAAATACATTATTGCGTAAATCACATCTTGAGATGTTCCTGGGATTTGACGGCTTGTTTTTAACCGACGATCGGCTGCCGAAACATCTGTACCTAACCACACCTGGCTTTCACTTTTCATTTTGTAAATTCTTCGTTTTTTTTTTTTTTTTTCAATGCAATTCATCTGTCAACTACTTCATATTTCTTGAGGCATGTGGGTTTTCTAAGCAGACAATCAGCGAAACGATGTTTGTTTGTGCTTTTCACATTACAAGTCCAAGAACAATACGTTGTTCTGTTAAAAGGTTCACCATCCAGCATCGACGACAGCGACTCTTTTTCTCGACTCTTTGCGGCAATCTCTTCATGCCATTCCCTGCTCCGCGCTTCCGTCGCTGTCCATCCCTTCGATATACTCGTTTAATCGATTCCCGCAGTCGAAGGTTGCGACCCTCGTTAAACGAAAACGGTTGCGCGTGACGTCACGACTCCAGCGTTTCGGGAGCGTGCGAGAAGGTCGTTCGAAGCGTCACGTGATCGCTGTCGAACCGCTAACCGAGAATTCCGGATAACGGAACATTGCCTGTGCGCAGACGACGCCGAGTGAAAAAAAAAAAAAAAAAAGGGGGAAGTGGGAGGCGGTGTCTTCGTCTACCAACACCGGTTGGCAACCTTGTCGGTCTCGTGAATGCGCTGCTGCTGGCGAAGTACGTAGCGTCGCGGCGTCGCCCGCCTCGTCGGAACCCACGACGACGACGTCTGAGCTGACGCTCGGGGTTTGTCGTCCCGTTGTTACGGCTTCTCGGTCTCCGTCCCGTAAGAAGATCCCCGTGGATTGTCGTCCGACGACCGCTCTCCCCGTACTCGTCGGTACGTACTCGTTTCCCGAAGATACGGGCTCTACCGCGACCCCCCCTTTGTCCATTCAGAGATCTGATCTTGAAAATCTCGTTCTGGCATCTCGGCTTTTTTTTCTTTTCTTTTTGTACATTATTGTTCCGGGCCATCGGGTGATCGTGTCGAAGCGGCTTTTGCCGGTTCGAGGTGTAACGAGACGGGGTAATGTCGGTTCGGAAGAATATCTGTACCTGTTTCGTCACTTGGACCTTGGGGGAAAAAAAGAAAGAACCTTGTTTCTCCATTGACACCGAAGGAAACGCGAAGGAATTGGGCATCTCTCTCTTTTTCTTCATTTTCTTCTTTTTTGAGCTCGGATAGGGAAAGAATTTTGCTTGTTGCGTAATCGTCGTGGCAGGGTCGCCGGCTGTGCGGAATCATCGTCGCTGCGGTGGCCGATGCTAGCCGTGATTTCGGGAGAATCTGGAGTTCTCGAAAGTCACGCGTGCTAGCGCGCGCTCCCGTCCTGCGCTTGGTTGGATTCCCGGAAGGGTGCTTTGCCGCATGGCTCCGGCGTTTCGCGGCGAAGCCATTCATTCGCGGCGCTCTGGCAATGGACGTTCCGATTATATTATTGCGCGTGGAGGTTTTCGGTGTCGGGCTGGCGTGGTGAATGCTGTGGGCAGCGTAATGAAGCAATATGTAACTTCTTGTTTGCTTCCTTTTTTTTTCTTTTTTTTTTTCTTGGACGTGTTTTGCTTTTGATACTTTTGGATGACTGCTGACCTGGAGTAGGGCATTTTTTTTTGTTCTCTCCTTGTCCGACATGCTGCTGATATATGCGAATATTATTTAAGCGTTCTTTATGCGGGAGGAAATATCTTTCGAATACAAATGTCTATACCTAAAACTCGAGAAATGTATTGAACAGTTACGTGTCTCGGGTGAGACATTTTGAAATACCCACGAGGGATGGCGGTGGGCGTCTCTGCTCTGGATTTTCTCTTTATTTATGACGACGGGTATCGTCTTGTGATAATGAAATGTTGCTATCGGCAGTCCACACGTGACTGTACAAGATGAGGGGAGGCGCCGTTGGACTTGGGGGGTCGAGGGAGCGTGTTGCAGTGTTGAGCAAGTGCGGCTTTAGAAACTGATTTTTGTTTTATGTGGATGTATGCATCAGCTACTGTGCCTTTTATAGTGTCGTACCCAACTTGTAATGGGAGCGTGTCAGTCTCTCTGTCCGCAGCTTGCTTATTGTTTGTTGATGCTGTTCCTATCTCAAAGCATGCTCTAGCAACTAGCCCAGGCGTCTGCCTCACTATGGGACGTTTCAAGCGGTCTCCCCACTGCGTGGGGCACACGCTTTTTGCCTCGTCTCTGCTTCAATCTGTTAACATCTACCACCGGTGCCACCAATTTATGTGTTTTATTTTGTTTGCGTGAGCCTTGCTCAAGTTAATAGGTGGACATTGCTGGGTCGAATATGTTGCGATTAAGGGGCCCCTGAAAAGAAAAGAAAAAAAATATTTCTTTAAACAATCTAGTTGGGATGCCAGAATCAGTCTAGTTGGAATACTAATCAAAAAAAAATTTTTGCGCAAAAAAAAAAAAGAATTTTGCGCAAAAGAAAAAAGAATCCTTTCTACCCTCGAACATCTTTAGTTTCTTTGCCTCTGTCTCGGGTTATTTATATTTAACATTATGATAACATAACCACAATGACACGAGACTGGGGTTAAGGTTGGGGCTGTGTTTGTTTAGCTTCTTTTGCCTGTCCCTTCTACTCTTGAACGTTTTCGGTTTCCTTCCCGTCTCCAGTTATTTTACGTCATGCTAAACTCTGACCACCTTCTCTGCACTCTCAGTGTTTTTTTTTCTTTTTTCTTGTGAATGCTTGATGGAAATTTAGGTACATCTTAATCATAAGGTAATGCTAAAGACATAGAATGTGCAGCCTTTTCTTGAGCTGGACACTTTCTTTTTTTTTTCCTTTTCTTATTACACAAGCCAAAACTTTTAGCGGAAGCTTGTACACACCAAATTTAGCGGAGAAATTGAATTGGTGAGCACTTATACAACTCGGGTTACCTGCCTATAATATAGGGGGAATTGAATTGTTGCATAATTACACATCATTTATGCACCTGAATTGGGGTATTTTGCACCAGTTTAGGTTTTCCCACTAAATTTAGCGGGGCAATTAAATTGGCTCATACTTACGTTTCAGTTCAGGTTTTCCGGCCAAATTTAGGGGGGCAAATCACGCGTTAAGGCCCATTCACGAAGGAGCGTTTGCCGACATTTTCTAGCGTTACGTCATAAGTCGCCAAGACATCCGTGCGTCGTACGTCGCGTGCAAGGCCACCCCTTCGACTGGTTAGCACGCATTATACGAAGCACGGACTTTGCCCGCGACGCATCTTCCTCAGTGAACGTAAAGTCTTGTAACGTAATGCGATGTAAGCAAACTGTAGCGTGTGAACTAGCCGTTTCACTCTTACGAAACCCTTTCTTGGGGGTTACGTTTTCATGCAGCCCTTTCTCTAAACACATTCTTTTTGCTAAACTCCGAGCCAAAGTACACGACACTGAAGACGAGCGCGCGTCTTTGCCTCGCAGCGCGCGCCCATGGCCGGCGGACCGGCGGGGCCTCGGACGAAGCCCTGAGGGGGGGCCGGCGGGGCACCGGGGAGCGGCCGGACGAGGGGGCTCCCCCCAGGGGGGGGCTCCCCGCTAGGAGCCCCCATGACGAGCCGCAGGCAGCAGGGGGGCGGTGCCGGGGGAGGGGGCTCTGGCCAGGAGGGCTGCCCCCGCACCCTCACGGTGGCGGTGGTGGGGCTGAGCGGCACGGAGCGGGAGAAGGGCCCCACGGGGGTGGGCAAGTCGTGCCTCTGCAACCGCTTCGTGAGGCCCCTTGCGGACGACTACCACACGGACCACATCTCGGTGCTCAGCCAGACGGACTTCGGCGGCCGGGTGGTCAACAACGACCACTTCCTCTACTGGGGGGAGGTCAGTCCGCCCTTCCTCTTCACTTCACCTTTTCTTTTTTGTTTCGACGGTGTCGCTAAACTCGCAAACAATGAGTTCTTTCGGCGCTTTTATTTTTTCCCCTCTTCAAATCGGTTTTTTTGTGTGTGTAATTTCGGTGCCGGAGAGAAATCTGTGTTTATCGGGCTTATAAATTTATAAGTTATCTATCGTAATATTTTCTCCAAAAATAATGTAGTCTCTTTTCTACGCATAAAGCGACTGCAAAATTACTGGAGACAATATTATGATTTGTAAGCTATAAATTAGAACATTTTCTCCAGTAATGCTGGGAAAGAAAAGAGAAGGGAATAAGGTGAGGAATGTGGTCTAGGTAAATAGGGGAACAACCCCAAGGATAGTTCAGTGCAGGTTTGTTCCAGGTCAACGGGGGAAAGAAAGAAAGGAGGTTAGAAAATCAATTTTTGTGAAGCTGGCATGTTTTTTTTTTGTTTTGTTTTTTCTTTCGAGGACAGCTTAAATGTCCAGTTTTTTGGTTTTCACCAATTCAGAGAAAACTGCCTCGAAGATTAATTTTCTGTGTTTATTAGTTTATTTCGAAAACACGGAACCCTAGTGATAAGCAACCGTTCCTCATAGAAAGTGCATACATCTGATCTTGCAAGTACCGCCAAACCTTCGGTGTAGTTACACAAAGTTTTGCGGCTACCCGCCCAGCCAGGGCCGTAACCAGGGGGGGAGGGGTTAGGGGGTTCTGACCCCCCCCCCCCCCCCCCGAAATTTTTTTCTGGGTACAGCCCTGGTCGGTGCACTGGCAGCCAGCCGATTTTAATCTCCACCTCTGCGCATGCGCAGTGGCGCCGGTCGGCTACCGGGTACCAAACCGGGACCGGTTCTCCGGTTTGCTGTAACTCTCCATTATATGCCACCGATGCACATGATTCATAGGCGAAAATAAGACGATAGACACTTTCAAGATGGCCGCTGTTGTCCCCGAAACCCCCCCCCCCCCCCCCCCCCGAAATATTTTTCTGGGTACGGCCCTGGCCCCAGCGTTCCGACACGTCCTCTTGTCATAAGCAGTTACGAGAGAATGCAGTGCACTCAATCGTTCCCAAACGCAACAGGCCTCAGTTGCCTTAGTGACTATCTCGTCGTAAGCAGCAGGGGTGCAGTTGGTCGTACCCAGGCACAAATTTTTGAAGCCCGCTTAAGATGCAGAAGCGAGACACTGAAGTGTTAGACCGAGAGAACAATGCATGGCGTCACCGCTGCCCCACTTCTAGTGGCCAGCGTAACTGTTCACGTGACCATGCGACAGCCAGTAGCATTTGCATCGAGAATTGCATTATGGGTCTCTAAACAATTGCATTGGGATGTGTTTTTTATTTTTTTTTTTCATTTTCATAATGTTAATTTTGTGAAGTGCAAAATCTTGCTCGTGGCGTTGACTATCGCGGGCACGTGATCCGTAACAATGCTTCCGAGTCTATTTGTGTTGCCCTTCTTGCGCATCCGGTCGGCTCGTACAGCTTGTTTGCGGTTGGCATGTTTTGCTTAAGTGCACAACGCTTCAATCGCACATATCGTAGACACACGTGGCCGACCTGGGGCTTCTGGAGGGTCCATTTCAGCTTTTGCCTCTCTTTCTGTCCCACAATTGGAGAGAAGATGAATCGGATTAGCTCTGATCTGGAACTTTGCCTTGTGACAACGTTAGCTACCCTAGAGTGTCACTTCCTTGTGGAAGTTGAGAGGAAACCCTGATTGTATTTTCAAATTTCGAGTTTACCGGCTCCTCTCTTCCGAAGAGAGGGGGAAGGAAGGTGGAAGCAGAAGAAGACATCTTCATGTTCCCTCGAAAGAAGTGGAGGCAGTGAAGAAACAACTTATGAGGAGATATCGGGGTTGCTTTGGCGTCCTTCACGTTCGAACACAGGGAAAAAAAGTCACTGCTCGACAGCAGTATGAGACTCTTGCGCTTTGGCGGCACCACGACGAGGTGGGCGGTGATTGTGGCGATTGTGCTGAGTGTGGCGTGCGTGCAGGTGGTCAAGTCGCTGGAAGAGGGGCCCGAGTTCAACTTCCACGTGGTGGAGCAGACGGAGTTCATCGACGACTCGTCCTTCCAGCCGTTCAAGAGCGGCAAGACTGACCCCTACATCAAGCGCTGCACGGCCATCAGGCTCACCTCGGCCGAGAAGTTCATGTACATCTGCAAGAACCAGCTGGGTGGGTGGCTCTGCCGGCTCCCACGCCTTTCGATCGTGTCTTTCTGGTTTTATGAGGACACGCACTCGGAGACGCCACGGGCAATCGAGGAAACATCTTGTGCATTCGTACGGCTGCCATTTTGGCTGGTTTTTTACACCGCCGGTTCTCTTCCTACGTTAATGGGAGGACCTCTTTGGGGGAGAAGACTGATTAGTGAATATATAAATGTAGACAAGCAGAATCGAAGTACGCCCATAACATTTTGGTTCAGGCATTTGACACAATAATGCGACAAAAAAATTAATTTCGGAGAAAAGATACTTTCTTTACCTGGAGTGATTTTGTAACCTTAACCGACACGACACGTGGAGGTGCCGAATTTTTCGAATAAACTCCGACAAGTCCCGGTTTCTTAGGCCGAATTGCGTAGCAAACAAAGGTTGAAAGTTTGATTGACTCTCCTCTAGCTTATTGCAACGTCGATTTAGCAGCAGCAGCTCCGCCTTCAGAACGAGCTCTAACTTTCAACAATGATATTGCCGCAAACATGACCAGGAAGGAACTCTTCTCGGTACTTGTAGAAGTTTCGAGTTTAATTTTACCCCAAGTGTAAAACACAAGGAGGCCTACATGACCTTGCCGACTCGCTCTAGCCCACTCCCGAACGTTCTAGGTCGAATGTTCGAGATACCAAGAGTAGTAGATGAGGAGCCGAGCGTGGCCTTGCCGACTCACTCTCGCAGTCTAGCTCCAGCCAGCTGTGACGCCGACGCCGCGACATTTGCGTCTGCCGTTTCGACGCTCATTCTTTTTTCTGTTTCTGGCACAAGTTCGCCGATTAAATCTTTATTTTTAGTGTTACGACTGTCCTTGGTCATCCGCAACGTATACCCTGTCGCAGGCGAGGAACTCCTGCGGCAAGGCCTTCCAGTCTTTCCACTTTAACGGGGCGGACGCTGGAGAGGAGGTGAGGAGAGCTAAGAGGGGACATGCCTCCTCTCCAGCACCTGCTTTGCCAAAGTGGAAAGGGTGGAGGGCCTTGTAAGGAGTTTGTCCCGCTCTTCTTAAACTGCAACACGATTAGTAGCACGTAGACTCCCTGCGACAGTAGGGAATGCCACAAACCGGTCTTGCTTGGGTCGTTCCCCGTTTCTTGACGTGCATTTTTTTTTCTCCTTCCGGCGTGCCCTGTGGTGCAGGCATAGAGAAGGAGTACGAGCAGAAGCTGCTGCCGGACGGGCGCCTGTCGGTGGACGGCTTTGTGTGCGTCTTCGACGTGAGCCCCGTGCCGGGCCGCTCCCTGGAGAAGCAGGTGGAGTTCACGGGGGCCCTGCTGGGGGCCCTGGTCCGGACGCGCAAGCCCCTGGTCCTAGCCACCACCAAGGGGGACGAGGCCTGCGAGGCGCACCTCCGCGAGGCGGAGCGCCTCGTCAACAGGAAGGACCTCAGGTGGGCGGAGGGGTCACAGAAGGACAGGCTGTAGTAGAGCCAAGGCAAAAGCCTTGGGGGAAGGGGGGGGGGGGGGGGGAGGGAGGGAGGGAGGTGGGAAGCATTGCCACACTAAAAGAAGGCAGAAATGAGGGATCAAAAAGAAAAAGTAAAATGTGACGTTGCTTTTTCTTAACACAGAATTTGTTTTATGAGTCGTTTTCTGTGAGAAAATTGTCATGAATGAGTGTCAGGAACAAGCGTCGGGAACAAGCGGCATGAACGATCATTGTGCACGAGCGTCGTGTATGAATGACGTGCTGGGAGCGTGTCACGACACCAAGAAGCCGGAAAAATTGGCACCTGCACTTAGAATGTTAAACTTCCACCAAATACGATATAGCTTCGCCAATACTGGAAACTCCTCCGAAAACCCATAGGAGCGGCGGCGAACGTGACAGTGGCGCCTCTAGCGGACTTGGAGTCTACGGAAGCAGTCAACGCAATGAAAAAGTATAGGCTCCGCGACGTTCTCGAGCTTTACGAGCCCCGTTTCGTCACCCTAACAGCAGAAACAATTTATTACGGTCAGTCCGCTTGCAAAGCGGAATCGACTGACCGCAACTTCAACGACAATCGAATAACAACGCGCGCATAAACAAAGATAGAGCAGTTTATTTAGCGGTCTCAAACGCCTCTCAGGGGATCACGCGCGTTTGAAACGCGTCTGGGAAGAGGAAAAAAGGCGTTTAGCTACTCGAACTACGTCGTAATCATTAAAACATGCAAAAACAACATGTTAATATTACCAGAGCAAGCGCACGAGCTGCTGGAGCATAAAAGCAAAACAAAAAGTAAGGATAAAAATGACCGTGCAAACACTTATCGAACTTTGCAGAAAAGATGGTGTCGCCATTCCCGACGAAAATAAAAAGAAACGGGAAAGAGAAGCGAACAACAGCGAATAAAACAAAGAAGCTAGCAAAAAACTATTTCAACGACGACGATCGTTGCGGCGCTTATAGAAAAAAAGAAAGAAAAATGGAAAGCAGCAAATGAATAGCTGGTGGTCGCCACCGGTGTTGAGTTCACGACAAACAAAGCGGAAGCAACAGACGAAACTAATGAAAAAAGAAGAAAGCGACCCTTTTTTTTTTCAGCTGCTTGTTGTACATTTCTTTATTTGCTTTCGCGGCGTAGGTACGAACTAAAAACAAAACAGGGGAAATAAATAACGTAGTGCAGCTCACACTGCCCAATAAAAAAGAGTCGCAGAAATGTTTTTGGTCGCAGGAAGCAATCTTCTATATGTGCTAGCAGTGAGTAACCTTTTCTTGCTTTCGAATTTCTTTTTCCAGTGACTGGCGGGTTCGTTCGCTCGCTTGACGAAGCAGTTTAAAAGTGCATTCAAGTACTTGTTGACGTAGGTGTCCGTAGGTTGACGTAGGAAGCAGAAGAAAGATTTTCCACCACATCGCACAAACTTGTTCTTGCAATGGTAGGCAGCACATAGCATGCCTGCCATCTCTAAGTATGCTCTGGTGTAGCTCGAATGCGGCCGGTTGATCAACAAACGATGACCCGTAGCAGACGTGCCGGCCAGAGTACACAAATAAAATTCGAATAAAAATGGATAACGAGCTTACACTTCTTAATATATTTAATAAATATCAAAAAGCACGTATGACGATTTTGGATTAGAAACTCAATCCAAGGCGAAAATAGGAGGTTATCGCAGACGACAGTGGAAGAAAACAACAACAACAGCAAAGTTGCAGACGGCCCTCAAAATGTCCGGGCCTAGCGTAGCAGACGAACCGGGGGTAGTAAGCACCGAAGCGAAGGAAAGGGAGTAAAAACTAAGCCAAACAAAGCAAGGATACGCGATGGTTTAAACGTCGGGCAAACAAACAAAAAAAAAAGCAAAAAAAAAATATACACAGCAACATATAAGCAGGAGCAAGAAAAAACGCGGCAGAGTGGCGTCGCCTCAAAAATATAAAAGAAAGAAGACTCAAAAATGGAAAGAGTGGAGACGGTTCAACGGGTGTCGACCTTCATCGTAGAAGTAAAGAAGCAGCGAAGCAGAAGATGTTGGTCGTCCCCAACAATCGGAATTTGTGCACTGTAAATAACGTGACTGAAATCACCTTTTTTTTCGCGGGGCTACGATGCTCTCCCCTTCTTTCTTTGCAAGCGTGAGAAGTCTGCTTTTTTGTAACTCCGCTTTTGTTAATCTATAATCGCGTCAGATTTGCATATGCACAACGGCTTCTTTCGGAGCATACTGACATCGCCGTAACGTACGTGGTTCGAAATTGACTTCTGCTTTTTTATCCGGAGACGATCTTAACGGGATTAGCCAGCTCGCCTGTTCGACGAAACGGTTATAAGCAAGACATTCATGAGAAATGGGAATTGCAATAACAAAACGAATTGACTGATTAAAACAATAAAGTTGAAACGAAGCTATGTTCTGAAATGTTTGTACATTGCCCTTTTTCACGAAACAGCGCGAAGGCATACATTCGAAGTTGTGACAGAATGTTTTCTTCGGGAGAACTCCGAAATTGCACCCAGAAAGCTGTAACATCTTTCCCACGTGAAGAGAATGTCCTTCACTCATGAGCTGGCACCCATTTTTTTAATTTTCCAAGCCGCGAATGTCCGTGACAATTTTTTTTCGTTGGTCACCTCGCACGGAGATAGGCGAAACCAATGCATTTTGGAGAACTTGTCTGCTACTGGAGACTCCGAGCTCGCCAGGGGCGCTGCAATCACTTTTTGCCCGTTTTCCGCGGGAGTCGCCAGTATTGGCTTCCACGGTATTTGCTTCCACCGAACGTGCACCGAGGAGGCCAGTTCTACAGTGTGAAATTTCAAGGCATAGTTCTCTTCCTGTAAAAAATTGTAGCAGCTAACTTTCCAAAGTCAACGTCTGGTGCATTCGCAGACGACAGAGTTGGCAACGTCATTAACTTGTGGCGCCATTTTCCGACGGACGCGGCAAGCAGACAAAGGAGCGTGTCGTTTGCTCGCTGCTCCTATCGGGAGATGGTCGATTAATTAGGCCGGGTTGGATTTAATCTACCTGTGCATATGTCTGAGAAACAAGTTGATCCACAAACTTTTGTCCGTTCCAGCTCTCGTCCATCCACATCAGTCTTGTAAAATCGGATGTGACGGTTTGACTGACGGGTTGCCGCTCCGTACCATGCAGGGGTCAGGTGCCCCTCGTGGAGACGTCTGCCCATGAAAACATCAATGTGGACCAGGCGTTCCTCGTCCTGGCACAGCTGGTTGACCGAGCGAATCGGAACGCCCGCTGGGGTCGGATCCCCAGCTTTTCCGAGGCCGCCCGGGCCCGGAGAGACACCCTCGATCAGGCCACCGACGCTTTTCAGGTGAGGGTCAGATTCAATGCTACGTTGGGAAGCACTTTGAGGTTGTTTAAAGTGCTCGTGTTTCGTTCCGAAAACCCAGTATGACCCTGAAGGAACCTTTTGCAGCTGCAGATTAGTCTCAAACTTCATTTTTTACCGCTTTTCTCAGTGTCCGATATGCATATACTACTTAGCTAGCAGGTTTTGGAAGAAGACCCTAAAGAGCCGCTGAAAAGAAAAAAAATGTTTTCTCTAAACAGTCTGGTTGGGACATGCATGTCAAGAAACAAATATTTTTGTGAAAAAATCTTTTTTTTTTTAAAGGAGTATTGACGGCGCGAGACGCAATTCAGTTGGTAGTCACCTCCTTTTCACTTGTTTTCTCACTCGGCATTTCGGGCACGTGGAGGAGACCGTCGTATGTGATCTCCCCCTCTCCCCGCTCCCCCCTTTAGGCCTAAGAGCCAGCCCTTTCTAAATAAAGTATTTTCATTCATTCATTAGGACGAACGAGTGGTTGGTCGCTTTTTCTGTTCCTAACAGAGCTGCGGTTCTGTTAATAAAATTACCAAAGTATTGCTGGAACATGTTCCTCTGGTATATCAATTTAGGCAGTACGATTTGGTCCTCATCATTACGAAATGTGCAAAAAGCACCGACGTTTTTCTATACTCTGTTCAGCTGCATTTGAAACTATGTGCTCGGTGAACTACTCTTGCGTCTATCTCTTGCCATGTAACCACATTCTCGCTCATATCCTTGCACAGATCACGTGATGAAAGGAAGTCTGTTGATTGGTTCGACGAGCGAACCAAGTAAGGCATTGATGGTACCATTAGTGCTAGAAAGACTTTGGTCAAACCGAGTTTTTCTCGTACTCGTGTTGTATTTACACGGCACATTCGTCCGTTCTTAAAAGTGTGTCCAAGGTCGACTTTTCCGTGTCTCATATGTTTGAAGATCCTTTAACCCTAAGTACGTAAATCCGGGTTCGGGAACGCGTGCAAAAGACAACATCTTCCTTCTCTCGGTGCGCAGGCCCTAGTCCGAGCCCAGGTGACGGACCACCGGGCGGTCTGGGCGTCGTCCAGCAAGCGCCTCTGCCAAAGCCCCGAGTTTGAGCGCTTCTGCGGCCTCTTTGGGCGGGCCGCCGCCCGCACCGCGTTCGAGAAGCACGTGCGGCGCCTCCGGGAAGAGCACGTGGGCCGGAGGGTGCGGGGCTTCCTGCGGGCCCTCCCGACGGCGCTCGCCGAACTCCTTCCGGACCTGGACGCCATCGGGGACAGGTGAGGATGCGTCCCATGGCTCGGGACTGGTGGAGGCGTTCGTCCGGTGCACCGTCGAGACGGTGCGGCTTCGTCGGTGCCGTCGGGAAGCGTCTTTTGGCCGAAGGAGGAATTTTCGTGAGCTTCTTGCTGTGATCCGTGTACGAGCGTCGAATGAATATTGCACATTAATTTGTGGTAGTTGCGGAAGAGAGCCGCATTAGCGCAACTTTGAATCTGTTTGCATTGCTGGTTTGTGGTAGCTACGCAGTAAAGCCATGTTAGCACAGTTTTTACTTCGCTTGTATTGTTGGTTTCTAGTACTGTAGAGACCGGTTATAACGAATTCAAAGGGCATCGGAAATCACTTCGCTATAGCCGCTATTTTGTAATAACCGACTTCACTTAACGAAGTGCAAAATATAATAGGAAATCGTGGTCGCTTCGCATCAGCCGCTATTTCGTTATAACCGACTTGGTTTTACCCGGTCTCGAGAGTATTATCGACATCTAATTGTACGGCGGGTCTGTGACTTTATTGGGTCGTAACTACTGACACACCATGTTGACGGTCCTTTCCTCTCCACTCTCCCTCAGTGACTGGTCCACGGTGAAAGAGGAGCTGCTGCGTCCCCACGCGGACTTCGACCAGTTCTTTCTGGACTCCGGCAACGATGGGCCGTGGAGCGAGCTGGAGTCGCCCGAGGCAGACGAGCGCATCCCCTTCGCCCTGCTGGAGCGGCCCGAGGCCCAGGCCTGCTTTGCGGAGCATCGGGCAGCCCTGGAGGCGGAGGAGCGCCGGCGGGACCTGCGGCTGCAATTCCGGCAGCTCCTGGACGAGACGGGCTACGTGACCCCGGGCAAGACGCTCGGCGAGGTGCGGGTGCTCTTCATGGGGCGCGAGTGCTACGAGCAGCTCGCCGAGGCCGACCTCCTCGAGGTGAGTGCGGTTTCCCGTGGTCTCCGTTTCTACTGTATCCAGCTGTTTTCCTCGCTACTGTATCTGTGCGGAGCGCAAGTTTGTCCACTTCTTTTGCGGGGGTTGGGGGTGACGTCAAAACGCCCAGCTCCGATTGACTTTGATTGATGGATAATGGGTAGACCTCGAAAACAGCTTGCTTTAAATGTGTACCCACTATCCTAGAATCGGAGCCAATCGGAGCTTGACTTTCTGACATCACCGCAACCCCCGCAAAAGAAGCGAACAAATTTGCACTTTGCATGAATTGTTGCACGAAAAGGGTCTATTTGCTTTTTCTCGTACGGAGCCGGTGTGCAAAGAACCCATGGACTCTTCCGGTTCTGAAACTAGACGATGGGTTTTGCTGTAGTTGCGAGACCAAGTCTACGTGCCATCTTCGGGACATGGTTGCTGGCTACGGAATGACGCGTAAAAAAGTTGGCGAAAAATTGTACAGCCCATCCTCTTCATGTGAAGATGGAGGACCAGCGAAGCTGTTATCTTTATGACAACTTTATGACATCTATACGACTTACATATGATTGCAATGAAGGCACATGCACAACTTCATTCTTTAAGTGTCTCTATTTGATTCTTAGTGACTAAAGTGATCATTGCATTATGGTCAGTTATGGGCAAGTTTTAAACCCAATTTTTCGAGGCACACCTCGAGGACAGTTTTTTCCGACTGAGCCCAAGTCTCTTTATCAGCATCGCGGAAGTGAAAAAAAAAAGATTAGGCCGTCGCGTTTTGCCCTCAACGTCATCCCAGCGCACTCTTAGCTGAGATAAGTCAGTGACCGTAGATGTTAACAAGGCATTCAGGACCAAGGAAGGCTAATAATGCCAAGGAAGGCTGACTCACGCAGGTTGCCCCCTCTTTTTATTTATACTTGCTACGACCAATCAGAATGAAGGAGCGCCGTTTAAACGGGAGTTTTTTTTGTTAACATCCATGGACGCATTTTTTTCCAGATCCTAGCAAATCATAGCTTCGCTGTAAAAATATATGTGGACTGGAGGTGTGCCAGTGCCTACCGTGTTTGTTAACAAACAAAAAACAGACAGACAGCACCCATTTGGCACTGCTGTGTATGTGCACACAGGTCTCAAACCCCGTCGAGACCGAGTTCTGTGACGGAGGGCTTCAGGTAGCGGCAGAGTCTGGTCCAGGGTGCCTTGCCGCGACTCAAATCGAATTCTGTGCCGGCAAGGTTGACTGGTGATTTTTAGTGACGACTTCGTGCCGTCGCGTACCTCTTCCCAGGTCTATGAAGAGCACCAGCGGGAGATCACTGACCGCGCGCGGTCCCAGTTCCAAGAGCTGCTGCTGGAGCACGCCGAGCTGTTCTACGAGTTTGCCAATGTCGGGCCGGGCAGCGTCATAACGCAGGAGGACATTGCCAAGATCACCGAGGCACTACAAGAAGACTCGAGGTGAGACGCACGACGCTCGGTCGTCGCGAGGACGCCCGCGAGCCCCGGCATCGCATTTTAGGCCTGGCCTCTCGTTTAGTTTGTCGTCGCTATTGGCCCTTGTGTGGCCGTTGGGCGCGACAAGGCTCATAACGCAACCGCGCACAATGACCGGGACGACGTTCATTGTTTATATGGGAAAGCTGTTTCCTAGAGAAATGTACTTTCTTTTTGGGGTGGGGGACGGCTTTACGTGCGCATCCTGTTTCTCACAAAAAGGAAAGACACGGGCACGCCGAACCTTCGAGGCGCTGCTTGACAAGAGCGCGTGCCGACGGGCGGACGCCTCCCCAGCACAGCTGCGCCCCGGCCGCCCGCACGTCGCTCACCGGTTCCGTCGTCCCCGCAGGTACAAGACCCTGGACCGCCTGGACCAGGAGCGCACGTTGATCCTGCTGCGGCACCTGGGCTTTGTGCACGGCCCCATGCGGGAACACTGCCCGGCGAATCCCAACTGCATGGACACCATCATCGAGCAGGTCATCAAGGAGAAGGCACACAGGTCATGATTGTCTTCGGTACTACCGCAGTGCCTGGAACGTGTCGACGACTGGCGTGTTTTCCGTCCCATTTGGCGTGGCAACGAACCAGAGTGTTGCCATCATTGCGGCGTCCCAACTGCCGAGGTTAGCACAGACTTTAACTTGAGAGTGACCCGCGGCAGGACGGGCGTTTGCCCCATCCTTGACGCCACCGGGATGGTGGCAGGCAACAGCGCATCATGACGTCATCAAGCGAAAATCAGGGGACCACTTTTCTGGGCGCGGAAGGCGCACCAGTTGGGAACACGTTCCTGGCACCATAGTTGCTACTAAGATATCTCGCTGCCTTCCGAGGCGTGGTGCCGCTAGTCGGCAGTATTTGTCGAGAAAATCCGGCGAGTGGAAGAAAATATTGCCTTTTGCGGCAGCACTGCGTCTGCAAAAGCTTGGAACGCTTATTTTGTACGCCTTTCCTTTTATGGTATCTTCGGTTAGCTCCGCAGTTGAGTGCATCTGATAATGTTTGCTTACAAGTAGTGCCGTTTGATTGCAGACCGGCTTGTCCTGCCTCTCCTGTCAGTAGTAGTGCAGTATCATGTCGGTATTTCTATGCTACAAGCGCGGTAGAACCTCTAAATGAAGTTCCTAGTTAATGAAGCTTAGAAATGTTTTGGTGTGGCTCCTCGTTTTTCGGTGTGGTCTCGTCTCGTAACTGGAACTTCTACCGAGCTGAACAGTTTCACCCGATCCTACGGAGTTGTTCCTCCCGAAGAGATTCTACTTCGTTTGGGAATATGCCGTGTGGAGGTTCGGTCGTGCCGGCCTCTTGGAACGCGTTCCAACCCTCGCTTTGCCCTTGTCCGATCGTACAGGCCTTCTTCTTGGACGCGCAACAGCCAGTGGCTCCTGGAGTCCGAGAACAACCAGCTTAGCCTGGTGGTTCTAGGCACCGGCGGTCTTGCCCAGGAGGTTGCCACGGCCGTCAGGGTAAGCCTCCTCGTTCTGTTCTCGTTGTGTCGGGAACACCGACCTACACATCGTCGTAAGCAGATAGTTTATCGTTATCGGTTGTTATCGCGGGTCTCTTATTGTCGTGTCGTCAAACTAACAAAGCATTCTGGTTTAGGTCTTTGGCTGGCACGGTCACTCCTGCAGTGACACTAAGGACAATAGCTTAGGCAATAGGGACTAACTCCCTATTGCCTGAGCTCATTATTTTGTGTTTGTGTGGTACAGGCCAGTGCAAACTGTAGAATGGCTTCTGCAGTTCTGGTAGCATTAAGGGGGGGCACTACCCAGAAAAGTGAATGTTTGAACCACTTGTCTGATTTAAATGACATTTAAAGGGCTCGATTCTGTTGATGTTGAGAACATTTGTGCCAAATTTTGTTAACCTGAGTGAAGTACAAAAAGAATTTCAAATGTTCTAAGATGAAAGTGTAAGAAAACTGCGTAAGAAAACTGTCGTTTTGAAATTACATATTCTCGTAGATAGCTCGTAGAGCAGATAGCTATGGAGCTACATTTCTATATTATACCATCTTTCATGGCAAAAAAGCCACATAAACATAAATACTAGTTTTTTAGATCTCCATCCTTTGTTCAAATTTTACTTCTTGAGCATGAAAAATGACAAAAATAAAAAAAATACTAGCTTATAGCTATCTTCCCCTTAAAATTTCACCCTCGCGACGGACACCTCGCCGAGCTGCGCACTCTACGTGCACGCCACTGTGGTCTGTTGCCATTTGAGGTTTACGGTGGAAGCTCCGCTTCCGTCGCTAGCTTTCTACCTTCTACGATGCTTTGGCACCCGCAGCCAGACACGACGAAAAGCAACGGTTGTGTACAGGAGGTGCGTGACGCGACAGGCTTACGGTGGGCGAGCATTCCGAAATGCATATTCGGTGCATCGGAACGAAGGGGCAACGTGGAGAATGTGCATGCAGCACGCAACGACGAGGCAGCCACCGTGCCTTCTCGTCGGTCGAGGACAACGGGAAACAAAAGCCTGTGGGCGCATTTGGATGGTAAAGAAACGTGCGAGGTACGCAAGGAGCGAGCAAACTTGCACGCCGTGTAGCTTGCGTGTTCCGAGGTTACTTCACTCGCCTCTTTGCATCTCGTGGACGCTGGCAGTCCTAAGCCGCGGTCACTCTGCTCACATAACCTACAAAAGAATCGCTTTGAGCATGTTGAAAGCATGTGTGCCTTGCACATATGTGTGCTTTAAACATGTCTACAGGCTGTTTTAATATGACCAATGTCACAGCCGTCTTACAAGTAAGCGCACCCCGGACTTTCTGCAGACCGTCTTTTGTACGACGTGTCGTCAGCGTGACCGTGGCTTTACGAGACTAGGAAAGTCTGGCTTCGACATTACCTGCTTACGAAGTTGGTCGACCGAGCTCGGCGAACGTGTGCGTCTCTGCAGGCGCTGTGCAACGAGGACACCTTTGAGCTGGACAAGGTCCAGTACAGCCTGGACTTCAGGATCATTGACGGAGACGTGGGGCTGCCCCAGAACAACTTCCGCACCACCGACTTCCTGCCCCACGGTGAGAGCTCCGGTAATCTGACAACCCACCCTTTTCACGCTTTGATTTTGACGAGACGAAAGAAGGGAGGCCGTTGTTTTCGAAACTCTCCGTCGGGCTTTTTTTGGGGTGGGGCTGGCTTGAGGTTGCACATTGCGTGGGGCATTGTCAGGCCGAGTTGGGGACCTGGTGAAAATCGGTCCTCCTGCAGCTGGATTATGGAACTGTTCCCAGCTGCATCCAGCTAAGACCAGCTTCATAATTCAGGATTGCTTTTCAACTGCACTCTTTTACTCGAGAAATAGGTGGCAAAACTATATATTGCGGCTTTGTTTCGTATCATAACTGGATTAGCAAGCTCTACCTGCTGTTCATCAACAGCCGCTTGCGCGGCGACAAGTGCTTGTGTAAGTGCCTCCACTTTGACGCCATTCTGCCGGCAAAGGGCCTTGCTTGCATCTTGCGAGGACATAATCCGTGTCGTGCTCTCCCCTCGTCTGCACGTGCCCAGGCTGCTTCTGCGTCTACTCGAGCCACCAGAGCCTGGAGTACATCCGGGAGAGCCTGGAGAAGACGCTGCTGTCGAACCTGGAGCAGGACGACCGGCTGCCCTTCCACGGCCTGCCCATCGTCATCCTCTTCGCTGCCGACGCCAGCATCCACCAGGACGAGCTGGCCTTCCTAAGGGAGGAAGGACAGAACAGGGCCAAGAGGTGGGTTTGTGCCCTCCCTCCTCCCCGAGTCCCGCACTCCGACCAGTCGCGGAAACCCCTGCCCTGACTTACGATTGGTTGCTGGGTCCCCAGCCCTGATCTACGATTGGTTGCTAGATCCCCAGTCTTGCTGTCTAATTAGTTGCTACATTCATAGTGCCCCTCTGATTGGTTACTAGATCCCCCAGTATCTTTTTAGTTTGTTGCTAGATCCCCAGTTCTGTTCTCCAGTTTGTTGCTAGAGCCCGTGTTCGTCTATGGTTGGTTGCTTGACCCCTAGTCTCTCAGATTGGTTGCTAGATTCCCCAGTCCCTCTTTCCATTTGTCCCCTAGATTCACAGTTCCCCTCAATTGGTTGCTAGATTCCCTAGTCTCTCTTTCCAGTGGTTTCCTCTATCCCCAGTCCCCCCAGACTGGTTGCTAGATTCCCTAGTTCCTCTTTCCAATCGGTCCCTAGATTCCCAGTCCCACTCTGCTTGGTCCATGTGAGCAGTGGAACAACTGCCTCGTAACCCACACCGTCCGTTCCCGTTACGTCCTCCTTTCTTTTTGCTTGTTACCGACACTCTTGTTGGGTCTTGCGTCGCAGCCTGCAGTGCCCGTTCGTGGACGTGACGTGCGGCGGGGACGGGGCCCCCCGGCTGGACCCCTCGCGGCTGTCCCAGGCCCTGGCCTCGCTGGTGGAGAGCATCCAGCGGCGGGCAGGCCTGCTGCAGATCTACCAGAGCCTGCCGGAGCAGGGGGGCCGCCCGGACCTGCGGGTGCTCATGTGCCTGCTGTGCGGGGACCCCTACTCGGCCGAGCACGTGCTGGGGCCCCTGCTGGCCCACCAGTGCTGCCTGGCCACGGGCCCCCACTGCCTCACCCTCGAGACCTTCCTGGGCGCCTCCAAGCGGGCTGTGCAGGTGCGGGTGGCCTCCTACCACGAGGCCTCGGCCTACAGGGACCACCTGCTGCACGGCTTCGTCCTGGTCTACTCGGCCCAGCGCAGGGCCTCCCTCGCCACCCTCAGGTGAGCGTCCCGTGCGGTTTTGAAATCACTTACAGGGCCAGCTCTTGATGGATACGTAGGGATGGCCTTGGCAGTAGTGTCACAATGGCGATGAAATGGTGTTTACGTGGTGTAACAAGCAGTTTAAGGGGTCATTTTCCAAAGGTCGTGCGACATTGCGACTTAGTTCGACGCGGTGTCACGGAGGACTTATGTGAGGCATTCCTCGGAATGCTGACCAAATAGCTTTTACAAAAAAATATGTGTTGCACGGAGAAACGTCGTATTGGTCAATGCTAGAGGGCCTGTTTGTGGGGGGGAATTAATGACCTCCCCCTTTCTCTCCCGTCGCAGCGCCTTCTCGAAGAGCATAGCCAACGTGCCGATCCAGATTGTGGCCGTGACGGAGTCCGGCACCGCGGCGGCCTTCTTCTCGAGCGACCTCTCCCAGCAGCTCATTAGGGACGGTAACGCTCTGGCCGACGCGCTCCAGGCGCACTTCATGACCTCGTCGGCAGCTGCTCCTCAGAAGAGTTGAGTGCCTTCTTCCCTCTGTTACTTCCAGTGCAAGATGTCTTTTGCCTGTGCTGCCAAACCAGGCAGAAAATTTGGCGTCAGCGTCGGCGGAACCGAAAAATCGCACAATGCAATGCGCACTGCCACGTGTGTCACATGTGACGTCAAACATGGCTGTGCGCATTGCATCGTAGGATTCTTCGTCCCGCCGACGCTGACACCAAATTTTGGTAGCACAGGCAAAAGAGGCAAAGCTTAAGCGTCTCCCAAGTTGTTGTCTTTTTGTGAAGGAGGTTTTCTGAAAAGGTTTTCCGGAGTTTATTTATTGCAGGATATTCGGGGCTTATCGGAGTCCATTTTTTTCTATATTTCCAATTCTTGGAAATTCTGGACCTAATTTTACATTGTCCTTATTTTTTTTTTTATTTCAAAATAAAAATAAATAATGTGGGACACAAACATGCACTAAATTCGTTAAAAGATCACCGGTGTCGAAGGATGTTTCTGTAACTGCATTTGGCATTGGCACCGTTGTTGTTGGCAGTACTAACTGCCCCACTACAAGTCTTGAAAACAGGTGTTACTTCAATAAACGTCGGTACTTTGAAATAGCCAAACTCCTGGACGCATGGAGCCTTCAGCTGCCCTCTCCTTCCTCTAAAATCTAATGTTCCCATCTTTTGGTCTTATAAAAATGGAACACCTTTTCCCTCTAATAGGCACAATTAATATGGTTCAAGCTGGAAACTGGAACAGTGACTTCAGCTGTAGTCCAGAAGTGCACTGGCCCATTGTACTGAACGAACCGTGATGAGATAAACGGGAAACTCTTTGGTCAGTTGTCCTAGATTAAGAAAAAAAAGAAACTGAATTGGCCTTTTATCAAAGCTGCTAACCCTGTCCTCTGACAAACTTTATTCGTAAAATACCCCCTTTTTTTGGCTCGAAATTCAGAGTTTTTCGGATAAATTTGGAAAAATTTACTGGCGAGTGTTTCTCGGAGTTTATAGAGTTTATTCGAAAACACAGAACCCTACGTATAGCCTATGACGCAATCAGTCCTTGAACAGTGTTGCTTTTGCACTGGGAGATAGACCACTAGGTTCGTTCGATTTACCCATACCTTTTGCACCGATACAGAAGAGTGTAGGGCTGTGCACTTCCGGTATGTGTATCGAGATATGACCGGAAGTATACCCTACAGTTTTTAACACCGGTGCAGGTAAATTGAACAAGCCTACTGCAAGGTGACCTCGTTCGAAACTCGTTGTTTGGCATAGTTGCGAAGTGACCAAGTTATGAGTAGTGAATAAAGTTGAAACGAAGGACCAAAGTACAGCAATCTCTCGTTATGAGGAAATCGCTTTTTTCGAATTACCGCTTTTATCGAAGTTGAATGTGGTCCCGACCGAAATGCGCGCATTTTTGACTGGATTATTCGAAGTGTATCAACAGCCGACCACGCTTGTTACAAAGGCTGAGGTGTTGAAGGCGCGCAAGCCTACACGGAGGCGCATAGAGACCCTTGCGTTCCCCCTCCCTTCTTCACCGAGAGATACGGCAAACTGGGAAAACGGAGTAGACAGGAGACGGAGGGCAGAGCGCGCAGAGCTGGCAAAGCGCCGCGTCGGATGCCGATGCGCCGACGCGGGCAGGGAGCAGCGTCAACGTTCCAACCCTGCTCACGGCGCCCGGGGCCGACACTGCCCGACTCCTGTCGGAATCGGGTGAAGGGAGCGATGCGGCTCGGAGGAGACCGTCCCTTTGGGAACCACAGATGCGCGCACCTCCGGCGTACCACACGCACACGTGCATCGTATGCGAAATCGGGAGTGTTCGACACTGTACACCGTTTAGCAGAGCAAGCGAGGCATATTGGACGGGTTTGAGAAATTTCTCTTGCGGGAGAAAGTGTGCCTGCAACCCGAAGATGAAAATAGCTGGGCATCAGTTCAAGGACTGATGCCCGGATGTAATTATCAACAAACTCCACTTAAATATTTTTTTGCTCTGTAAAGCTGCTACGAGATGTTCATAACCAAGGTTTGATTGATTAAATATACGGATAGAGTGTTCCGCAGTGCTCCCATCCAGTGTTTTTTTGGTTCTATCGCTTTTATTGAATTACCGCTTTTATTGAATGTTTTTGCTGTCTTGTTGACTTCATTGTAACGAGGAATTGCTGTACCTTAAACTGGTAGTAGTAAGAACCTAGAACCTCCTGGAAGCTGAAAGTGGCAGTCATCATTTCGCTACGAGATTTGCTTGGTAAAATGTGCGCTGCCACCCTTAGTTTCTCGAAGGGCCTTGTTGTCAAGTGCAAGTACAGTGTGGACGGCAAATGGAAACGGCTGCGATTTCGTTTAGACGTCGAGGGTGCGACGTGCCCCGAGCGGGTGTGTGCTCACCGGTCTTCTCATGTGCAGCGGCCTTCTACACGCCCTTCTTCAAGGAGGTGTGGGAACGCAAGCCCCAGATAGAGAACGCCTTCTACATGGAGGATTCCGACTACTCCCCGGAGGGGCGCACGCCGGTGCCTCCTCCGGTGCCCAACCGCCAGGAGTCGTACCACCTGGGCGGTTCCCTCGACGACGGGTATGTGGACACGTCGTCTACGTCCCGTTGCTGTCCTGTCTCGTGCTATTTTTGCAAAACTTTGTGTTCTCTTCTTGTCCTGCTGCGTCCCGCAGTCCCGCACACAATTCCGGAAAAATGTAAACACATTGGAATTTATATTGAGATCCCACCGCGTCGCGAAAATTAGAACCCGCGAATTATTTCAAAACTTCAGCTTTGACCAAAACCGTGAAATATTGAGCCCGCGATAAATAAGTTGGTTACAGTATATATAAAAAACTAGAGTACTGCCAACAATTCCTATTTATTTTCAGCTGCGCAATTGAGTCTGTGCACGCTGCGGGCTACGATTATCTGCCTTATTTTACCTCGTGTCTTTGCCGCTTATTCGCTTTCTCTTGTAAGCATCAGGGAACGAAACTGGCAGGTAACTTAAATGAGCTTAGTTATCATTTTAAAGTTGTTTAAAGAATGGTGACTGTACATTCGGGCTTGTTTTGTCGACAGCCGCGGGGAACCATCCCAGCTTGTAGTTTGGGGACTTCGAGTAGGTCGTCAGCTGCGGACCGCGGGCCCTACGAGCACGAGCTCAGTTCGCTTCCAAAGTGATGTTACGAGCTCCCTTAAGCAGTGCGAAACTCCTGCATGCTCTTGCGTGCTGTCTACAAAAGGTCCCCATTAACATGATGAGTAGGCGTAGTTGCGTTACTGAACCATGCAACGAGCTACGGAAGCGATAATTAACCCTGTTGTCTGCACAGCTTTTGGCGATTCATTCTTCTGGCAGTCTTTCTGGAGTCACCTTTCAAGAAACTAATGAAACTACCTGTCTAATACGATGCCGTGACATTTGACTACGCAACAGTACCAGGTGCGCTGCCATTTTGCCTTTGGTGCATTCTCTACGAAGCGCGAGGCCAGCACGACAAGCGCACCAGCTGCCCGCGTCGTCCGTTCTGCTGGCGCCTAACTAGTATGGGAGGGGTGGCGCTGTGTATATGCAGCGAAACCACAGCCACATGAATCTATAGAGCAAGGGTCTCCAAACCCCGCCCCCGCGGGCCAAATCTGACCAGCCCATGGCTGGCCGCGATCCTTCCATTGAAGGCCGGGCAGCGGCCCGCTCCCGCGAGCCCGCTGCTACCAAAGCAAAAATGGGCTCGCACAAAAAAAAAACGGCGCCGCAACGCACACCAACCGCGTAAACGAAGCCACCAGAAAGAAACTGCCATTGTAAGGCATGTTCTCTCATTAGATTATTCATTGGACACTGTCCTCACCAGCATCACTATTCTTAGCCCTGTGTTTCTGGGTAACTACCGGGTGAAACAAGGAGACGGTAGGCTCTTTAAATCGACCGGAAAATTCGGTTTCTTAACCTATCGCGCTACGACTTTGTGCAGCGTTGCCCACAGATGGTGCATTTTTTTCGTAAAATTTGCAAAGCGCGAACTTACCTGAGGAAAAAGTAAAGAAAGAAAAAGGCTTAGCTCCTATGGAAACGCAGCGACGCCTCCGGTCTGCAAACAAAACGGCGCCGCTTCGCACGGGAGACAGGAGATGGCGCAAGCGGTTGCGACGCCAACTGCCGCCAACAAACGAGCAGACGACGCCGAGAGTTGGCCCTTTTGCAGACAAGGAACTGCAGTTCCTTGCTGTTACCGCGTCTGTCTTTTTTGTTTCTGCGACTGTCGCCGCCTACGGAACGCGCTCCGCTTTTGAGTCGAAACGATCGTCTGCTAAAAACGCCTTCTCTGGGCGCCGTATGCTCGTTCGTTGCGGCGTTCGTTGCGCCATCTCTTGTGTCCAGTGCGAAGCGGCGCCGTTTTGTTTGCAGACCGGAGGCGTCGCTGCGTTTCCATAGGAGCTAAGCCTTTTTCTTTCTTTACTTTTTCCTCAGGTAAGTTCGCTCTTTGCAAATTTTACGAAAAAAATGCACCATCTGTGGGCAACGCTGCACAAAGTCGTAGCGCGATAGGTTAAGAAACCGAATTCTCCGGTCGATTTAAAGAGCCTACCGTCTCCTTGTTTCACCCGGTATGTATGTTAAGATTCCCTTGCGTTCCCACGTATTTCCTAGGTGCCCAGGGGGTCCTTAGTAATGTGCACTACTGCATTACTCCCCTAGTAACGGGCATTACTGTTTACAGGGTCTGCCGGCTTTTCGGCCGCTGTACTGCACCTGTGTTGAGACCGAGAAAGGTTTTTTGGCTCTTGATCGAGAGAAATCTGTGTTGCTCTTAGTCAAAAAGTTGACAAACCCTGCCCTGGAAGGCGAATGGCAGTGCATGGCAGCATTTTGGTTGGTCTCACGCCGGGGGCACTGTTCGTCTCTCGCCGCAGGGGCGACTCGGAGGGCCTGTACGAGCAGCTGCCCTCGGAGCAGCGGGGGAGCAACGACGGGGAGGAGGAGTCCCCGGGGGGCGGAGCCCCGACGACCTCCCTGAGCCCCAGCGACGAGAGCGAGCTGTACGCCAGCGTGTTTGCCCAGCAGGAGAACGGCACCGACCACCTGGTCAAGCCCAGCCAGGTCAAGAAGAGGAGGAGCTTGCAGGCCGGTGGGTCTCGAACCCTTCTTTACTTTCTTGTATATCCGTCTCTTGGTCTCTTTGTCTGTTTCTCTCTCCCTTTGAGAAGACTTTTGACTTTTTAAAAACAATAATATGAATGTTTAAAGAAAAAGAAAAAAAACAATTTTAGAAAGAGATAGTTTGCTAACAGTAGAGAAGGAGGGACATATTTCTGTCAATTAAAAAAAAGATGGATCTTTTTTTTTAACACAGACTGTGTTTTATCTGCTGATTTTGATGGAGTTGTGTCACATTTGGCTGTAACAGTTGATTGAAGCGAACATCCGACACTGAAAAGCGTTATGCCCATAGGAAACCATATACAGTAAAACCTCGTTATAACAAAATGGGATATAACAAACGAATGGATATAACAAAGCAATCATAATTCCCCTTGCTTGAATAGTTGTAAGAAATGGACATTGGCTATAACAAACTAATGGTTATAACAAAGTAATTACGACCGCTCCTTCAACTTCTTTATAACGAGGTTTTACTGTAAAAAAGACTTTGGTCCTCGAGCAGGATTTGAACTCACTACCCGAAGATTGTGAGCCAAGTGTTTCGCCAACTCCGTGCTTGGTGGTATAGACCACCTAAGAGCGAGCTCATTTATGCGGCGCGTGAATGAGCTCGCGCGCTTTGTGGCTTTTCTGGTCGTGTGGCGCAATCTCACAGTGTGTGTCAGAAGTGAAAGTGAATCTTCGGTAGGCGGTGCCGTTGAGACGCCCTTCTCTTCATCCCTAGAGGGCCTATTGCACATTGTGTGCTTACCAGTCTTTGTCTGCATGATCAAGCTTGTAGATTTTTTAATTTCTGTGTCTCCTTTGTCTCTCTCATTCTTTCTTTTTCTCAATTTTTGTCTATCAATCAATTTACATGCACATAGACGCTTTGCGCACCGCCATTTCTGACCTTCTCTTGTCTTACCGAGATGCCGAGCCACGAAACAGTCGTTGACGAGTATGGTAATGATGAGGTGAAGTACCGTATTTACTCGAATCTAACAGCCACCTTTTTTCCGGGGAAATAGGTCCAAAAATTGCATGCGCGCTAGAATCGAGCGCGACCCAAAACTGCGCTACCGTATCGCCATCGACATTTCAAAATGGCCGCTCCATTACGCACTGAGAAGCTGAAAGGCTTAGAGCGTAGCCAGCTCGTGTGTTTCTCGCATTCGTATCAGCTTGTAAGTTCCCGCTTCAAAGACACGCTGCGTTCGCCATGATGCTGGACTCAAAAGAAAAGTGATATTGTGCACGGAGAGCGATGGAAATTGGGCCGCATCACGTGTGTTGGGCGAAAGATGCGTGGTGCATGATCCCGTCTGTCATGGTTATCAAGGCCTTCAAGAAGTGCGGAATTTCTAACGTTATGAACGGCACTGAAGATGAAATGCTTTGGCCCGCTGACAGCGATAAGGAGTCGTCATCACCGGACCGTCGTCGTGATGACGACTTTGCCGCCGAGAGACAGCGCCGTTCATTTCATCGCAAGATTGAAGCTTTTGGAATAAACCTTCGTTGTTCCAAGTGAGAAAAAGTTTCATTTCTGTATCCAGCCTACATAATCTGGTGTACGTAACAATCGAGGTCATCGCGTTTTTTTTGTTTCTTTTTCGGACCTCGAAAAATGGGTGCGGTAAATGAAATAAGAGGAAACAAAAACTGGAGGTCGATTATGGTAGTGCCCATGTACAGTTGCTGCAATCATTTATGTATTTTAGGTTTGGTACAGTAGAGTACCAAGGGTTGATCAAAACACCACGAAAGCTTTCGGATCAGAGGTGCTTTCTGTCTTCTACTCCTCTACCTGGGTCTTCCGTGGGAAGCATGTGACTTGTAAGATTAGAGTTACCATTCTTTGTTCCGTATCAAGGACTGGGAAAAGTTAGATTCAGTCTGGGAATCAAAGATCTCGTTGTCGTGAGCAGGTATCTGTTGGATTTTCGGCAGTGTTGTGCCATTGATTTCGCCGTTGTGTTCATCACACGACGATGCGTCAACGCGTAGTCTTCATAGCGAATAGAAAGTGTCTCGTGTTTACATGTTCTTAAGGTCAGTGACAGGTTATGAGTTCAGGGGAAGCTCATCCCTCCTTTTTTCACTTGACCAGGGCGAATGCCGAAGGTGGGGGGGGGGCAAGGGAGGAGCTTTATCTGGACTGTTAACCTGTCGCCAACGATAGAGGCAGATAGGAATCCTAAGTGGAGTCTTCGTTTTTCTGACCGTAGTCTCTCTTCCATGTCCCTCTCGCCCCCGCCCGCGCCATCAGATCTCTACCGGCAGTCCTTCCCGAGCACAGAGTCCCTCGACCGCAGCGGGGGCGGCAAGGCGGCCCCCGCTCCCCCTCCCCCGCCCTCTCAGGGCCGCGAGGGGGACGGCCTCGACCACCCCTGCTTCCCGCCTGCCCCCACCCTGGTCACCTTCGGGGGAGGGCCCCAGCCTACCCCTCCACCCTCCTCCTCCTCTTCCTCCCCTCCCCCCTCCTACTTCTCCCGGGTGCCCCCCTCCTCCCGGGGCCAGCACCACGCGCCTCTGCTCTACACAACGGGGCGCCACCCGCGGGACGTCCCGGCGCCCCCGGGGGCGCCCCGGTTCCCGACGGCGGGCCTGCGCAAGTCGAGCAGCCTCAAGAGCGCCCCGTACGGCATGGTGCCCCTAGTGGTGCCACCAGCGGCGGCGGCGGCGCTGGCGGCGGGAGGCCGGCAGAGGGGTCGGCGCCACCCGCCGCCCCCGCCCGTGGTGCCGCCCGACCGCGGCGCGGCGCCCCCCGCGGCGGCGGAGGACCCCGCCGACGACGCGGAGGACAGCATCACGGACGACGACGACACCCTCTCGTCGGGGCTCAGCAGTGAGTGGTGCCTTTTCAGGCCCGGCGCCCGGCGCCCCGTCATGCCCCGCGTGCTCGAAGAGTGGCCCAATTGATACGCTCTGCCGGTGGAATTGCAGTGGAACATTAGTTGAACCAATTTCTAGGAACCTAAGAGAAAAGTTTTCCGGAGTGCAAGCTCACTCGACCGAATACATTAGTTGTAATGGGGTTTTCGCTGGGGAATTTTACGAAAGTTTGTTCATCCAATCGTTTGTTCGACTGGAGTTTGTTCAAGCGGCATCTTGCTGCAGGCGGCCGAACGTGAAAAAGCGGCGGCTTTCTCCTCCTTGGCTCGTATCCACAACGAGCAACGGCGGTGTCAGATGCCAATTGCGTGCCGGCGATGTTCTTCGTAGCCAAGCGCTGAGGTTGGCAGTGCACGGCACGTGCCGTGCTATTTTGCACGGCGGCGACTGGAGTAAGGGCGGCGAATATGCTTAAAGGGATACTGAAGCAAAACTTGAAATACACCGATTATGGTCAGAAATAAGTTCAATATGATCAATGATATTCATAAATCATAATCGCGCGTTTGTATTTTGAACGGATGGCTATATTTTTCACCCTAATGGGCCCGATTGGGTGCGCGCTCAAAAATCGGCCATCGGAGAGCGCGATGCGTCTTGGGATATTGGGCGCATTCGTGACGTCACTTGTGCCAGTCGGGAAAGGCTACGGCGTGAATGTTGTGGTTACGAGCGTTGCCACTTGGTGGCGCGTCGACGATTTACGACCTGTGACAACGTGGCCATTTGAGATGTGCAAGGGCTGCACGCACGCTGCACCACGGCAAGTCGGCAACCACGGCAGCACTGACAAAACCAGCTCGGAGGCCGGATTCTCAAAGCGAATTCACGACGAAAAAAGTGCGTACGACAAATTTGAGAGAAAACCCGTACTCTCGAAACGAAATTCGTAACCTTTGCGCAGGTTACGACAGAATCTTACGACAGCTCCGAAGCTGTCTTACGCACTTTTTACGATCAAATCAACAAGGCCGACAGCGTCGCTCAGTTACTTGGTATCGGCCACCAACGGACATTTATTTTTCTTCGTGCTCTTCTCGTGCGTCCCGACTTCAACCAGCAAGAAAAAAGGAAGGAGTACTTAAAACAGACCACGACGATCAAGAACGCAGGATCCACAAACACACGAGAAGAGCTACAACGGCCACGATTCCGCCGACCGAGCGAGCTCGGCAGAATATAGTAGGCCTAGCAGCAACATCGACTCGGCGCACCGTTGCTCCGGCGGTCCTTGGCCAAGACCGTCTGTCCATGACCGGCTGGCCTGCTGAATGGAATATGCCCGCGCGACCCTTGTGGACCCTTACTGGATGAGTAGTTTGATCCCTGAACTAAATTTCAGAGGTCAATATTTTCCCCTTGTCATCTCGATCTCCTTGTTTTCCGAGACAGCGGTGACGAACGCTGTCGTCGAAAAGGGACTCTCATTGATTCTATCTCCTTGTTTTGTGTGATATAGAGCTCAAATAAACGCCATACGGATTACCTTCGCAACTCGGTATGTACACTCTGTTATTAGTATGCCATTTTTATTCTGACTCGACGCTACGTCACTGTCGAGCTATAGCAGTTCGTGGGAGCTACGCGATGTCGGTCTAACCTTTCTTTGCCGAGTGTCATGTCAGTATCGAGTTGCAATCGTAAAAGATCGGTCCAGAAGCGCTTACCGAAACGCGGTTTAACAGAGCGAATCCAGCACTTCGATCAAACGCGCATGTCCGCTCCGAGTGTGAACAGGTATTTGGCATTTGCGTGGCTCTTGCTGACACCCTCGTAGTTCAAACATATCCTTTTTAACGTCGGCTTGCAGCTCGCGACTCGCAGCAACTAATACCGGCCGTGCCAGAAGCGTGCTCGGGCCGTGTCATGCAAAGAGCCGCAACGAGAACGAGCTCACTGTGGCCAACTACGCTTTGGCTCTCTCCGCCAAGGCTTTGCAAACGCGTTCAGGCCTAGGCGAATTCTGCCGGCACGCCGTATTGCCGCAGAACGGCGCTGCTATTTTGGCACAAGTGATGTCACGAGAACTTCCCCCCATCCACCAGATGAGAATTTGAAATCGTTTAATTATGTTTAAAATTAGTTCTCCTGTGTTTTACAGCGCAATATTTATATTTCCGAGGTGGTGCCTGTCCCTAGCCCACATTTATGCAACAAGATCGGTGCTAAAATTTCGTTTCACTACCCCTTTAAGACGAGTAATTTGAGCCAGTTGCTGCGCTCCTCGGATAAGGAATAGACTTTGTTGAACCGGTTGGCGCTGTGTCGTAGTATTCGTCACAATGTTAGCAGAGAACACGACTTTTGACAATTGCGTCTGATGATGGTCTTACTCGTGGAAAAGCCTACCTGTCGCTGCGTGCTCCACGTGATGCGTTTGAAATTGCGTGTTGCCCCTCATTTGAGCACTCTGTGTCTTTTATGCTTGCCTTTTCTACCCACGATGATTGCACAAAGTGTCTGGACGTATTCTTTACACCTAAGTATGCTACCATCAAGAAATGTCTCCTCAGTAGCTTGACAGAAACTTGCCGTATGCATTACTTTTGCACTTAACTCCGAGAATATCTTTCTCAGCGGTACTACCACGTTCTGCACTTGATGTAGCTCGAGTGTCATTTGTGGGGTATGCCATAGAAGGGTAAATCAGTGTACTGCCGCTGGAGTTTACAGGGTTCAAGACAATGAGCAGTCTCGCATTCAAGTAAGACGTAGCCACGGCATAGTTGCACTTGGTTGCTTGAAAACGGCACCTGTGTCGTCATCCAAGATCCTCCAGTACTCGGCATCGACTATTTCATACTACGTGCGTAGATTCCCTAGTGCTCCTGCCCCGCACTGCTTCGAAAGCATTCAAAGCTAGCCTCGACGGCGTTGGCGGGCTGCGGAGGCTACCGTGGCCTCAACAACGTAGCACAAAATAGTCGACGCCGAGCATAACCTTTTGTCGTAGTTCCCGTGTTGTGCTCACTTTCCCCCGGGCACCTCTCGCGTATTGCTCACACTCTGTTGGTTTCTCTCTCTCTCTCTCTCTCTCTCTCCCTTTCCTCTTCCCTCTCTCTTCGTGCACACTGCCTCTCACTCTCTCTCCCTCTATGTGTCGTCACGCGCGCGTGTCACGTGACGCCTCGCGATTGGACGGGCGGGAGCAGCCAGCTGCGATTTCCTCCAAGCGTACGGCGCCTACCCTCCTCCCCCGGAGCCCGCCCCTCCGGACTTCTCCGCCGCCACTCGGCTCAAGAAGGGGCCCTCGGCCTCCTCAGGTCATTATCTGAGCGCATCGCGCCTGGGCCGCTCCTCTGCTTTCGATTTGTTTTGGCTCCCTTACGCCGCTCCGTTTGTCGCATGCACCGCCGAAAGGATTCGGTTACTTTGTTGCAGTCTGAATGCCGCTGTGCAGTGTCTTGGGTTCGTTTGCAGAAAAGTGTGAATCGTCGTGCGCTGTCTACCTTAAAGCCGAGACTGCAGCCACAGCCGCAGACGAGAGCTAGCCCGCGCTGCTAGCTTGGAGACGGAACTCGCACAGCCTCGAGTCACAAATTCTTTCCTTCGTTCCGAGCGGTGTGTGACTCGCTCCTCGCTGTCTCATCTCTCTCTCTCTTTCTTGCCTCGAAACTCATCGAAGTTGAGCGTTGGGCTTGGTGTCTGAGGCGTAGAGTTTGAAGCGCAGCACCGGAGCGAGCAAACAAGTCCGGAAATCTTCTTTGGCGAACCCGATTAATGGCTACTTGATATAAAGAAGAAGAAAAAAATGCTAGAGACTCGTGGTAATGCGGAAACGTTTTATATATGTTTTTTGTTCGGGGGCCAATCTTTGAAATTGCCGACTGATAACTTCCGCCACGGGCTAAACCAGCCAATCAGAACTGGATTCTTTGGGATTGACTTCCGGTGAGCGGACTGAATAAAATTCGGTTCTCTGGGAACATTCAGCGACTCCAGTGCAGCCAAAGTGCGGGGGAAGGCGTAGGGCGCGTGCTGGAGGCTGGGTGTTAGAAAGACACACCCTGGCATTCTCGTTTCGTCTGCAACCATGCGAGCACGAGTTAACCTGCGCTCTTAGTTTTGAGACACGCCTTTCTAGCACGTACACTCCTTCTGGGGAAGAACTTTTGAAAGCCGAGGTCTCGTGCTCTTACGCTTGTAAGGCTTGGCTGCAGTCTCGACTTGAGGGTGAACAGAGTATAGCGTATTACAGAAGTGTGGTAGGGCACGGTTCGTAAAAACTTTTCGTGTTTTGCTGTATATTTTTCTTTCTTTAATTGCACATGCTTGGGAACTTTTGTTTTCGGCTGGCACCCCCTTCATGTTGCGTAGCGGCTTAGCCGTAATGTCGAAATCAGTCGTGTTCTCGGGCTGCTGGGGAACGCCGTACCAGTGCACGTGGCGCTGGCGATTCACGAGTCGCACTGCTGCATCGTGGTGCTTCTTGTCCGTCCCGTGTAGAAGTAAACTAGGGTCTCATCAAAACTCTTTTCTTTTTTTGCTTTCTCTGACGCTTTCTTCTGTCTTTGTTTCTTTTCTTTCCACGCGTTGCATGCTGCAACAGATGCCGGATCACAGGAGTCTCTTACAATGGAGACAGGTGATGTTCTGTTGCCAGCGTTCTCTGTCATTTGCTTCAGTGCGTTTGCATCCCCTACCCAACTCTGTTTCTTTCGTGAAACGGTCGAGTGAGGCACAGGCCGTTTGGTAACGTGTTTTGTGCCTTTTCCTTCACGTCTGATCTTTTTTGCTTTTTTTTCTATACATGTATCCATCCATCTCTCTGCCTTCCTTTAATTTTCTTCCTCACGTCTCTTTGGGTTCACAAAGTTCAGTTCTAAAAGTTAAAGTTAAAGAAACGTGAACTCCGTGGCCCGTTCCCTGAAATCTCACGCGCCTGATCACTCTGTTAACTGTGTACTTGCAAGGTTGGTGTGCCCACCTCTAACAGATAATGTAGATATCCTATCGTTGTATCAAATCGTTGAAGCCTAGCAAACGACTGTGTCCAGAAGGTGCTTTTTCCCCAAAAACGCAGCTTGCGCCCAATCCTGAGCGCACAAAACTTCATTCGCAGTCCAGGCAGTGCAAATATTGCGATAGTGTAGCTTCAATCACAATCACTATACTACATCAGTTCACCTTGGGCCCTGCGGAAGAACAGAGGCATTCAGAAGCACTAAAGGCCCATTCATACAGGAATGTCTGCTTATGTTTTCTTACATCATGTTATAATTATAACGAAAGTCACTGGGGCATCCGTGCCTCCTATGTTGCGTGCAAATCTCGGGGTTTGTACAGCTACTTGAAATCCTTGAATACCCAAGATTTTCTTCAAAGCCTTTCATGTGCCCTTAAATCTCCTTGAGAGTTGCAATGTTCATTGTATTCTTTGAACATCCAGAAATCAATGGCATGTTTTTTGCGAATCATGGCGGTTTGAGAGGCTCACTCGCTTCTCTTGACTCGTCCAAGCTGCAGCGAGGCATTTAGGGGCGCGCAAGGAAATCGTAAAAGAAAAGCTCTCGCGCTGTTGTGTTGGCAACTGACATGGTAGCTTACTTTTTTTATTGCCAGATGCATCGCCGTCACACTCTGGCCACTGGAGATAGCATATTTTTTTCTCCTAAATGTGCCTGCTTCTTCATATTGCTTACATATCTGGCAATTTTAATCAGGCTAGGGTTGTATCTTACAGTTTTTGTTGCAAACCCACCAACGCTTGCCTAAATTGTCACGATGGAATCATGCAATCGTGACATGACTGGATTGAAGCGCCCGTTTTATTTGGCACTTCTCTTCAGTTCCATCCAAGGCATTTGGAATCATTAAGCACGAATCTTGTGACTCGCGGTTGGGACTCGACGTAGGCGGACATGAGCTCCCGTAACATAACGCAATGTCAGCAAACGCTACTGTGTGAACGGGCCTTTTGCGTCTCTGGCGAAATTGGTATGCGAACCTTTTTCGATGACCTTAGAATTCCCGAGTCTGATCGTTCGTGAAAATCGAGGATTCTATGATGCTTGAACTTAGGCTAAAGAGGAGACCACTTTTGTCAAGCCGTCATCGGCTGCTCGAGATCGTTTGTCACCCCCCTTCCTTCCTCGCAGCCTGGGTGGATCCCCGTGGCTACCCGGGACGCGGGGGCGGCTACCCCGCCCAGCCCGAGGACTGGGGCGAGGGGGGGCCGGCGGGGGACGTCTACCACACCTACCACTTGGAGAGGCACAAAGTGGGGCCTCCCCTCAAGCCCAAGCCCTCCAAGCCAAAGGTGGGTCATGTTCGGCGTGCGTCCGGCTCTCTCCTATAGTTTTTTCCCCACGCTAGCGACGAATTATGTAAGTTGTGTTTTCACGAGCGTGTCGGGAAGCTCTCGAAAAGTAGAAAGACATGCGCAGGGAGCGAGACGGGTGAGACGTTCTTTCGGGGCTTCGTGTTTGTTTTGTTTGCGGTTTTACTTCTGCAATGAAAACCTTCCGTAGAACAAAGTCGGTTCTTTCGGGGAAAATGTTTTACTATGTTAGTATTGTGAATCCCGGTTCCTCGAGGGCACGTAGACGGTACGTTTAATATTCTCGAGAGTGAACAATTCGCATGGTGTCTTCGCTACGTCAGTGCATTAAATATTGTACCACGACTACAAGTGTACTTTGCTATAATGTTTACTGTAGAGATGGACTTCCGTGCGCTAAGGAGAGCATGAAGAAGCGATGTCTTCTCCCCCGACGTTCCCGAGTAGTGATGCCCCTGCGTTCCCACGCCCTTAGCCCGGGAAGCTGAACCTGAAGCAGTTTGACCACCTGACGGACGCCATAACCAGACTTAACCTGGGCCCACACAAGCAGGCCGGGGGCGGGACCCTGCCCAAAATGGCGCTGCACGCTCCCCTGGCTACCCCCGAGAGCACGGACGTCGGAAACGACTTCTCCCAGGTAGCGTCCCATCTTGCCACCACCAGCGATTTGACCGTCTGCCAGGGGAGACTCTGGTCTCTACGTGTTCTTTTTGTCACTTCTCGGATTCCTGTAGCGCTTAACTCTCGGACTAACCGTCGAACTCGTATAACGCTCTGGTCGTCGTCGTTCCTTGCTGCAGGACGGCGTTGGCCTGTACGGAGCGGACGGCAACGAGTACGCCTACGCGCTCCTGCACAACGCGGTTCAGGAAGGAAAGTCGCACCGGGTGCGCTCTCTCGCCCGGAGGCACGGCAGCAGGGAGCACTTCGACAAAGGTGGGTGCCCAGTCTGCATCCCGCGCTCCCGGTGGCGTACCATGCGCTCGTCATCGAAGAAGGCTCGTCTCGAGTACTTTCTCCAGCGTTTCGTGGTGCTTGCTACGCGTCCGATGCGAATTCGAGCGCCCGACTACCCCGTGCTGCTTTCGACTTAGTGAGAGGAACCTGTACATTTGTGTCTGAACTGTTTATTTTGCGGCATGGTTGTCGATGGCTCCCATTATGCCCTGCGGTTCTGTTGCAAGTAGCTCACCCCGCGTTCCGTCTCTGCCTAACCGTAGTTACTCGAACGGTCGCCACGCCTTTTAGGAAAGATGCCTGCGCGTTACCGTTCCTTGGAGCGTGCGTGCAGCCAATCGTCGCGTCATACACTGCGCGACTACTGGCACGAAATGCGATGTCGATGCTCTTTTGCAGTTTACTTCAAAAAGCTATTGGCGAACACCAAACTCTGTCGCTTAGGTTAGTGTCCCGACCAAGGCCTTTCACCACTCTAGTATTTTTAATGACATCCTTTAGATTATAAGAGAAAAACAAAAAAACGCGGCGATCACTCATTCGTGCCGCCGCCTCGGTGGCTCCGAGGCGAGAGCGCCGGCCTACGGATCTTCATGTGGCGGGTTCGAATCCCAGCCGAGGTGCCCGCAATCTTACGGAGGCTTATTGCGGAGAAGACGCCGTGTAACCGAGCTTTCGGTTGCACGTCAAAAGATCCCCAGGTGGTCGAAATTAATCCTCGGTCCTCCGCTGGGGTGTGCCAGATGCCCGTCGTTGGTTTGGCACGTAAAACCCCCAAATTTGACTTTTTTCGCTCATTCGTGCCAACGGTGTCACGCAGTGCACGTGACATTATTATCTCCGTCCCAGGGCATTATCTCCGTCCCACAAGTTGCCGGGCTCTTTTCGTTGACCGCGACAATTGGCCATCCACACGCGCCACCGGAAACTAGGCGTGAGAGGCCTTTTTCATAAATGACGCGTCAATTTCTCGGATAAACGCAGTGAGACCTCGTGCCGCAGCCCATCTTTTGTCCACGTACGTCTGGTCTGTTGTCTGCCTTTCTCGCTTTCTGTCGACTTCCGCCCGACGCCTCCTAGGTAGCAGACCGTAGCACTGGATCTACTACATCACCTGCCACAGGCCGGTACGGGGTGCAGGTTGGACGCACCTGCTGTGTCGTCGTTCAGCTGGGACTTGCGTTCAGACCGCAAGGACGCAGGTCCCATCCGAACGCAGACAATCCGTGCGCCCGCGCCGGCGTCCCCTGGGTGGCATTGAAGATTCGGCGCTAGGGCCTCGTCGATCTAGGAGGGCCCGCCGCTTGACCTCCTCTTTCTTTCTCTGTCTCCCTCTCTCTCCCTCCCTCTCTTTCCCTCCCTGTCCTTCCTCCTCCCCCCTTCCGTGGGCTCCCCCGCGTGGGCACCAGGCTCCGACTCGGACAGCGAGTGGAGCTCCCTGGAGCGCCGTCAGCGGGAGGCCTACGTGGCCGGGGGCAGCCGGGGCTCTGCGGTCCGCCGGCCGGGGGTGCACCGCAAGGGGCGCAAGAAGCGGGGCGGCATCCCCGTGGCGCCCCCCCGCATCCCGTCCTTCGAGGGGGCCGCCCCGCCCACGGCGGCCCCACCCCCCCCTCCGCTGCCCCCGTACCCCGGCCAGCCGCTCGGCACAGGTACGACGCCACTCTCTCCCTTTCTCTTCTCTGCTTCCTCTCTCCCCTCTCTGTTTTTTTTTTTTTTTTGTCTTTTGCGTGGATTACGGTTTTTTTTATAATTTGGGCCCCCTAGAATACTTCCGAGGGGGTTTGCTGTAAAGCTCCCTTCAACTTTTTGAAACGTTCCAGAGAAACTTAATTGAGTGCCATGAGGGTTTAGTTTAACACCACAAGGGGTGTGTTTGAATGCCGTGAGGGGTGTAATGAAGCGCCACAGTGAGGTGGAGCATCCCCAAGAGGTTTTGTGGAACACTACAAGGGGTTTAGTGGAGCATCCACAAGAGTTAGTGTTATGGAGCACTCCTATGGGCTCAGTGGAACAGCGCAATGCATGTAGTGGAACACTGCGAGAAGTTTAATGGCATACTTGTAGGGGTTTTGTGAAGCATCCCCATGAGCGGCTTAGGAGAACACCATGAGCAGTTTTGTGGAACACTATGAGAAGTTCACTGGGACACCATGAGGGGTTTAGTGGAACATCATGGGCGGTTTAGTGGTACATTTTTAGGTGTTTACTGAAGCATTCCCAAGAGGTTTAGTGGAACACCACGAAGAATTTAGTGGAATGCCATGAGGGATGGAACTCGTGTTGGGCATTAAAAATTAGAGAAAATTTTGCTCATACCTGTAGGCTAACTGTGCCATACCCTGCGCATATGCAAAAACAGTCCAAATAATTTCTTTTTTTTTAAATTTGATTACAAGGTCACGTCATGAGCGTGGCACTGCTTCAGGTACATTCACACAGAGAAAAGACTGTTTTGGTCGACGTCGACGCCGCCGTCGAAAAAAACGAGGCAGTCACAGAGGGCCACCCAACGTCGGCATCTTCTAAGGGATCCTCACGTTTGTCGAGAGAGCATGGAATTTTTTTTTTTGTCTGCTTCGTATGATTAGTGTTGCCTTGCCTTTGTGATTGCCCGCACCCTCGGAGACAAGCCTTCAGTGAATGGACAACGGCGATGGTTATATATACGTTCATTCTCCACTTGTATGCAGCATATGCGAGAGGCACAGATCCGAGCGCGCAGCTTCAGGGGGTCTCTTTTGGCACGTTTTTGTGCAAACAAAGCTTAGCACGTTGCTAGGCCCATGTGTCCGTACCTTTGATGGCACTACACGCAGCTTCTGCGATAGTGTTTTCGAAGGGGATCTGCTGTGTTCCCACACAAAGAATGCACAAAACACATTGGGGGTGATTGCTAGCTCTCGTGCAGTCGGAACACACTGCAAGTTTCCATTCGGTGCCGGCTTTTGCACAAATGACAATGAGTAGCATCACAGCGTCGTAAACGCATAGAAAATGCTGCTCAAAGTCACACGTTCCAAACGGCTTGCTTTTCTCCACACTGAAATGCTTCCAGCAACGTCTGGCGACTGCGCATGTCCCTCGACCACTCTGCCTTTATCGCCTTCCTTGTGGACGTAAAATAAAACCAGCAAAAACAGGTCCTAACCGGAAAAAGGTGACACGTAATGTTTGGTCGCTTGCTGATTGGCTCAAGCGCATGCATCAAGGGAAAAATTGGGTCCAGAGACATTGTCTCGCGGCGTCGTCCTCTGCGCTGTACTACTTTTTGCGATACAAAAACAATTAAAAATACTCTCCCCTCTTCGCACGTTTTTCCGCAGTGTGAATGCACCTTTAGTGGGGCTTAGAAGGTGCCATCTGCTCTAAAGCCTCAATGATGTTTTGGAAATGAAGCCAAAATGGTGTTCTAATAGCCAAGACAACTTGTAAAGAAGAAAAGCTATGGTGATGCCAATTTGTTGCGACAGCAGCAGGGTATGGCAATTCCAGTTGCCCTAATAGGGATTCTCACTTGGGGCTTTAACCAAGGAGCCAACTCCTTCAAAAGAAAGGTGCCAGTTTTGGCGGAGAAGCAGACATATCTGAAGCTTGTTTGCCCTTAAATCAACTTTAATTAACCATCATCACGACCATTATCTCAAGCTCGGTTTCCTTTAAATCACCTTCAATTAACCACCATCATTATAAAAAGAGTGTTGTGATAATTCCCGTCGTCATCTTCGTTCAAAATCTGAAAATATGTTGATCCTGATCCTGTACCATTGAAACAGTCATCACCACCATCATCATCTTATAGAAGAGCCATACCGTAAAATACAGAGCATGCACCTATGTCACAATAGGCACCCACCACCTCCTGAAACATTTGAGATATAGGCAAAGAACAAACCAAGCACCCACCCAAGAACACTTCTGAGCCCAACCAGCTGACTGAGGTCCTCCTCTGTGCCAGCTTATTCTCTGGAAAGCCCATGCAAAGCGTTCTGGCTTTGCATGCTTGCATCAGTGCGAAGTGGCAAAGCTCAACGCGACGGTGCCACCGTAAAGCAGGCTGTACGAGAGCGGCGCAGCTCTTTAAAAAATCGGGGGTTCTGCCAGACCCCTCGCTTGTTCAGTCGGATCAAGCAAGGGTCTACCCTACCACGTGTCCCTCCTGTTTTTCTGCTCCCATCCGCAGTTTTTTGCGATTATCGCCAATTTTGGCATGGGAACCTGCTTGGTGTTTTACGGTATCCCGGTCATCCGTCGTTCCGCCCTTTAAAACCTTCATCGCGATCACCATCATCGTCGTAAGCGAAAAATCCAGATGTGTCAATCGTCGTCTGTCGTCGAGGCCGTCGCTGGCATCGTCGTTGCCGTTGTGGCGGTCTCCCGACTGAGGCCGGGCTGGGGTTGTGCCCCTTCCAGGGGTGGGGTCTGAGGGCAGCGACCTCTCGGAGGAAGAAGGGTGCGACCCCCACGCCAGGGGGGCGGTGCCCCTGCTGGCCCTGCGCCCCAAATACAAACACGGGAGCACCAAGCGGTCGCTGCGGCTCAAAGGGGGTCGGCGGGGCTCGGCGGGCCTGCCCTCCCGGCCCCCCTCTGGGGCCGAGGCCGCCCCGCTGTTGCGCTTTGCCTCCGCGGACGGTGGCGGCCTCTTCCTGCCTCCGCGTGAGTCTCTCTCCTCTCTCTTTCTCTCTCTGGACACCCGTTCTGTTCAACACCTCCTGTTGTCACCGACGGGATTAGAACGGCAGGGAGGTCTTTCCTTTGTCCCGCCTCCTGTGCGAGCTTTCTGCCTTCTATGGTGCTTTGGTGTCTCGAGCGTACACCAGCTGCCAAAGCATGGCGGAGGGCGACGAGCACTTGCTGGGGGCGGGGCAGCCGAAGGGGATTCCCTGTCATTTTAGTCTCGTCGGAAACTATAGATGGCAAACGCCATAGTACTGGATTTTGAATGTCGCCTAAACATTGGACGCAAGTGTTGCGTTTGTGTCCGGTTGAAACTCGCGTCTTCGATGGCTGGATCGCAAGTCCGAGTCGAAAGCTGACTCAGCACTCGTATCCAACCTATGCCCGACGTAGTCGGGGTGTAGACGACGTAGAAAATCCAACACTACGGCCTTTTCATCCAGGAAGTGTTGCTCTGTTCTGTCTCTTTCTCTTTCTACATTTCCTTCTCTCGTTCTTCTTGCGTGATTTGGTGTCTTGTGCATTTGTGCTTTTTGTTTCGGTGCATGTTTGTGGGCCTTTCTTTTTCTTTTGTGCAAGCTTGTTTGTGCACATTGTGAATGTAAAATTATTATTATTATTTTTTTTTTTTTTTAATGAATTTTTTTTTATTTTGAAAGGTGGTCCCTTGAATGGAAACTAGTGGGATTTGGATTGAGCTAGGATTTCTTTCTCGCACCAAATTCAAGAACCTGGCACGCACGGTGCTGTTGTGTCTGTCCTTTGTTTTTATGGTTCTCGATAAGGAGGTCACCGGTAAGAAATTTAAAGAAAGCAAAAAGCGCTTCTTGGAGCCAGGTGACTGTTGCGTGCAATGAACGAAAGGTATAGGTCTATTGTTTTATTTTTCGTGCATGAAATTGTTGTCTAGAAGGCTGTGAATGTTTACTTTTCCTTCCAGTTGTTCTGAAAAATTATGCAGGCCATTTTTCTTGCTTGATTGAGAAGGGAAAATATGAGTGAGCACCATTTGTACCGTGGAAAGTGATTTTCGAAGAAATTTGTGTGAAGGTTAGTCGATGAGATAAAGTTACGCACTAACTTTAGCTTGCTTCTTAGCAGGCACCGAAATTTCTCCTGCATTCAGCATCCAAAGTGGTCTTGTGACTGATTTCTCATGTTTGTCCTTTGGCAGCAAGTGCATTTTATTTCTTTTCCTCTCGTTACTAAGAAGAGTCACCACCAGTTTAGGTATGACATGGACAGTATTTCTTGAAGAAATCACTTGGACAAAAGGTTCTCTAACTAAAGTTCGATTCTAACGATGTATGGGCAAATACTACTATTGATAGATTCCACTTGTTGAAGTTAGAACCCCAGAAAGATTTCTATGGAAACAAATAAGTTGTCTGGCCTTTGTCTATACCAGTGGTCTCAAACTCATTTCAGCGTGGGGTCCAGATATCCTACACCGGGAAGACCGAGGGCCAACGTTAGACGGAGGGGGAGGGGGGAAAGAGTCTAACGATTCGAAAGAGAAGAGACTTCGTGCTCTGCGTTTTTTGTAAACTCAGTTTTCACGGGGACATTTTTTGATTTGATTATATGACTGCTCTGGGCTTTGACTTGATGTGATAACAATAATTAAAGTGCCACCTCCCCGCCAACGTGCTCGCATTTTGAATAGAACGAGAACAGGTACACTGTCGTTCCCGTTGCTCAATTCACTCGGGAATTAACCAAGCTCAACGTGTCTCTAAAGGCAATCAGTTAATTTGGCAGCTTTTATCTTCCTGGCGATACAACACTCATACTTGTCTTATAACAGTTAAATATCCTTTTAAAGGCGAGAATCCCGAGCTCGTAGCTTCACCTTCGACAGTTGCTCCTGTTAATCGAGAGTTCGCGCAGCGAAGATGCATCCTCCAACAAAAAGTTTGCACTTGCAGCCTACTACAATATTGTTGTAAATTTTAAAAAAAAGCTGGGAAGAAAAAGATAAAGCGAAACAAAGGGCAAATGAACACAGATAAGTATACATTTCATGAATATGTTAAAAGAGCATAGTTATAACCTTTCGCGCGGAAATGAATCGGCGAGATGAGATCACTATGGCGCAAGCCACTTCACGAGCGTTCGAGACATATGAACCAAGACTCGTAGCGTGTTGCCTGCGGGCCGCGTCCCAACGAGTCGCAGGCAGCGAGTTTGAGACCCCTGGTCTATACTTTAGGAACTGTGGCATGGCCCCTCGTTTTGTCTTATTCTTTTTTTTTTTTTTTATCACCTGCCATTGGTGGCATGAATGTGCCTTTATCTTTTTTCGTCTTGTTTTGCATTTGTGGTGTGTGTTGGCTATTCAAAACGTTACTCTTGAACTGCACGCAGTTCGCCGAAAAAGTGTTGACACCATAGGCCTGTAACCAGGTGGCAACAAATCTTGGCCGTGGCCGATCTTATGTGACATTTGACTTTGCGTGTTCTCTTACACGTTGCTTCTGTCTTGGGCGTCCATTTTTCTTACCTTTCTCTCTCTCTCTCTTTCCATCTCTTTGCCTCCTTATCTTGTCTTAAACTCTTCTTCCGACGTTTTGTCTCTGGTGCCAAAGACTGAGTGAGAAAAGGATACTGGAGTAGTTGGTTGGAATTTTTCTTGGTTTGCACTAGCCAGATGCCCCAGTACGTTGGCAGCCGGGGCCCAGTCGTCGTTCACTGAGGGCACGGTGGTTTTCCCTCCGGCTTTTTTTTGCCAGTTAAGCTTTGTAATCCTTGTTTTTACATTTTTTGCGTCGCTCAGAAGCACGGGACACTCCTTGGACTGAACGAAATCCCATTCATAATCGACCTGGGAAGTGGCACCACTGCTGTGTCCAGTTATAGTTTAGCTCTCATATTGGACCACTAAAATCCTTCGAGCGTGGTCCCTCGGTAAATTAACGTTCATCGCCACTTGCAATTATTTGGTTGTATCTAGTTCTGGAACTCGCACATTGAAACCTGCAAGGACCAGTAGAGTCCGCTGTTGCATCTCTGACACGAAACTTCCAGTTTAGTATCTCGTCCGCTTGAACAGTTTCAGCATTTATGGTCCCTCTGAAAGGGTCTATGCTGTTCTAAGAAATTTCACCAGTGTTTGTGGCTCACAGAACTTTCTGCTTGTACTAGGTACATGCTTTTGGCACCTTTATGTCTGCTCAACTTGACTCCACTTCCACTTTTTGTTTGGTGATTTTTGGACGAAGGTTTCAACGAGTCGAAAGTATGACGGTTGTGAGATCGAATAGCCTGCTCATGTTTTAGGAAATGAACTGATTTGCAAACTAAACTGTTTGATCATTTTTGGTTCTTCTTTAATCTGCGATGCAAAGCTTGGGTTTCTTGTGGTCTGTGGGCGCATGACTTACTGTTTGCGATTTGGTGCGTTGCAGTCAAGCCTAAACTGGAGCAGAGCCTGTCTTGTGTGGCTGCCACGGACGATAATTCTAGTTACGACGTCGCAGTCAGGGACCTTGCTGCGGCCACAAGGGTGAGTCTGGCCACTCCGTCCTTCCCTGCCATTTTCAAGCTTGTTGTCGCACTATGGGCATCTCTTTTTAAAAAATTAATCGCTTCCTGGTTTTGTTTAAAATGTTTATTTCTTGCAAGACATGGTACAGTCGACTTCCGTTAATTCTACCTTTATGGGACATGCGAAATCAGGTTGAATTATCCGAAAGTGTAATCAAAAGATGCGTGCGAAATTCTGAATATCCAGCGCTTTAGATCAGGTGGGCTAACATTTTTACAATGAGCCGCCGCACATTGCCGCACGGCGGTGGGAGTGGCCGTGTATGTCTTTCGCGCATTCGGTGCGGCGGCAGCTGCGGTGACTGGCGGCCCGTGCCGCCGGCACCATAGCAACACTACTGCGGAGCAGCGGTGTTGCAATAGTTGTATTGGTTGTGTGCACCGGCACCGCCGCTGCCGGCAACCATTGCAACGCCGCTGCGGAGTTGCACTCGCTGCTCCGCAGTGGTGTTGCAATGGTTGATTTGTGTTGAGACCCGGTTGTGTCCCATGTCTCAACATGTGCTCTCTTGTTCTCTCACTTTGCAATTTAGCATGCGCTTCAAAATTTTAGAACAGGTTTTTTCACCGATAGGTGCGGCCAATCGCGCTTGTAAATTGCCCATCGTGTGATTCGGAAAGAAAAAAAAAAAGCCAGTTTTTGTGCGTCAGACATTGATGATTGTGCTTGTAATTTGCCCACCACTGTTTCTATCTAGGTCGAATTAACCAATATTTTATATTTCAATATTGAAATAACTAGATTTCCTTTTCTATGTATTATACCGGCTTTGTGCTAGGACCTTTGAACTGGGTCGAATTAAACGATTAGTCGGATAGAACAAACTCGAATCGATGCGAGTCAACTGTATAAGAAATTGATATCTTTTACACTGAAGCGAACGTGGTGTTCCTTTTTTGCTCGACGCAGCTCGGTGGGATGCTGAAGAACCGCTGTGAGTCGGACAAGAACACCCGCAAGAAGGAAGAACGCAAGAAGGCACGGGAGGACGAGAAGTTGGAGAAGCGACGCATCAAGGAAGAGGTGAGGCGACGTGCCTCGCCGCGTCCCATCTGGCGTGTACACGCCAGACCAGATGGGTGTGGGGCCGGTAGCAAGCGAGGAAAGCTAAGCCAGCGTGGACGAAACAAAGAGCGCTTGCTGATTATCAGAGGAATGCAGTTAGCTCGGGATTGCTTTCCATGCGAGTGGAACAAGGATTATGCAAAAGGAAGCATCGTAAATTATGCGCCTTTTCCGGTATTCCACGTTTTGCGAGCAGACAAAAATGGCACAGAATTTATGCTGCAAACAACACATTCCACGATCGTGCACTGTCCAAGTGTCCGACTTAGATTATCTGAAACGTTATGTGGATTTCGGGTAATGCAATAGGAACGACTCGTTCGTTTAAAATAATGCATGTAGTGGTATTGCCTGCCATGCGCGGGGAAGGTGAGAGAGATGTCCTGCCTCCCTCGAAGCTCTGATAGCAGCCATTTATTTTTAGACGGTATAGAACAGAGATGTTGTGGCGTGTGACGACGCATGCAGCATGAGACTGGTAGCACTGCAGCACCATCTGGTGAAACAACAAAGAACTACCTTCAATTACCGCTACGACACGGGTGACGTCTGTGTCGTCCTTGAAGTGTCAGTCCCCTTAGACATGCTCAACCTTTTAATACCTGTTTACACATACACTGCAGTGCTTACTCAGTGATAAGGACAAAGCACTGATTTTGCACTATATCAGTGCAGTGCTATATCAGTGCTGTATCAGCACTGTATCGGCGCTGTACTGGCACTGCATCAGTGCTGTACCGGCACTGTACCAGCGCTCCGATGCATGTGACCCCGCCTTTTCCTTGCTTACACAGTGCGCTGCTAGCCCAGCATTGAGTCGGCGCTGACTTTGCATTATCTCAGTGCCAGGATGTGTGTGTCCTTGCGCCGCAGGAGCGCCAGAAGCGTCTGACGGAGAAGAAGAAGAAGAAGTCTGGCAGCAGCAACGGCAAGGGTCCCTCCTCGGGAGGCCTGGAGGACTTTGTGCAGTCGGAGGAGGTGGCCACGCCCCTGTTTGTGGACAAGTGCGTGCGCTTCATCGAGGAGGAGGGCCTGGACTCTGAGGGCATCTACCGGGTGCCGGGCAACCGGGCCCACGTGGACCTGCTCTTCCAGAGGTTTGAGGAGGACCCAGGGGTGTCCATCCGCGAGCTGGACATCCCTGTCAACGCGGTGGCCACGGCCCTCAAGGACTTCTTCTCCAAGCGGCTGCCGCCCCTGCTGTCACCCGGCGAGATGGATCAGCTCACAGAGATTGCCGGTGGGCTCCTTTGTCCCTTTGATTGGTCTATCAATTGATCAGTATCATCAAGATTGGTCGTGGGACTATTCTTCCCTTGATTGGCTGTTTGGTCTATCAATTGACCCCTCTCACTGCGATTACTGGTGGGATCACCCTTTTTTTTATTGATTGATTACTGGTCTATCAATTGACCTGTTTTGCTAAGATTGCTGGTGAGACCACCTTCTTTTAACACCTTGGTTGATTAATTGATTTGTCAGTCTATCAGTTCACTAGGATTGCCAGTGGGACTGCCCTTCCTTAATTTATTTGATTGATTGATTGGTCTGTCAGTTGGCCAGTTTTACCAGGATTGTCAGTAGGGACCACTCTTCCTTTGCCTTTGGCCACTTTGATTAATAGATTGATTGACTAGTCTATCAGTTCACCAGTTTCGCCGAGATGGCCGGGGGCCTTTGGCTGATGTCTTTCCCCGATTGATTGGTAGTTCTGTCGATTGGCCAGTTTCACCAGGGTTGCCAGTGGGATGCCTTTCATCTGTCTGTTGCATTTGACCGCTGTCTTTGACTGAGTGATGGATAGGTCTGTCAGTTGACTAGTTTATTGCTTGGTTAATTGGTAGTTCAATCAATTGACTGGTTTCACCCAAATTGCCAGTGGGTCTGCTATCTTGTCCGTTGCCTTTGGCAACTTTCTTTGATTGATTGATTGGTCTCATCTTTCTCTACTATTGATAGAGTAGCTGCTTTTGTCTGCCCGAATATTTGATTGATTTGGTCTGTGTGTATGATTATTAGGTTTTGTCTGCCTCTATAGTTCAGTGATTGACTTTGACCGCCTGTACAATTGATTGGTTCTGTTGAGACCCCACCACCTTTTACAGCGAAGCTGTTTATGGCTAGGGTTCCGTGGATTTTTCATGTGCAGTGACTAAAAACTCTACGCTTTCACTGCCGCACGCGCACGCCTTCCCCGTATAAAAGATTCGAAGTAAATAACCAAAAGAAACCATTGACGAAGGCGTGTGCAAGATGTTATTTGTTTTAGGCTTTTGCTTTAGAACAGTTACTGTTGCAGACGCCGGCACGTGCGGCCCATGGAACACCATTCCCTGCATTCTCTTGATGCTTGGGTAATTTAGCAATAGGTCTGTTCAGTAGATTAGTTAACAATAGACACCATTTTCAAGATCAGTAGAATTTCAGATAGATAATAAAGGTTTCTCACAGATTTGCTGCTGTGCGACCCGTGTCGGCCATGTCTACGCTCGCACCACCCTCTCTTTGTTGTCGTTCCAAGCGCTTGCGTGCCTAGTTTCCTTTCCTTCCTCTCTCCCGGGGTGGCAGTCCCGTCGCACGTGTGTAGTTTCCTCCAGCTCCTCAGGGCGGGTCTGTGTCGTCTGCTAAACAGCTTCACTGGTCACCCACCTTCTCAGAGTAGAATGGCTCATGATTTTTTCCCTTGTATATCTTTAAAGGCATCCAAGACCGCAGCTGTCGACTTCTGGCACTCAAGGAGCTCATCAAGAACCTACCCACTGTCAACTTCGAAATCCTCAAGTTTGTCTTTCAGCACTTTGTCAAGTAAGTTTCCGATTTGTATTCTTCCCATTTGAGTGCAAGCATAAGTTGGAGGCTTTTTCTGTTCACAAGAAATTGGGGGAAAAGTGATGTGAGCCTTTCCTGTCTCATTTGCGAGGCTGCAACGCCTTAGTGATATTGTCATTCTAGAGGTTTTGGGAAAGGCTTCGGTACAGTTCCCTGTTGTATCTGAAGTAAAGCCACATACTGTCAGTATTATCCCCTTGCAGATGTGGCAGGAAAAGGCTGACACTATAGAAATCTAATTTATCCAATGCAGTTTGACTGATAATAACTGATAACCTGATGGCCTCAGCCTGTACCATGCAGTAGCAATTAGATTAGGAATGTACAGCACTGCAACACCCCCCTCAAGAAAGACACCTTAGTGGCTCTGAGGCAAATCCCTGGCCTACAGATCCCCAGGTGGCTGGTTTGATTCCCGCCTGAGGTGCTTGCAATCGGACAGAGGCTTATTGCAGAGAAGGTATCCGAGCTTTCAGTTGCACACCAAAGGTGGTCAAAATTACTCCTCGGTCCTCCACTGCGGTGTGCCACATGCCCTTTGTTGGCTTGACACGTAAAACCCTTAATTTTAATTTGATCCCCTCAAGAAACGATTGAGGAAAGCTCCTTCCATCAGTTGTCTTCACGTAAGAAGACGCTCAAGAAAATGTCAGTGTACGAGAAATCGGTTCTATAAAACAACTTCTCCCCACAAACTTGGATTGGCTCACCCAGAGTGGAGTGGTCAAAAATAAAACTGTTCCGGCAAATGGACGAAAGATGGCAGTACGTTACCCAAAAAAGGGAATTTCAATACTTAGAAGCTCATCGAGTGACCCTAGCGCAACGCATCCGTTGCGGTGACAAGTTGAGTTTCCGACGTTTCCTGTCGCTGACCGACTTTTTCTGCGCCCTCCCCGTTGTCCACAGGGTGGCGGAGAACTGCCGCCTGAACAGCATGGACAGCAAGAATCTCGCCATCTGCTGGTGGCCCACGTTGCTCCCACTCGAGTTCAACGACATGGGCATGTTTGAGCGGGTACGCCCGCACCTCGAGGACTCGGTGCAGACCATGATCGACCAGTTCCGCTTCCTCTACTGCGACCAGGAGGAGGTCCTCAAGGTCTGACTCTAAAAGCCGACCCGGTGCCGATCCACAGCCGGAAGAGAAGCCGGCTCTGCTTGCCGCCGCCGTCGTCCGGCCGGTTTTTGGTGCGGTGGAGGTCGTGCGGGGACCCCGAACTACGACCGTGGCGGCCGTCTGTCTCTTGCGGCCTCGACGCCGATTGGGGGGACTGGACGGAGTGGGCGGAACCCGCACGAAGGGGGCAAAGCCCGCACTGAGTGGGCGGGGCTAGTCGAGGGGGGCCGTTCCTTACAGTTTCGGGTCGGCCCGAACGACGACCCTCCCCTCCCCCCTGCCATGTTCTTTCGATTGCTCGGGTCTGTCGGGTTGGGGGGGGGACGCACTTTTGCGTCGCCTGCTTTGTCGCGCCTTTGGGAATCTCTGGACTCGCTCGTTCACGGACCGCATTTATTTTTTGTCTTTCATGCGTCCGGTCTGGCCGTTTTGTAGTAGATCGTTTGCGACGTGCTTTCTGGGTACGAAACTTGCCGAGTTGTTCTTTTTTTTTCTTTTAGATTTTTTCGAGGCCATGTTCTAACGAGGGTTTCCCCGATCTTGAACCCGAGCAGACGGTTGCGGACGTTGCGGGTCGAGAGACGGCCTCGAAGGCGGGCATCTCCCCCTCTTCGTCCCCAGGAAAAAAGAAAACTCCCCTTTGGCCACTGCGGAAATGCATTTGTGCGTCCATGCATCGCGGACACTCGTCGTGGACACTCGTCTGTAATTTATTTCCTCTTTGTTATGTTTCCTGAAGCGGCGGGGGGACGTCGGGGATAAGAATTTTTGTGCAGCATTGTGATATTTGTATATCTCATCTCCCTCTTCTAATGTACATTTCTTTCCACACACAAAAAAAAAAAGAAATTTGACTTTTTGGCATTTGTATAGAGAGGAGAGTTTGTACGCAAAGGACCCGTGACGCCGTCTGTTGGTTTTGAGACAAGGACAGTGCGCGACATTAGAGTTTTGGAGCCTCAAACTGTTATATTTTAGATTGCAATTTTACAGACATTTTTTACTTTATTTTTTTTTTAATAAGGAATTAATGCAAAGTACCATAACTTTTTTTAACGAATTCCAACGCCGCCACTGCTGCTTACTTTTGCCACGTCGACTTATTTTTTAAGGTTCACCTTCACCAAAAGGCAGCTCTTGGTAAGATATTTTTTTTAAGTTGCGCATCGTCATCGTGGTTCATTCCGACCTTCCTTTTTTTTTTTTCGCAAATCAATTGTTTTAGTGGTACTTCATTGTTTTTCCTGCTAGAATACATATGTATAGGTGTATACTTAATTTGCACCCCAAAATATTGGAGGGTAGCTCCTTGTTTTATCGGAGGTCGGGGAACAATCGCGTGGCTTTGCTCGGCCGCTTCTTAGTCGGTCGCACGAAGTCTGGTTTTGCGTTGGGGGAAGGTTTTTCCGTTTTTGGTGCCAACCTGTCGCGAGAGACACCTGGTGGAGAGTCGTACTGTACAGGTTTTGTCTGCTGCTTCGATATTGAGGCACCGTGGTTGATATATATATATATAAATATATATATGCTCCTGCCTCTGTTGCCAGCTTAAAATTGGACGGTCACAGCGGAGATTCTTTCTATTTACTTTGTTTTACGGGGGACGAGTCACCACATCTTGTATAAACGGCGGAGACAGTTTGGAAGGGTGACCGTACATAGCTGTACCTAGTATTGTAGAGAAAAAAAAAAAAAGTTTGATATGTTGCTTTCAGAAAGCCTCCCCCCCCTCCCCTTTCACACTCAAGGTTTCCCCACACACGGATGCTATTTCGCAACCCCCTCCTTTCCCAAGGAAAAACTCAAAAACGCTAGAGTCTTGCGAGCGCGTGTGTGAATGTACTGCACATGAGTGTGTGGAGAGGAAGAATTGTGTTTGTGAGTGGTGTAAAAAATAAAAGTGAAACATAGGAAAAGAAAAAAAAGCAATTGCACAAGCAACAGTGGTGTGTATCTTTTTTTTTTTGCAATAAGTTCCAAAGAGTTGCACTACGGATATGGCGATGTCTGTAGCGGCAAGGACGACCACCAAGTCCTGGTCTAGGACCTGCAACACCAGACGTTGTGCGCGTAGGACATGAAGCGTTGGTACATCCCCTTTAGATTCCACTTGGACATGTAAAATTCGTCGGAGCTGATGTTGTCATCCACACCTTCGTCCCCTTGACCTCTGATCTGAAGGCAGGGACGACCGCTGGCAGCCGTCTTCGGTCTTCTTGGGGACTCCAGGCCAAACAGATCAACACCATCGTCCTCCAAAGACTCTTCACAAAGCGGTCCGCTCCCCAAGGAGTCTTCACTTGACCGAAGAAACCTGCTTGGTCCTTTGCTCGCCTGCTTGGCCTTCTTACCCCGCTTGCGGCCGCAAATGGCTTGAAGTTGTCGTCGCACAGCTTTCTTGAGCCAAGTCCAGGGCGGGAAACCGTTTAGTTTCAGACGAGTTTTTTTGTCCGTCTGCTGCCTCCCCGGTTCGGCCCCGCTAAAGCCATGCTTGCTGGCAGACAGGGACAGCAACTGGGAGATGGAGGTTGTCGACGTATCGGTGCCCGTCGTCTGGAACCGTGCCGTCTCTAGGATGGGGCTGCACTCGCAATTTGAGGAACAGGGACTGCTGCCAGAAGGAGTAGCCACGCTGGTGCTCCCGCTTTCCAGACTGCTGTCGTTGTCGAACTGGTGGTAACCGTCTTCAATGATGTGGTCCGGGTATCTCTCCCCGAGTAGGTGATCTGCATGCGGAGCGTGGCCGCTGACCATAGACAGTACACTGGGGGTGTTGATGAAATTCACACGCTGGTCCGAGACGTCCAGAATGGTAGCCGTCTGCTCGTAGAATTGAGCTTTGCTTTCCATGTAATTTGCATCGAAAGATGAGGTGCCATGCTCTCCGCTCTCTGGGGAGAGCTCAGTGTCTTCGTTGAGGTTGATGCTCACGGAAGAGGCGGTCCTGGATGACTTGGCAGGTGTGTATAACCCTGTGGTGTGTGACGTGCTTGGTTTGACTGTGTTTATCATAATGGGTTCACTACTGAGGAAAACTTCCAGACACGAGCAGAACACGTCGGCCACATCGTCACGATGGGAAGTGTGAAGAAGGGACACGTCGTCTGGCCCTTCCACGACGAGGCTGTCTATCGAAAACTGAGAGCCTGCTGGCGTCATGTACTCGCTGATTGTAGAATCGCTGTCAAAACGTTCTAAATTTTCAATGCAAAAGTTGTTTTCGAAGCCTTGCTCGGTGGCATGAAGGGATTCCACTGTGAATGGGGTGAGGTCATTGGAGAATCCAATTCGTTCTTCTGTAACCCAACACTGTTGGTCTACTTCGAAAAGTTTATCTGATGCGCAGTCACCATATTCTTTGACAGTGCATGAAGTCGCCGCAGGCTGACAAGTCTGGCATTTACTTACCTCGTGGTCTGCGACCATAATGCAGTTGTTGGTAGCCGTTGAACTGTAAAACAGAAAAGAATCAGTGAAGCATTTATGTTGTCAGTTATGTAGTTTTACTTACAACGCATCCACGTAAGGAGCTCCAGACTTCCAGCTATCTCCCATCTCGCCGGGACAGTGGAGGTCTTGGCCTTCCTTCAGGTAAAGGTCCCAACTCATCAAGATGGCGACGCTAAGGTTACATGGGTTTTAGTGTCACTAGTGGGTATGTTAAGACTAAAAATGACTTGGCAGAAATCTCGTGTATAACTGAGTTACGTGAGATTAATCTATTACGATGGTACTTACAGTAGATCTCGGTAAATACCTCGTGGTGGAACATTGACCTCTTCGGCCTCCTCGCTAAATGTTTTTCTCTTTCTCTTCGAATTCAGTGCTCAGGTTAGCTAGATTGACAGAATATCTCTGTGCTTTTCTTTTTTACCCTACAGAAACTACGGTGGCAGTTATCCATGTGATTCCTTGTAGATATTAATGTTTTCATTTGACTTTGAAAGCAATGAAACCGAAACCTAGTATTTGTCTGTATTCGTAAGCTGCAATACCATCGACATCTAAAAAAAAAACATGTCGGATTATGCATGGCGGTATGGTCGACAATTTATCGTAGGTTTGTGACAAGATCTACGGCGTGGTGATGCTCATATCGTCCAGAATTTAAGGCACTGAAGCCACTCTTCGGCAAGATCTTCGCTAAATAAGTTCTTGATCACATCGTGCGTACTACCGCAATATTCTGACCCCATCGTGTCTTCTGTGTAGATTAGGGCCGTCGACCACATCTTCCTGTCCTCTTCAGGTAACTTTCGACGGTATCGTGGATGTCGGGCGCCTTGAACGCTCAAGAAACGCCGAAAGTTGCTCCACCGAAATTATGACAAAATCGTCCAGACGCCGTGGCGAGTCGAAAACGGGGGAAACGCAGCAGAGCGCAACCGTTGTTGTCGACACAGCTTCTATTCAGCTCTCTGAAGATGACCATGTTCCAAAGACGAACAAGGCCCCTAGGAAGCTACAGAAATCCAACGATGGTACCACATCTGATGACGATGGTCGCGCAACACGTAAACTTAAAAAAGAAAAGTTCGCAAACTCTGAGCGCGTAGAGATAAAAGACAAGAATGCAAAAAAAGAGAAACTGAAAACTGAAGTTTTTAATGAAGTCTCTGTAGATCTGCACCGAGGTGAAACTGACAACTCTGAAAATGCTAAAGAAACTGACAAGGGAGCAAGGAGAAGAAAGCAGAAGGCGGAAGTTGGGAACTCTGAAGATCTACGAGTTGATAACATCAGCTCTAAACACGGAGAAGACACAACCCCTGATGGGAAATCAAAAAAGAAAAAGCGGAAGAAGACCGGACTTGAGAGTGGAAGTGCATCCGATCAGTTGGTGCCCAAGAAAAAGACTAAGCATGTAGGGATAGAAGACAGGAATGCAGAAAGAAAGAAATTGAAGGCTGAAGTTCTTAATGAAGATCTGCATCGAGGTGATGCTGAAAACCCTGAAAGTGCTGAAGAACCTGACAAAAGAGCGAAAAGAAGAAAGCGGAAGGCAGAGGTTGACAACCCTGAATATCTACAAGTTGAGAACGACGGCTCTGAATGCGTAGAAGATGCGACCCCTGACGGGAAAACCAAAATAAAAAAGCGGAAGAAGGCCAGACTTGAGAATGATGGTGCATCTAATCAGTCGTCGCCCAAGAAGAAGCCTTTGCAAGCGGGACCCTCTGACCAGGGCGAAGGCAAACTCGCCAAAGTAAAAAAAGCGAAGAAGAAAAAGAAAAACAGAAAAGCACCTCCTGAAGCCACCAGGAACACGAAGGACCAGTGCTTGCAATATCTAAAAGACTGGCAAAGTCCGTCGTGGAAGTTCTGCAAGAATAAGCAGCTTTGGCTTTTGTCTCATGCCTTTGAGGAGGACATGGTAAGATACAACTGTTTCCACATCTGTTTTTATGCAAAATATATTATGATGGCCTTGTGCTGTTAATGATTTCATGACCTGCTACACCCGGAAATTTTGTCGATGGATGTATACTCATCGACCTGGAATTAGTGTCTGCGTTTGGCTATGGGCAGTACTTTTTTGTGATACATTCCCCAGGGTATTGGATCTCGCACATTAAGCTTTCACATTTTTTAAAGCACACTGAGCATAGAGTTCCCCAGTGTACTTAGTGTAAACACTGGGCATAGAGATGTTTGAATTAGCATTTTTTTATGTATCACCATGCACCTTAGCTAAACACTTGGCAGAGGCAATCCAGTCCAATGTCCCGTGCCAGCGGAGGCAATTCCCAGAGTTTAACAGGCTCTGAGAATTGTCTTTAAGAATGCCATTGGTTGTCGCCTTGGTCCCGTGATAACTTGTGCCAGCCAATGGAAGTGTGATACTGCCCGCAAGGGAGCTCGTCCACGGCGGTGACACCACTGCAATGGTCATCTAAATTTGAGATGTATGAAGTCGTTGAAATCTGCTAAATTTGACAGGCTCCCTTGGTCAGCAACCAATTTAGCTGACAGTGATTGTGCAACGCTGACGACACCACTTTTATGTTGGTCGCTGTTTGTGTTGCTGTTTCATATTCTCTTTCTGTATGGCCAGCCCTATAACATATTCCTTATAGAAAGCACCAAGAAGTCTTAGCTAGTGTAGCAAAAGCCTTACACATCTAAAATGATTTAGCGTTCCTATTCGATGTGCAAACTCAAGGCCCTGTGGACACAAGGATGCTGAGGTGGGATTTCGCACAGGGATCCCATCCCTGGTATATTGTATTCGCACACATCAAACATATGATCCAAAACTTTGAAGTAGCTTTGCCTGGATCATCTGGCTTCATTGCAGCTATGAGTGGACATCTGCAGTTTGCATAGTGCGAACTAGTAGAACCATCAAAAAGTTTTGAATAGGAGAGCCCATTCTAAATTCCGTGCGGCAACTGTGCAACAGCAACATTGCAAAGTAATGAGAAATCTTTAGCTCCACATTGTACATTTATTTCCCAGATTCCCGAAGACGACTTTGAGATTCTACTCAGGTACATAGAAGGTCTCAAGGGAGGAGCCAGGGAACGGCTCCAACAGTCTGCTAACAAGTTTCTGGAAAAAGCGAATGAGGACGGTGATGAAGGTAAGCTTCCCTGCATCTCATTTACAAAATTTATATATAGGGTGTATATCTAAAATGGGCCGTAGAAATCGGTCCCTGCACGTAGCAATCTAAACTTTTCGTCAAAGGTATATTTCGCAAATGGGTTTTACCTTCTGAAATTGCAAGATGTATCTCCATTTCTGTAAAAAATAGGGCCAAAAAACTTGCCAGGGTCATAGGCAGATGGCGACGCAGACGTCTGAGTCGAGTGGCAGGCCGCGTTTGGCGCTTATATTGATAGATGGCGCTACCTCCTTGTTCTGGCAAGAGTTCCTGTGTAGGCTACCTACGGAAGCTAGAGTTGCGCATCTGTTTTTCACTTGCCGCCACGCCGCTATTCAATGAGATCCAATCACGTGAGGAGCAGACTCAAATGCCGTGCAGGAAAGTAGATGTTGCGCGTGCCCCGGTGTACGTTTCTCTGCATTTGAGCACGCTGTGCGCCTCAAATGCGCGACGCCGCTATTCGCCGAATTCAGTCACGTGAGGAGCAAGCTCCGAATGCCATGCAGGAAAGCCGGCACTACGGGGATGCACGCACAACTCTGGCTCCCGTAGGGAGCTTTTACAGGAACTCTAGTTTCGGCTTGCTTTTAAAAAATATTGGGACTGCTCGCGACGACCATGGTCTTGAAATGAACATAATCTTTTTGTAATTTACCTTTCGTTTAAAAACAAAACTTTGATAAAATAAAACACAGTTTCATAATGACAACACTATTGCTGCCGACGGATTTCGTCTGCATGTCGCCTGCTTTCTTTCTCTGGTTGGCTATACCTTCCGATGCTGCTCCTGATGCCATCTATCAGTATGTGCGTCAAATGGGCCACGCCACTCGACTCTGTCGTCTACGTCGCTGTTGCCCCTGGCAAGTTTTTTGGCCCTATTGTTTACCGAAAGAAAGTGAGCTACGCCTTCTAATTTTACAGTGAAATCTCGTTAAAGGGGCCCTGCAGCAACTTTTTTACTGTTTTTTTTTTTTAATTTGCGCCAAACCTGAACGCACTGAATGTAGTAACTTAGTGATTTTTTTCTTTTCTCGAAATTCGCTTTATTTTAAAAGTTGTAGGGATATTAAAATTACATAAAAATAAAAAAATAACCTACTTCATTACGTCCTTAATCCTCCGTCCCCCCCCCCCCCCTTTTCCCACGCTTGCAGACCGCGGTGGCTGAGGAATGTGGGGGGGGGGGGGGGGGGGGGGAGGGGAGGGGAGGGGAGGGGAGGGGAGGGGAGGGGAAGACGGGGGGAAAGGAGGTGAGGCCGAGGACCGACAACGTCATGATTTTGTCACATGCTGCGCGTGTTCGACACCACATGGCGTCACCGTAGGAGGAGGGGAAGGTTTCCGCGTCGTCCATTTAAAATATGACGCACTGATATTTAGTTACTCTCTCCGCGCCCGCTGGGTTTGCCCGAACCACAAGAGACGTGGAAACCGCAAAAAAGGTAGACGCTTAAATGGGATTGCAGGGTCCCTTTAATTCAAACTCGCAGATAATTCAAACTAACACGCAGGTCCCGTCCTATCTGTTTCTAGGAAGGAAACTCCCGGTTATTTAAAGTTCACATTATTCAAACAAATTTTTGGGCCCTCTCGGGTTCAAAATAACGAGATTCCACTGTACAGGGTAAAACTGACCTGTGAAATAGACCTTTGATGAAAAGTTTAGATTGCTACATGCAGGCACCAAATTTACGGCTCATTTTAGATAAAGCCTTGACGTTTCAGGCACCCTATAATTTATCCCCGTTATAGTGAATGGAAGTGATTAGTGCTGGTGATGTATTGTATTTCTTAAATCTTTTCAGATGAGGATATTGATGCCAACAAATACGAGAGAGCTCGACTCGTTCTGCAGATGTTGGATTAAAGGATTCCTTTGGCAGAACTTTATTCAACACTTCAACACACCTTGACAAACACATGCCAGTCAACAGTCCTGCATGCTGTTACAAATATTGCACACCTTGTCTTGTCAAAGGAGGAGAGCTTGAACAGTTGCTGATGTGGAAGATTGTTTCCTCTATGAATGAAGCAGGGATTGGTAGCCCAGATGGAGGGCAAGCTTATGGGTCTTCAACCCCAGCACCCCCCCCCCCCCCCCCTGAAAATATTTCCTGGCTATGACTGGAATGTAGCCATGCTACCGCGGACTGTGTCGAATTGTGCCATGCATCAATAAAATCAGTTTTACTCCACTCAATTCAACTCTACCGTAGAATACCGCGCATCTGCCCATACGCAAATTTGTAAGATGTGAGAAAATATGCACAATATACTGATATGTAAAAGTGATGACCAAACAAGTGCCCATCCCCCATTTTTTGTGATCATCTCTAAATTTTGAGTGGGCACTTGCCTGGGTATTTTACAGTATGTGTTTTCAAGAATGTTGCTGTTTATGACTAAGTTCACTGCTGCAAGTGAAATAGGAACTGACTGCTGTCCAAGTTGGCACGCTGCCATGCTCTGCAGAGGAGCCTACTAAAGTCGCAGAAGTTCCCTATCAATCGCCCAACAGTCATACTAAGTTTTGCAGCTGTGGTTTATACAATCTGGTGCATCAAGGCCTCCTAGCCATGGCATTATGAAGGCATATCTCTGAACATATCCTGAAGGATTTGATCATTAAAACCTCAGTCTTGGGTGTGGCAAAAGCATTCATCATGGTCTACTCCAGTTATTACCAAGTAATTGTGGGCTATGTGAAACCTTTTTTTTGTTGTTGCTTTATTGTGTTTTGGGACACGTGATATGGCAGCTGCGACAGCAAGTGACCTCACTTCTGTTTCTTTGTCTCTCTATTATGGGTGACATGAAGGTCTTAGATTAGACTTGTGTTCTAGTTTCTAGTCACCAATGCACTCTTTGTGTGGATACCAAGTTTTGGTGGTTTCGTGAGAAATTGTAATGCGGTGTGCTGAGGCCTTATCTATGCCATGAGGCATTATCGTTTTATGACTTTCGAACGCCACAGGCATGTGGGCCGTCTCGGACCAGCTGAGTGCACGCGCTGGCGCTTAATTCTTGTGCACGGGTAGCTCGTGCGCGAGTCCGTAGACAGCCTCGCAGACTCTTCACAAGGCTGCCGGGTACCACATTTTCCAGCGAACGCTGGAAAGACAGCCCACGTCGTCTCTTGACATACGAGCGGCTTTTCGGCTGGCTTAAACAGCAGCGTAAGTAACAGGATCACTGGGGCTTACAAGAACCCATTTTCTACGCGTTCGATAGAGAACAAAATACGGTTGATTTTGTGGTGCAGCCTCGCGCCTTTCTGCATGCAGTTTCACGGTTCAAAAATGTTCGTCGTTTTTACCACCTCTGAGGAGCTCTGACATTATCACGCAAGTTGTCCGATAGAGAGCTCAAGGCACGGCCGATGTCTACATAATTTCATTCCGCGTCACAGTGCTCGTGGCAAAGCAAGAGCCGAGGAATGTCATGCTGGCGTGAGAAGATTCTCCAGAACCTTCAAAGCTTGCATTTGCTAAGGAGTGCTCACTTTCTCAACATATTCGCGAAGGCTGTGAGTAGTTCGACCCAAGAAACCACGACCTTGTTTGAAGAGTTGTTGGGCAGTCTCCGATGTCTGGGGTCGGGTGTCAGCGTTGGAATGGTGCTCATGGACTATCGGGTTCAGATGACAGCAACCAAGGCCCTCGTCAGTGAAGTTTTTTCTACACTTGCTACGGTAAGCGCTGTTTATTTCGCACCAATAGTTTTAATAGAGGGAAGACAGTCTTCTTTTTCAAAAGCCTGTTACGAAAGCGTAACCAGAACTTCCCACGTTATACCGATGTCACTTGCAATGTTCAAAGTTCGCATAACTTTTTTTTTTTTTTTTTTTAATTTGTTTATTGAACTAATGGATGGATGGATGGATAAATACGGCTGAGCCCTTTGGATCGGGCGGTAGCTTACGCCACCTAGCCATTTTGTTTTACCATTTAAAGGGGCCCTGCAATGACTTTTTTACTAATTTTTAATTTGCACCGAACCTGAGCGCACTGAACGTAGTAACTTAGTGAAACTTTTCTTTTCTCGAAATTCCCTTTATTTTAAAAGTTATAGGCAAATTAGAATTACAAAAACAAGCAAAAAATAACCTCCTTCGTGACGTCCTTGGTTGCTTGAGAGTGGCCGTGAACTCCGTGAACTAGAGGAGAAATAGTGAGCTCATCGAGCGCTCAAGGCTGCCGCATTCCGAGTCGACGGCGCGAGAGGGCGCCATTGAAGCGTGTTCTGGATAGGCTCTATGCAGCGGGCAGCCAGAGCGGCTCTCATTGCATTTGCTGCGCGATTAAATACTAATTCCGCATGACACTTCATTGGCCACAAACGGCAGCAAACACGGGGTAAAGATCAGTTCAGAATGGGAGCTGCTTTGTGCTACCATACCGCGAAACGGCCAAACCGCAAGGCAAAGCTTCTCGCCGAAGGCCTTCGGAACGTTCGGAACGCTCCGAGCCGGTCGGATGCTCCTGCCCAAACGACCGCAGCGCCGCCGCGTACATCCGGGACCTTTCCGTGTCGGCGCCTGATCCGCCTGATCCCACTACTCCTTTCTAGTATGCGCCGCCTTTTCCACCGCTTGGTGGCGGGTATGTTGACGGGTCATTTCTTGTTTCCGTACTTTATGAACTGCATTCGTTTCTTTTTTTATCCAAAATACTGAACAAAAACTACTTTTATAAATAATTAAAACGGTTCGCGCCACTTATATTTTGTATCTCGACTAAAAAGAAGCTTTTAGCGGGTCTGGCCAGTAGTAAGCCCAGGACCAAAGACGTCACATTTTGCGCGCTTTCGGTACCGTGGGTCGCCCTCGTCAGTGGAGGAGGTTTCCGCGTCGCCCGGTTAAAATATGACGCACTGATATTTAGTTACTCTCCCCGTGCCCGCTGGTTTGCCCGAGCTCCAAGAGACGTGGAAACCGCAAAAAAGGTGGACGCTTAAATATGATTGCAGGGCCCCTTTAAGCTTAGAATATTTAAATGTGAAATCTATATTCACTCCGCAGTGCTAAGTCCTTCCGAAAGTCCGCCCTCTTTTGGAAGCTCTGGAATCTAAGGACGTTTAAAAAAAAACACTACCCCCCCCTCAAAAAAAAAAAAAAAAAAAAAATTTTTGGAGTAGTTTTTATGCGCCCACTAAATTTAGCGGGAAAAGTGTCGTCATATGACTCAGTGTTACATCACCTATGAGCAAATTTAGTTCCTCCTAGATTTAGCGGGAAAATTTATTTCCCAATAAATTTACGGGGAAAACTGATGTCACATGACCTTAACACCAATTCAGTTTCCCCAGCTAAATTTAGAGGGAAAAATGACGTCACATGACTGATATCACGTCACCTATGAACAAATTCAGTTTCTCCGCTAGATTTAGCGAGAAAATCAACGTCACATGATCTTAACAGCAATTCAATTCCCCACTAAATTTAGCAGGAAATTGAATTGCTGCTGAGGTCACAGGGCATCAATTTTTCAGCTAAGTGGAAGACGCGGAGGAGGTGGAAAGGAGGAGGAGCATACCCTCCCCTCACCTCCTCAAGAGCTGCAATCTAATTTTTTTGCATTAGAGATTTGCAAACGATTTTAATTTTTAAAGCGCAGCTCTTAGGTGCCCGTTTCCGGCTTGAGCGGCGTCGCCGTCGGCGTAACCGCGCGGTGCATGATGGGTAAATTTTTCCGCTAAATTTAGCGGAAAAATTTTCTCGCTAAATTAAGCGGAAAATTTTTCCCTCTAAATTAAGCAGAAAAATTTCCCTGCTAAATTTAGCGGGGAAAATTTTTCCCCTAAGTGGAAGGCGAGCAAGAGAGGAGGGGCATAGCCTCCTCTCTGTACCTTGCCCTCCTCCTCCTCAAGAGCTGCTCTCTAATTCGGCGTTACAGGGAGTTGTAAACGGCTTTCATTCCTTTTTTGTTTTGTTTTACCTTTTGATATGCAATCCATTATGGTGTCAGAACACTACCCAATCAACGTTTTGCTATGGCATCATGTATAGGGTCCTTGCACTGACGTCACATCGCATACTTTTGAACACCAAGTAAAAGGAGGAGAAAGAAGCTGCTTTTGTAAGAATTTTGACTGACAGGTTAATCTTCTATAATCTTCTGGGGGGGAGAATAGCGAGGCCTGTACAAATCCGGGAGGCACAAAGGAGGATCCTGATAAGAGGAGAGCTCCTTCTTCTTTTCTCTGGAGGGCATCGGAAATGACGTCATGTGCAAGGAGCCTATTTTTTTAATAAAGTAAAAATCTGCAACAGTTCAAAACAGAAACTGGACTGGCAGGAAGCAGAAATATAAAGAGGTGTCGGCAAAAATCACGTGGCTGTGCCATATTTTTCTTTTTTTTGATAAAAGGTGTTTTTGGTTTTTCGAGGGCAGCTAGCTCTTAGGCATCCGTTCCCAGGTTCCACGGCGTCGGCATAACCGGCCCGCTAAATTTAGCGGGAAAATTAGCGTCGCATGACCTCAACACCATATCAATTCCCCGCTAAATTTAGCAGGGAAATTCAGTTTCTGTGCTAGATTTAGCAGACAAACTCAGTTTCTTCGCTAGATTTAGCAGGAAAATTAACGTCACGTGATGTCAACACCAACTGAATTTCCTGCGAAATTTAGCAGGGAAGTTCAGTTTTTCAGGTAGATTTAGCGGGAAATTTGATGTCACGCAACCTCCACACAAATTCAATTCCCCGCTACATTTAGCGGGGAATTGAATTTGTTCATAGGTGACGTGACACAATCACGTGATGTCATTTTCCCCGCTAAATTTAGCGGGGAAACTGAATTGGGGATGAAGAAGGAGGAGGGGAATACACTCCCTCCTCCTCCTCAAGAGCTGTGCTCTAATCCTGCATTACAAATTTATAAATGTCTCACTTTTTTAGAAGCCACAAAAAAATAGGTACGATAATTTATTTTCATATTTGATAGATGACCCACGACTTTTGACAATTTCAGGCCAATGCGCTGGTTGAGCTTGAGGGGGCCTTTATGCTCCACAGCGAGCTGCAGACTCGGCAGGTGTTATTGGGCCGGCTGTACAACCTGTATGTCGACAACATAACTGCAGTCCTGTGTGCCTGCCTCAAGCTGTGCAAGCAGCACTTGGAGTTCCTCGGCATGTTGCAGCAAGCCGCAAACTTCAAGGGCGGTGAGAGCGGTGCAGCCTCCGCGCCTACCCAGTGCGTGCATCTGAAAATTTCACTGTCCTGGAAATCGGACTACGAGAGGCTCTTCGACTCTGTCGTGGAACTGGTGGCGGATTTTGAGGAACAAGTCCAGCTACAGATATCTGGCTAAGAAACTCCCATGCCAACAAAATAGAGACAAAAGAAAGAAAAAAAAAGTGAAGAGCCTTTTTTCGCGAAGCTCGTTCAATAAACCTTGTTACACATCATATGATCAGTTGAATAGTGACCTTTCTCTAAAATTGGAAGACCATGAAATTTGAAGGGGGTGGAAAGTCTGGTAGGGTAGCGCATTGAAGTACAGTCTTCACCATTATGAAAGACCCATTCGTCGAGGCAGTTTATATGGCAGTACTAAGCACACTTTGGCAAGAGGCATCCGATTTTTTGAGAAAGCAGTGAACAAAGGTTGGTTTATTTTCTCACCCCAAGAGATGTGAACCCGGCCAAGCGAATCCAACACCGCCTCGTGGAATGGGTCTTTCATCCCGGTAGAGACTACAAATATGTGCCACCACGAGCATTGCAGTTGCAAAATCTGCCCCCTGATGTTTCTTCAACGAGATTCCCGGTTGCACTCTGAAAAGCATATGTGTCGATTGGCCACCAAACGTGTGCAACAACCTCAAGAATTGTTCTGGTGCGTGACGACAGTCTTGACTCCATTGTTGGAGAATTAGGTAACTAGCAATATGTCGGGTTGCTGTTTATCAAAGTCTGCCAGAAAAGACGTGCAAAAATAACTGAACCGTAACGAGCTATAATGTTTTATTTCATTTCAAATACCTAGACAGAGACAAAAAAAGCACAGCCGCAATAGTATTGTATGTACACTGTACAATGCATCGTGAAACTTTTCACTCTGTTGATGTATGGCTTACAACTGAATTATGATTGATTACTTATGCAATTCACACGATTCTCTTTTTTACACATGCTAGTCACAGGAAACATGCAAGTGGACAGAACAGGTCAACGCGCAATTTTTACAAAATCACAATTTAAGGCCCTGAATTGAGGCAGGTACAAGAGTTTTGGGTCTGTCAGTTATGGTTTTGTTGTGCTGCGTTCTCGGATTATTCCCATTTATTTCCGTCCGCCGTACGCCGAGCAACACTTTTAAAATATCTCTTAAAATATGGAGATTTCATGTTTGTTTTCTCGTCTTTTACGAGCGCATCACAGGGGAAATGACGAAACCACGTCTAACTGTACAACTCTTCTCAAAAGTGCACTCTCTTCAAAAAAAAAAAAAAAAATGAAGAGAGCCGAACTAAAGAAGCAAACAAGAGGAGGAGACATTTCCGAACGTACACGTTGGTTCGGGTCGTTTTCTAAGATGAGCACTATTACGCCGAGAAAAGTGGCGATGTTTCCTTCGACGGTGGCAGTCTGATCTTCCGTTCCCAGAGCGATCTTCGGGATTGATGGTCCGTTAGAAGGCGAGAGTATCCTTGAGGAGCTTCCGGACGGTGGTTCCGACCGACGGATTTGACGGTCCCGACGTCTGGTAGCCAACCTGCACGTCGAGGAAAACGCGAAAACATTGTCCAGGGAAAGCCGAAAGAAGTACAAACTAACGCTGGTCACATAGAGGGTGAAAACGGTAGGAAGGAGTTGCTGGTAGTCCCGCCCCGGTGCGAGCTACCCACCTTCGATGATGCCCCGGTGCCTCGAGCGCGCACGCATAGACGAAGCACCATGGAAAGCAACGGGCGCGTTCGGGAGGCCGGGCGTTCGAAAGAGCACCTTGCTGTTCTCGCCCTACAGGCGTGAACAGCAAGGTGCTCTTTTTTTCCCCGACATCTCAATCGTGCCCCCCCCCCCCCCCCCCCCCCCCCCCCGGCGATCCCCGTGTTGGGGTTAACGCCGACGAGGTTTAGACAAAGGAAAATGGGCGACACCCGTGCCGGGGATTTGATGCTTCTCCATCAAATGCTCGGAGCTGCAGTGGCGACACTTGGTTCGAAAGGATTGGCAGTGAACGCCTAGTACTAAAGAACTGGCAGCAAACTCTTTACGCTAAAGAATTAATGGTGCTTCCGCTCCCGGAGCCGCGGAAGCACCATTAGGATTAAAGAAAAAAAAAAAAATGGGCCTAAAGCTTTTTTTGTTTTGTTTTTTAATTCGAGATTATTGGTTTTGGAAATCAACTATGCATCCTTACACTAAATTTGATAACCGCATGCCAAATAGTTACATTGATATAAAATATTTTCAACACACAATGAGGCAGTAACAAAGTACAGGAGTTCAATGTTTGAATGCATTTTGCTCTGTTCTACTGTTTGCTGCAAACTTCATACGAAGGAATCTTGTTTGAAGGTAAAAGTATTCCGATAACAGAATCAAGATGTTTCAGAACTGAAATTTACTGGGCAGTTGGGCTATCTACTTTATTTTGTTTTAAGTTGAAGTTGAAAACCTGGTTCAGACAGTTGCATTTGACTGCGTTGCGGCTGCGAGAAACCATGACATCCCTGCTGCTTATGTCGCGTGCCAAGATGATTCCTTGAATTGGATTCCACGATTCACACCGAGCACAGATGTGCCAGTGACTCGCTTTCGGTTCTTGACGCAACGCACTGAACCGGCCTTAAGTTTCAAAAATTGACATAGGACAGATATGCATCTCATATTTTGAGGACTCTTCCTGAAATAATTACATCCGAGTTAAAAAAAACTAGATAGCCCAAAGTCCCACATCTCCCATTTTATATTCTAGCAGTCAGAATGGTGTTTAAAAGCTTCATTTGCATATCATAGATTTTTTAATGAAGAGTGACACATCTTCTATGTGAGGTTGTCCTAGAGAGCTGAAAGTTTGCACAGTACACCTACATCCAACGTTAAATCTACCCTAAAAATTTCATTCCGATCACTTGAGTAGTTTAGAAGTTTAATCTCTAGCCAGTGTCCCCCCTTAAGTCCAAAATGTGCTTTTACGAAAAAAACTCGGGCAGCTTCGAAATGCCTCCGCTAGATACCGCCAGCCGCTGTGCTGCATTTTGGGTTTTTTATCGCAGCTAGACACTGATCTCTGGGGCTAACAGTATTGAAAAAATAGTTTATCATGTTTTTTTTAGAGCGATCGAAATACAAATCCCTGCTCAGTTTTGCGTAAAAGCCTCAGGATTCGGTACAATCATGTGTCTAGTGGTCAAAATTGCACAACCGCAGGGTATCCTCTGCCTGGTGAACGGGATACCAGTTTATCGCTCTAAGCCCCTCTACCTTGTTGGCGCCTTTAATACTACTGGATTAGCAGTGAAGACTTAGAACTAAGGAATCAGCAGCAAATGCCTAGAACTAAAAAAATCAGCAGGAAATACTTAGTACTAAAAAATCAGCAGGAAATACTTAGTACTAAAAAATCAGCAGGAAATACTTAGTACTAAAAAATCAGCAGTGAATGCTTAGCGCTAAAGGACTAGCAGTGGACACCTGGCAATAAAGGACTAGCAGTGAACACTTAGTACTAAACTGATTAGAAGTGAACTCTTAGCAACAAAGGATAAGCACGGCACACCTAAAGTCACTGGATCCTGGGAAAGTAGCGCCATTGCCTTCCCTACCTGCTAGCCGGACACAAACGGCTACTAACCTACAGACGACCCAAACCTAGCAATGCGATTGGCTAATGTTGCCATAGAAATCGCCATCTTGGTCCATTTAAATCTTCGAAGCTTCCAGAGGGTCGTTCTAAACCAGTCGCGCCAAGATTACCATAGAGCATCATCGTACTGGAGGCGTTCCCTGGCCAATATAAGGGTCTTTGGCACTCTGTATGCAATCAACTTATTATTCATGCCCATCTCTATGGATCTCTTACAATTGTATTGTCCTCTTGCGTATTTCAATACAGTAAACTTATTTTTCAGTGCCTCCAAGCACCGGTACAGCATCTGGTGGTGGTACGAAGGTGTACGCTTGTTTCGCTGGTGTGTGGTTAGCAATACCTCGGTATACAAAAAACCACTTCATAAAGCTACCCGTCACCAGCGAATCTAGATCGGCTCACCAAGAACGGAGGGGTCAAGGAGAAATTGCTCATTTCACGGACCAAGATGGCGACCACACGGGGAGCTTGGCGTTACTTTCCCATGATCCAGTGACTTTAGGCACACCGAGAGACGGATCTCAGCGGGCCGCCTAAAGTTTCTTCGACCTGTACGGCAAGCGCTAGAGACGAGAAGCAAATGCCGGGAGCTACCTTGAAGTTGTACGGCTGGACGTCCTCGTAGCTTGTGTCGAAGACCAGGTCCAGGTCTGGCTGGCTGGGCATCTTGGGGACGTACTCGTGCCGGTTGATGGACGCAGCCACCGCCATCACCTTCTCGGCCAGCATGTCGCCCAGGCTTTCACGGTACTTCTGGCGCTCTGCACGGGCAACGTGGCCGGGCATCAGAGGGAACAATATTGCGGCAGCACTAGAAGTAGACGACATGCTGTCAAAATCTGGACCCCGTTAGAAATGGTACTTGAGGATTGCCAGTGCAAGTTACCATCAAGTTTCGCTTACAACTTGCTTGGCCACTCAATGCCTCCTGTTGGTGCGGCCTGCCGATGTTTTCCCGAAAACAAAAGAGCGCGCGTGAGAGGAGAACTTCTCCCATTTTCCGTAGAGGTGCTGCACATCGGTGAGCGGTCTTGTGAGCTGAAAGCTATACTCTGTTTCACCTTATGTTGTACCGCAGGAAAGGCTACAAGCGCGAGCTCCTTGCTCTGGGGCAGATCTCGGCGGCACAAGCTCTCGTGCAGTAAGGGCAGCTGTCAACGCTATGAGCTCGCGCTTCTAGCCTTCGCTGCGGTACACCATAAGGTGAAACGGAGTATAGAGATGGCGCCCAACGCACTCTTGCTCCGCTACCCAGGTAAAATATCTGCCTGTCATTGTCTTCGCCGATACCGAGGCGCTGCCGCGGTTGCAGAAGGCAGCAAAACTCGCACCCCCCCCCCCCCCCCCCTATGCACCGCTGTGCACGGCGAAAATATCGTAGTGTCACTCTGTGCTCGCGTATGTGGTTTGTGTTGGCATTTTGGAAGCTGCCGGAATGTAAATGCGCGTTCGAGTTTTGAGTGCCAGACAGCGATGAAATGTGCCAACTCCACTCGTGAAACAGGAATCCTGCAGTTGATGAAGTACAATGAAGTCTCTTCCGAACTTGAGTTCACACCGCTGAGTTACATGGCTGGCTACTTGGCCCTCGATTGCGAACAAAAGGTGACGATTTTTATTTGTAGACATTGTCGTAATTTCGAAGTAATTAGCTGAAACATTTAACTTAGCAAAGCAATAAGAATTTCTCAGTGAAAGCAAGGAAGGCTAATGTGTAGAACCCGCTAAACTTTGCAGGTGACATGTCCTGAATGCAAGTGCAACTTAAAGGGGCACTGACACCCCAAAGGCCGTATTTTTTTTATTGTCTAAAACGATGCAAGTTGTAGTCATAAACACGCAAAAAAAAAAACCGCATCGCGTAAAAAAAAATTTTTTGCGCGCACGCGCCCCTTTTTATTTTTGGAGTTTGATTCTCCCGTCTCCTCGCTTCTTTTGATTTGTGACGTCAAGAATCATGAAATTTAGAAGCTTTGTAGGCGACATCTCTATAACATTTAATAACGGAAATCCTAAAACGTTTTTTAACGCAATTGCGAACGCACTACAGCCCTTCTTTTTGAAATGCCAAAACTTGGGAGTTTGTTGTGGTGCCGTCTCCTGGATTTGTATCCTCCCACGGAAAACAGGCGACACCGCTCAAAACCAGTCCGCCGGCGCTGGCTCCTTTCCTCCTCCCTTTGGGTCGCCATGGCAACAGCAGGGAGTCGTGAAAAAAAGTGGACTCTCAGGACTCCGCAATATTTGACGTCAACGCACCGGCGCGGATCGCGCGGGAACTTCGAATTTGGCATTTGGAAATTTTTTTTTTTACTTCACAAATACTGAATTCCCAAATTTCAAATTTTGAGGGTAATGTACCGGCATCGTTATCAATCGTTTCGGAAATTTAAAAAAATATGATTTTGATGTGTCAGTGCCCCTTTAAGGGAAATGCATCACATGACGGAGCATATCAGTTCATGTTTAGCCTTGACTAAGGAGGACTCGGCTATCCACGACCTGAAGCTGTCTGGTTGTGCAAGCTCGTCTGCACGTTTGTCGAGAGGGCTCTACAGTCGGCAGAGATTCATGGTTGTAGAAGGATTTGCAAGGTCCTCTCGAGTGCTGTGCTTCCACACCTTATGGACTGCCTGCTGATGTGGTGTGTTAACTGCCGAGACCCCTACCACAGCAAAGAGCTCTGCGAGCTCTTTCTCAGAAAACTCCTCAAACCTGTTTTGGCAAGCTGGGCTGGTGACCTAAACAGCCCACTAGAGAATATATTGAGGCTTTCGCGGAAGCCTCTTTCTTGAAAGGTACTCCGCTTGTGAACTGTATGACTTCCTTGGTCTGTTTTTTGTGAACAATGAAGTTTATATTGCTGAAGTTATGCACGCGGAATGCGACTTTATATTGTCCTTCACAGATGAATAAATGGCACAGCTCGCCCGTGCTCGAGCGTCGGTTAAAACTGGAAATCATACGGCCTAGCTATATCCAACTATAACTCCTATATTACAGTGGTAATAGAAACGGGGCAACAGTCACAGGAACAAGAAAACAACAATTCGCCAATACTGCCAGCAGAATGCAGCTCTAGCGCGCAGCCTGCAGCTGAGTGAGCTTTTCGCAGAAAGAATCATGTGCTTTTATTCTACACAGATTTGTCACATCAGTCATGCAATCTGGCACTCGTTTCAATTAAAACTTCCGGCTTCACGAAAAAAAAAAAAAAATCTAAATAGCCACACCGGACCGGGCGTACCGCTCCTCTTTCACTACATTTCATCTTAGCTTAGCATGGACTAACCGCGAACGCTGTGCTAGCGCGAGCGGCTAGCCTTTACTGCCTTGACTGGAGCACTCGCTGCACAAGCGCTCATGCAGCAAGCCGAGGCTTCCTTCGAAGCAACTATCTCACACTTTTAGCACGCACGGCTAACAAGTACATACTAACGTGAAACGAAGTATAGAGTTCCTCGATATGCTCCCCCGAAAGGAATTCTATGTTTCACCGATAACGAGTGCCACAGCTGGCGCTGTGGGGTGAAGTAGAACTATCGCTCTCACCAGCGGAGTGAGGCATACGGCAGACCGCTCCCAAGGGGAGTCCTAATCGAGTGGCCGTGAAACCTGTAAGCTGACCTTTTTATTGTTCCAGAGAAACTAAAGCCCCTTGATAAAATTCACGCTTCTTACAAGTACCGACAGCCACACCTGCCGACCATGAAGTTTGACTTGAAAGGTGGTTCTTAAAAGGGCAACTCCAGTCAAATTTCGATGTTAAGAAAACAATGCAGTCCTATGTCGCATCATCCGAAAAGCCTACACATAAAATATTACGACGCAATTTTGCCTAAAAATTTACTGAACCAACCAACGAAGTCGCAGTGGCTCCACGGTCACCAAACTTTGCCCCATCTAGTGGGCAACGTGCGGAGAAGCACAGTCATTCGTTGATTACGTAGCCAATGTTTCAGTGTCACATGATGTCCAGTAGTGAACGAACAGAACAATGTTGCCTGTTGCAGAAAAGGTTTCGGCTTTGCTTTGCGATTTTGCATGAGAACTATTTAGCTTTTCGGGAAGTGAATAACATAGAACCATTTATTAGTAGTTTTGACATGATAATCCCCCGTAATCCCAAATTTTCGTGAATGACCGAAGTTGCCCATTAAGCGGGATTTTCACAACTCCGAGGCGGCCGGCGGTTGCAATCATTGGACCCGATCTCACGCTCGAATGCCCTACGAAACTCTGCTGCAAAGCTTGTGTCTAATCATTTGGACGTTAGACCCTCCCAAAGTTGCCTCTTTTGGCCACCAGCCGCGCTCACAAGCAGCCAGTCAAGACGCCTCCTGTTCATTGCTTTGGGACTATTGTTGCGCAAACATGCAAGCCATGCACCACCATTTGCCTGCACGGGCTGCATGGGATATGGGCCTCGCGCGTAGCCTCAGATCCACAATACAAGGCGCAGGGGCTGTCGTTTCCCGTGATCAGTGACTGAAGCTCATTTTCAGGAGACTGCGCCCCTCATTTTACCTCCTGCAGCTCAAGCGTATGCAGTAGGCACTTTTTTACGATGGATATTAAAGAGGACCGGTCTAGACAAGCCTTCTTTAGCGTCCGTTTGAGTGAAGCCTTAGCATCCTGCAGAGGCTTCATTCAAAGCCCAGTTTTGTTCAGGCCTCCCTGTCATCCAAACTGGATCAGCCCATGTATGCTTCTACAGCCTCCTTTAGCGCTGCTTGACTGGCTGACGCACTTCAAGGTAGTGACGGGCGCCCAACGACAGGTAGAGTATGTAGTTACGAAACGCGAGCGTATGGCATGGCGAACACCTTTAACACTGCTTAGCAGACATCACAGCGGTTGTAACCCAGAGGACCCTGGCCATTGCAATTCCTCTTTACCGTCTGGTCCTTGGCCTCGACAATAAAAGCTTTCAGTACTCACCATTTCGATGTAGTGAAAGTTGGGTCATATCTACCGTCCCCTACATTTATTAACTTGTTGCTGATCACACACTACGAAATATGCGTTCCAAAAGTATTGGATTCACGCACATTGTGGTAGTCGGAATGCACGGCTGAAAAGCACTGTCTTCAATGTATCGGGAGGCGGCAACCCTGACAGTGATCATGCGAAGCAGGCACAACGGCGCCGAAGCACGAGGAAGCCAGAAATTGGGCAGGCATTGTCAGCATAAAGGAGGCCATGATTGGTGCCTTTGATGCTACTTGTAAAACGAAAAACAAATGCATTACAGGGCTTCAAAAGAGAGGTTGAATTAGGGCTCGTTTCTAACTAGGAAAAAAATATGCCACGACGAGTTATGCATTTGGAAGATGGAAGGTGACCATATAACATAAGCATCGCTCCTTTTGTTCGGGAACTGACCGTGTTCATTTGGCAGCGTCACCACGTTGACCTTGATGTTCCACACTTCCCAGGGAATGCTTTCTGTCGGCAAGAGCCAGTGACCGCGCTTCTTCTGGTAAAACTCCAGTGAGATCTGCACCATGCAAGAGAGGAAACGGGATCTTAGTAAATCTACAGCAGCATATTGGCACCAGTGACTTTAGGGAGGATTTCGTCACCTTCTGATCTTGCAAGCAAGCATGAAGCTCATGCCAGGCTATTATAACACATACTGGTCAAACAAAAACATTAGTGAGGGAAAAATATATTCATATCTGTGAAAGCGAGGATCACGGGGACACCTGTGCCGCTGCTTCTCGCTGACAACATTCCCAAGCACAACATTTAGAATCTTTTCTAGCAAGATAATGCAACATCTCATTACAGTCAAGAGCATTACCCATAACTGGACATCCATGTAGCTAATATTACATACAAAGAAATGAGCAGACTAAAACACTTCGCTGCTGCCAAGAAGCTGAAGGGAAGTGAAGAAAGACTAAGATAGAGGTTTCTTTTTTTTTCTCACCTGTCCTTGCCTTGGGCCATCAGCACTCCTGAGCTGTTCGCTGAAGGCAAGCACGTCCTTGCTGAGGTTCTGGTTAAGTTCGTCCGAAGCGCAACGCACCTATGGAACCAAAGAGAGATGTGGTGTCGTCCACGCTGTAGGCACAACTGACTTCGCTTAACATAGTGAGCCAATTGTATACACCCTTCCAATATTTACAAGTCCTCAGCCCAGCGTGCAATCTCCTTTGCTTAGCATGCACATGTTCATCTGCTTAGAAAACAAGCAAATCACGTGCAATGCGCACAAACACTTAAAACGGAACTGGCCAGGAGTCCTCTTTTGGAAAGTTCTATCATGACTAATTCGGGTGGTCATTTCCCAGCAAAATATTTTGCCCTATGTTCGGCAAGGGCGTCTGCGTGGTGAAAGGCTGGCGAGAGCGCGTTGTTCGGGTGGTACTACTCAGGTGTGTATCGGCAATTTACTGGTAAAATATATGCTCAAGCTCCAAAAGGTCGGGCAGCTGGTCTGCTAGACTATATTTAGCATTGTCATATCTGAATCGGAAAAAGGAACCAAACGAAATCATGCTCGACGATAGCGAGTTCAAGTAGAAAACAAGGCCATTGAGATTGACACCCCTTTGTGCTCCAAGAAGAAAAGGTAGAAACAAAAAACAAAGATAAACATAAAATATGCTAAAGGAAGCTCACACAAGGCCAGTTCGCTTTAGAAAACAATTCATCCACTGTAAAAAAAAAAAAAAAAAAAGAAATGACCGCATCTTCACGTGGTGATTGATGTTGATTGGGGTGAAGCTCTGGTGGTGCTGATGATACTGATTTTGTTCAGAGGAAGTGCTGATATTTTTTTTATTGCTCATAGGTAGTGCAGAGTTCCGGGTTGCGTTGGTATGGAATGTGTGGAATGGAATGTGGTTTTATACACATTTGAGCATTTGACCGCAGCGCCCTCTCGTCTATAAACGTTGAGCGGCTACATGCAACGTTTCATCCATGACATCCCCAGCTCTTGAGTTACTACCACATCTCAGAGCCCCCTACTAGTCCCACAGTCGTGGCCGAGCGGTTAAGGCGATGGACTAGAAATTCATTGGGGTCTCCCCGCACAGGTTTGAATCCTGTCGACTGCGCAAACATTTTTTCTTTTTTTAAGAAGACGAGTTGGCAATCGATGTGAGCACGGACGTTGGACAAGGCTAGACCCTAAGGAGCTTCGCCCCTAAAAGTATTGATAGTGCTGCAGCTTGAAACTTGAACGCGCATCACAATTTCCAAGGGGTGGACACAACGAAAGGAGTGAGGATTCATTAAAAGGTGATAACAAGAAAATAGAGTAAAAACAATGACGCTGGTAAGCCTTCTGGAAGCCTCATAAAATGGCAACAACTCTTCGAAAACCCAAACAAAATACACTGACGGTGCCTTGTGTTAGGATGGAGAGGGTCACGTGGTATGCCGCTGGCACGGTTTCGGTTGCCGGTGCCGCCGGCAAGGGTTTCATTTCATTCCATTTATTCATTTGGTCAGTTGCCGGTTTGCCGGCAACTGACCATCTGAATTCATCATTAGTTATTCCTTTTTTTTTTTTTTTCTGGCAACCATCATTAAACTCTATGGAGGACCGCAGAACACGCCACCAACCATCGAAGCCAATCCAATCCAATGCCATGTCATTGAAGTCAATCCAACATCTTCAGGAGAGGCGACGCCTCACGCGCAGTCACGTGGTACGTTCACAGAACTGGACTGGCTGGGATCATAGAGTTATTATAATGTACGCTAGAGGTTCAACTGGCGCTAGTGTCTATGCGACTTCCGGGAGGCAAATTGAAGCAGACAGCAACCAGTCCACTTTTGCGGTGCTCCTGTGCATTCCTATGGGAAAACGCGTGTAAAATTTGTCTCTTCGCCGGAAAATAACATAAATAACTTTTATTATTTCGGTTGTACCGGATAGTGCGTACATTTATTAACATTGTAAAAGTGTAATTGCTTTAATTACAGCACTTTTCTTTACCACTGAACGATGTTAAGCTTCGCTATATTTCAGGCCCAAACCTATGTTTCATGGCAGGTATGTAAAAACGAGCGACGATTCTAAGCAAACTAACGATCGAAAAGAATGTAGAGTGTGTTCAAGGTTCGCTAGCATTGCGGTGGCACTTATATATTGCTAATATGCCCGTCCTCTCGCTCTATGAAAATGACTCCTTCGTGCTTCTTTACAACGGTTAAAAAACATTTGAATATAAGAAATAAAGTATGTGGACTATGAAAGGTGTGCCTTTTTATTATTTCCTATGCCGGGCAGTTTTTATCGGGCACCTATTCTCTGACTTCTCCCTATTTGCAAAGATTTGGAGCGTGCACAGGCGTGCGGTTGATGATTGGAACCCAGAACATGCATCATTTGCACATATTCATGAGCAGAAAGAATAAAGCAGTACTTATTTATTGCAAAATTTATTTTGATCACCTGCATGCACAAGGAGTTACTTATCCAGTGTTACTGCATAGTTCTTGCCGCCTCTCTTGGTTTTCCACATGTCTTTCCCGTGTTCGCGCTAACAGTGTCCGACAGTGCACATAAATACATGTACGAAGCGGTATTAGCACCGCTTTTCATGCCACGAATTTCGAATAAAAACGCCGTAACTGACCAATTATTTTGTCTGCGTGACTGAGAAATGTTCCAATGTGCCAGTACGTACGAAATATTCGTGATATTTGCTCTTATAACCGAGCGCAGCGAGAAAATGCACTCGCTTTTTCCCATAGAAATGCATTACCGGAAGTCAATTTCGGACTGGTTGCTGTCTGCTTCAATTTGCAGCAGCACACTAGCGCCAGTTGAACCTCTAGCGTACATTATAATAACTCTATGGCTGGGATGGATCGCAGCCTCTGCTGCAGTCCACCGCAAGGTGAAACGGAGTACAAATTTTTCGACTTTTTTACAACTTTTACCTCGGTGGTTTTGGAGCTCCACTTTGTGAAGGATTCACTGGACATCATTTGTTTTCTTATTATAAGGATAAAATACGAACAGACACTCACGTATGTGAAGTCGACGAAGTCACAGGTGACGTCTTCAAACCCAATCGTCCCGACGGAATAGCTGCCTTCCCGTTTGTAGTGAAACTGAAAATAAAAAAAAAAGGAAGAAAAACAGAAATATATATGCACATAAAAAAGAAAGAAAGAAAAGGAGCCGAGGTCAAGGTTTGCGCTCGGCGAGATAAACCGATCGCGCCGATAGTGAAAGGATTGTTTGTTGCGCTCACCTTGCCTAAGGTCCGATGGAACAGCAGCGTGTGAAAGATTCCCGATACCGCTTCGTGAACTTGACGGCCCTCCAAAGACTGCAGGAACAAACAAAAGAAAAATGCGAGCGATCATGTTTGACTTCGGTGACGCCGTATGCGTGAAACGGCGCGCTGCAGTTCAAGAACACCAAACGCGTCACAGCAACTGTGTCACGGTGTCGTAACCAGTCGTAACCCTTCGTAGAACAGAATGACGCAACGCTCCGAGAAGCATATTTCGACCTAGTCATAACACGCCCCAAACTCGAGAATACTGGAGTGGCCCAGATACGAAGAGGACAAAGGCTCGAAGAGATCGTCCACCCAGGGAGTGCAGAAATTTTTGGTCGGAAGAGGCCACGACCAACAAAGCGAGATCAGCTGATTCTGCGCTTCCCTGCCCCATTCTGCGACCAGATCGCGATCCCGGGGTCACTTACTAGTTCAAAAACTTGGGACCTTGCGTTCATGTCGACTTCATAACAAAGGAAAAAATCGTGGAGGCCTACTGAGCGTTTCAGCTGTTATTGTGGCGCACTGCTACTTCTGCAGAGTCGCGGGAGAATCCCCATCCGAAATGATACACGTACTCTCGAAAACAGTTGTCTTCTGAAACAAAACAAAACACTAAAACAATGTTGCGCTAACGTTTGTTAACGTCTTCAATTTTTATCAAAGTTTGACTGTGAATATTATAGAGCGATTTATTATCTCGGGTTTTTCTTGAGCCCAAGACCGCTAGGTCGCTAGGTGGCTAGGTCACAAATGGCGGCTGATTTGAAGTCGTCGTCTCATGGTTTGGCTGGTCATCGGGTAATGTTTGACCTCGCTGTTGGTGCGAAGCTTTGGAATATTTTGGGTTTATGATTGTATCCAATTTATTTAGACGACAGTCCGTATCATCTTTGTGCTGTTTAGCAGCTTGTTGCTAAAGCATGAGTCTGAACCCGAAGCGTCGTAGGAACACACAACACAGAAAGGAGACAGGTAGGTGTTCTCGACCCATTATCCTCGGATCACTGGGCCAACTAGGCCGACTAGGCTTCCAAAGTCCCTCTTCGACACCAGAAACTTCCTAACGAAGCCTTTTCTGTTTACCCGTAGGTGACAGAAAGAAAATGAGTAAACGAAAAAGAGATAGTAGCGAACAGAAGAGTGTCACTGTCCGTTCTACGAAAGATCCCGAGACACCCGACATCCCCAGAAGCTGCCCGTTCCACAACTTCTCCGTCCTTGAAGTGGCGGAATTGAGGGGTTCTTTGCTGGGGTGGTACGATGAACACCAGCGCCAGCTGCCTTGGAGGGACATAGCCAAAGCAGACGGCGATCCCAACCAGAAAGCGTACGCCGTCTGGGTCTCGGAAATCATGCTGCAGCAAACGCGGGTCACCACTGTGATCGAGTACTACAAGCGCTGGATGAAGGTACGGTCAACTTTTAAAAGCAACTTGGTAAAGGGTCAAGGTCACGGTGCCTGTGAGCCAATCAGAGCGGTGGAGCGAGGCAGGTGAAAACGTAGCGAAGGAGTACACTAGTTCCGCGGAATGCCGTGACTGGCCTCGCTCTGGCGCTCTCTAAAATTGGCTACTGAACTCCATGTGAACAGCATCGCTGGACAGAATGTTCATGCTTTGGGGCAGTGAATTTACGAGAAATCGTCCGTTACACCATATCGTGTGTACGAGGAAATTTTTCCTACTTACTTGTGGCAGAAATGGCCCACTGTGGGGGACCTCGCCAGGGCAAGCATCGAAGAGGTGCTGCAAGCCTGGGCGGGCCTCGGCTACTACCAAAGAGCGAGGCGTCTTCACGAGGGAGCGCAGGTAAGAGTTAAATGCCCATCCTTTTACCAAATGAACAGTCATCTCATTTTATGTTTCATATTACCCCGAAATGAAAATAACGCTGCAGAGAAAAACAAACTGGTTGCGACACATTATGCATCACATAGTTTTATCGCTGTATATCGCCCATGGTGCCCGTGTTTTATAACTGCTAATAGCTGGAGCAATACATGCGTGTCAGTCGGTGGCGACAGTAAGGAATCATGTCGGTAACATGCCCGTTAAGTTGAAACCGGCATCGGGGAATAAATTTGTTTCGTGTGCTCCTACTTCCGCAGCATATCACTAAAGAGAGTGAGCAAGAAAACTGGTACCATAGTCTTTCACCTACCGTAAAATACCGCGCATCCACCCAGTCCACATTAAGCGTCCATTCCCAAATTTGTAAGATCTGAGGAAATACGCGCAGTACATTTATATGTAAATTTGTTGACCGGACAAGTGCCCATCCCCCATTCTATCGCGATTATTTCTAAATTTTGAGTGGGCGCTTTCCCGGTATTTTACGGTATGTCGTTTGCTACAAACAATTTCTATAATACTTTGCGGCGTCGGTAGAGGGCGCCGCCTGTTTTGTGAATGTCCTATTGAACCCAGGCTGTAAGAGCCTTGGAGCATAAGCTTTTGCTCCGCAGTACCACGGCTGCAGTGCCTAAACTCGCTTGGCCGTTAATATCCCACCCCCATACTACCGGTGCTCGTTGCCTTCCATGGTGCATGTGCACGCTCAAGGCTCGGGAGACTGAAGTGTTATGGAACGTGAGCAGCTCACCCTGAAGGTGGGACGACTGAAACTCCTTCCCGTCGACGATTGCTCGTGCCCAATCCAGAAAGTGGTGCGAGACCTCGGAGGCCTCTTCCCCAACACCCCCAAGCGCCTGGCCCGTGAAATTCCTGGCGTGGGATGCTACACCGCAGCAGCGGTTGCCTCCATCGCGTTTGGGCACCCTGCCGGAGCCGTGGACGGCAACGTCGCCAGGGTCTACTCTCGTATGCGGCTGCTGGGCGCCACCCTCGGCTCGTCGCCGTCCGAACGGGCGTTGTGGTACGTGCAGCCTTGCTCTTTGATTGGTGAATTTACCAATACCATTCCTGATACTCATATTTCGAAAGTGGTCCCAAAGCGGTAACAGATGAAGTTGCAGTTGCCAGTATGTTGTGCTGTTGCGGTCGTGGCGGTTGGTCAAAATTAATGCTGGCGGCAAAAAAAGGGAGAAGAAGCGATGCGGAGCATAAGTTTGTCTGCTTCTCGCACGTGGGTCGTGATGATGTGAGAACGCAGGGCACCGATTGGTTCTGATTGAAAAAAAAAATAGTGGGTAGACCCCAAGGCATCTAGGTTTGGGGTGTATCCACTATCCTTTCAATCAAAGCCTATCGGAACTCGGCGTCGTTCTGATGTCACTGCAAGCCCTGCGCAAAAAAGCAGACGGCTTGCTCTCTGAATTGGCTCGCTACGACGTGCCAGCTGCTACGATATAATTTGTTACCACGAAGGGACTACTTTTAATGCGCGGCCAGATTACGGAGCAAAACTGAGGGAGGCGAAGGGATGAGGCTGGGTGCGAGGGAAGGATTGTGTATGCGACGAAGCTCCACCCCCAGAGCTGCTCCTCGGTCTGAGGCAGACGACGTCTTGGTGTCCGGATCTTCGTTCGTTGCAACGCGTCTGGTAGTTGTTACTTGACAAAAGAAACACGCCCTTCGTGGTATTTCCTCACCCTTTTCATGCCGGTGCTTTCCAAAAGCCGTAGAAAACATAAGAGAGCCATTGCTCTGACTAGCAGACAACACTACCATTTGGCATTCGAATGCCACACCCTTATGCCACTGTTTCCTCCGCACGAGGAGCCAATGATGCTTATGTTCACTGGAGGGCGACAGTGCATAGACATAAAGGCAGCTAGCTTTTGTTTCTATTATCCTTCCAGTCGGAGCTTGGTCCCCCGGCATCACCTCACCACAAAAAGTGCCAAGCCCTTGTCTCCTTCTCTCCTTCCATTTCACTCCGTATGGGACGCAAAACAGTTGCAGTCAAAGATGTATTCTGGTCACTCTAGTCCCCGTGTTTGACTGCAAATGCACGTCTGGTGATCTTCTACCCTTACAGGGCTGCGGCCAACGAAGCGGTCTGCCCGGTTCGGCCCGGTGACTTCAACCAGGCCGTCATGGAGCTGGGAGCGGGGGTCTGCACTCCGAGGAGTCCCTCGTGCACTCAGTGCCCCGTGCGGAGCGTCTGCCTGTTGTACCAAACGGTAGGGCAACCGCTCCAAGCACAGCGTGGATTCAATGACGCATTAGCTCTTTGAAGGGATCGCATAAGGCTAACACTACGGCGCTTGCGCAGTAGTTGTATTGGCTTGCACCGAGATCTCGGCACATTCATGTCTTGGTGCCCTCACGAATACTGCGCTCGGCTTGAAATGTGGCTGCATTCAGTCACTGCCATTCAAACCAGTGGTGTGCGAGTAAGACTAGTGAGAGGTGTTCTAGCTAGCTCTACATTGTGAGAACATCCCATTTCTTAAGCCTCTAATAAACTTGGCTTTTTTGATCACAAAGTGAATTCCTCAATCTCTTATGTTGTAGGTAGTGCAGGGAAAGAACACATCTTACCATCTTGGCACAAGTTATTTTTCTGTCTTGTTTACTTACTTGGGATGTGTGAATAGCGGTTTGAATCGAATAGAACAGCGCCTTGATGTGGCTTTTTCTTGTGCTAGGAAGGTTAACCCTTTCCTGTCCATGAAGGAAATGCCTGCTCTGTGTGGCTTTATGTCACACTTTTTTTCCCGGGGAAACTGTTATGTTTACAATATGATGCCTTACATAGAAAGGAAGCTGAATAAATGGGCTTTTGAATGATGCAAACGTCAAAGCAGAAACTAGAATTGTCAAACACTTTTTTTGTTTTCAAGATCTGGTCTAATAAACATAGTAAAAATATAGCTGTATCTTAAAAAAAAAAGAAAAAAGCGAGATATCCAAAATGTTTCTAACATTTTAACAAAGCTCTCGGCAAAGATTAGAGTTCTAGCTCAAAAACGTTTTGTGCTACTACAAATCAACTCAAGCCCAATAGCATGACTGACATGCCATTGCGCTAGGCAGTTTTTTCAATGTGGCAAAGCATGGTTCGCCAACACCAAAACGTGACGATCCGGCTTCATTTTTCGACCCACTGCTGCTATTCGAGTCCGGAAAATCGACAAAGGATTCTTGAGAAGTGCCACGCACACGAGTGCGGGCCAGACCCGTCGCAGCAATCACGGCTTTTGGCAACAAGTGATTCATGCTCAACCAAGAAATCGCTGTCACATGGAAAGACAAAGAGAATAGCACATAAACCTTCTCATGGATAGTCTTCTAACTACCCATGAGAGGGAGCAGCAAGTGCAGGAGCTCTGCGGAAGTTTTGATTTGGGCCTCCACGTCCATCGATCACGGGCGAACAACGCTTTATGTGCGCATCCAGGAAAGAGTTGAGTAGGATGCAGTTCTATTTGATTCTAACCACTATTCACATACCCTTATTACTTACTGACTGCAGGAGACCGCAAAAAAGTCTATCGGACGGGAATCTGCACCTTTTGTTGCGGACATCGAGGCAGGTGAGACTTAAAAGCGGGACTTAGCAACATGGTCGTCTCAGATCCCAGCTTTATCATCCCTCGGCAACTTAGCCACATTGACTCGGCGTACTCTCCCTACACTAAACCTTTTCTCGCAGTACCTGGCTGTGGATTGTGCTTGCCCTCAAAGTACGGAAACACTGAGATGTGAGTTGGAGAGTTGGATTGCACAACTTCCTCCGCACTTCGGCACATAGAAAACTGGAATGGATGTTTCGATGAAGCGTTGCTAATGTTCACAGGGCGATGTGTGACGCAACAGTCTCAGTTATACCGCCTTGCATGAGAGTAGTTTACACCCTAAGCTAGACAAACCCTTCATATGTGTGCAAAAGCAACTGTTTACATGTAGCACCAGTTTATGAATGGGACCAAATTATTTATTTATTACCCTCAGGACTTGAGAGCATTACAAAAAAAAAAAAGCTCATCTGCTTTTCATTGTTACTGATCGTTGTATGCAGTGGCATAGGCATTTATATTTAGGGGGGGGGGGGGGTGGAAATGGGAAGCTGGGTGTGAAGAGTGGGTGGGGGACGGGGCTGCATCATATTGGAGTAGGTTTAGACCCTGAAACCCCCCCCTCCACCTACGCCACCGGTTTTACGGATGGTCCTTTGACCGGCCCACGTTCAATCTCCAGCCACAGTACTCACAAACGTTTTTTGACTCTCATGGTTCTCATCGGCCGAGGCAGATAGCTGGCTCACAATTCTGGAGGCTTTATTTACATCTTCGGCCCCCTGCCAATTACGAGAAACAAAAGTCGCATTCCGTTTGTCGGTTGCAGGGACGCAACGCAGCTGTACCCGCACAAGGCGGCTAAGAAAAAGCCCCGCCGAGAGACCCACGCGGTGTCGGTCCTCAGGTCAGGCGACCGGTACCTGCTGCTTCGCAAGACCGGTCAGGGTCGTCTGCTAGAGGGCCTCTGGGAGTTTCCCAACCGGCAGGTCGATCCTCAAGGCTTGGCAAAGAAGTCCCAAGACGAAGAACGTCGGGTTGTGTCGCAGATTAATGCCCAACTTCTGAACAGTGCGGGAGGCAAGAAGCGTGCGAGGCGTCTCGGAGAGGTCAGTCCTTTACGGCGGTAGTCGTATATGGCCCGTAACGTCAGCCGGTCGGTGGTGCGTGATTATTGTCGTGGTCGAGTGGGTTGCCATGGCGACGGCGGCTGAGAGAGTGGCTTGCCGTTGCAGAGAGAGGGGAGCGCAGCTGGGGCCCTAAACTCGTCAGACACAAAGTTGGAGCCCAAAGTTTATGGAGCGCGCCGATTGGACGCTTGTGGCAAAACGTGGTGTCATCGTCGGGCAAGTTCAGTCGGTGCGCTCCGTGAGCTTCGGCCCCAGCTTTGTATTTGATGAGTTTAGAGCCCCTGTTGTGACATCATCGCGCTGGAATGCAGAGCAGCACGTTGGTGGCAGCGCACACTTCACGTGGCTGGGAATGAATTTCACTGCACGTCCGGCGGCTTGTGGAGGCGAATTCTACATTATTTTAGGGAGCAGATTGAGTGTATAGTTTAATTGTGCTTCATCAAAGGTATATTTCACAGGCGGGTTTTACCTTGTAAAATTGCAAGGCATAGCTCCCTTTCTGTACAAAATAGAGCCGAAAAACTTGCCGGGGTTAACGGCGGACGGTGATGCAGACGACCGAGTCGAGTGGTGGGATTAGCTTCGGAAGGTGTAGCTGACCAGTGAAAGAGAGCAGACGACACGCAGACGAAGTCCGTCGGCAGCAAGAGTGCCGTCGTTATGCAACTGTGTCTGCTTTTATTTTTGTTACTTCGAGGTTTGCTAGCAGTTTGCATTTTAATAGACCACGGTCATTGCGGGCAGTCTCAATACTTTTAAAAGGTAACACCATCTCGCAATGTGCGCGAAAAGCTTGCCCCGCCACTCGACTCGGTTGCCTGTGCCGCAGTCCACCATTGACCTTGGTAAGTTCTTTGGCCCTATTTTGTACAGAAAGGGAGCTACGACTTGTAATTTTACAAGGTAAAACTAACCAGTGAAATAAACCTTTGACGAAAAATTTAAATTGCTACGTTCAGGCGCCTATTTTTGTGGCCCATTATAGATTCAGCCTCGGCATTTCGGTCATCTTATATATGAAGAGCAGGCTGCAGCGATGCAGTTCATCACACAGTCAGGCCAGCAAACACGATCTGGACGCAGAGGCCTGCAAGCAAAAGTGATCTAAGGCAGCGTGGAACAGTTCCGCAGCCACCGCCACCACTTCACTTGCAAGATACGACAATGAGCCTATGAAGTTTTCTTTAGAAGTTTCATCGTGGCCGTCATAGATGTTTTGACGACTCTGGACTTTTCCTAAACTTTGAAATTGTGTGTGTCACAGTGTGGAGCTATTGTCTTTGAAGATATTAGAAAAAATGTTTCTTAACTGCACACATTTGTTTTCAGGGCAGCTTTGAAGTACTACTGTTTGTATAATATCTCTCATGCCGTGTATGCAACTCTCCCTTTCTCCGCTTACATTGCCATCAGTCGCTCGGACTCAGTGATTTGCGGTCACATCACGAGTCACACCTTTTCTCTGTTATTTGTGCTCCTCCCCTTTGCAAACTGAGCGAGGTTTTAATAATATTACAACGATAAAAAAGTGTCGACATATGTTTGCAGGTGACTCACCTGTTTTCGCACATTCACGCCACGTACTGCGTTTACGAGACGACGCTAGACGAGGAGTGCGAGACGGAGGGCTCCTGGATGTCCGCCGCCGAAGTCGAGTCGTCGGGAGTCTCGACGGCGATGAAAAAGGTGCTGTCGCTGGCGGCCGGAAGAGCCATTGAGGTGAGCCTTGGTCCCGCTAGAGTCACTAAATTCGCTTAGAGCAGGGGTCTCCGAAGCCCAACCTTCGTGCCAGATCCTGCCCACGGAGGTGTTCCGACTGGCCCGCGGCAGGGTCCCGGCGCACAAATAAGCGCTCGTAAAGAAATGGGGCCAGAACCACACACCTACCGCGTAAGCTAAATTACCAGAAAACAGGGCCGGGCAGAGATACTCAAAAAGTATTTTGGAATAAAAATGCTGAGATACATGTAGCCAAGATGCAGGTGCTCGGACACCTTTCCTTCTATGTGACGGGATATTTGTTCAGTTTATGATAAGGTGTTCAGTTTATCATATGGTGAATTTCGGTGGTCGCCTCTCTTCTTTGGCCTTGCTTCAGCAGAGCGCCCCCTCCTCGCCGCCAGAGCTAACTCGGGATCCTTTTCAGCCGATCACAACTGATGGGTTCAAAGCGCTCTGACATTCTCAGAGCAGTCAAGGAAGTAACACTTCTTTACATTATTAATGCACTAAAAAAAAAAAAAAAGATTTTACAGTGTGCAGTACACGATCGAGCAAAATTTGCGCTCGCAATGTGATGAAATGACGGTTGTGACGTAAATTGTTCTATGCATCGGCACGTAAAAAGAAAATAGCAGTATGCAAATCGACTTTTGCAGAACGGAATGAAAGCCAATGTTTTGAAAGAGTTGTCAACTCATCGCATTATCGGCAGTGAACATGCTGCGATAGCAGTCATGCATACGACACAAGAGGAAAATATAAAATGGTTAATAAACCACATTTTTCTCACGGCAAAATATTGTGCATGCAGGATATAGCACATATCGCCATGGGACACAAATCACAGTGCATTAATGACAAATAATAAATCCTTTTCTTTCAACTCATTGATGGTGGAGACCGAGGGAAAAAGCTACCCACAGGCAGCTTGACGAGCCCTCGGCCCCCTTACAGTGGCAATAATGAAAATAATACAAACATTGCAGAGAAAGCATGTTACAACATTAAAACATCCAGAGATTTCTAAAACATGAACTTAGTTCCTCTTTCTGGAAAACAAACAATATCAGAAACAGAACGAAAACACTCCAAGACAGCTTTGTCAAAAGCCTAAAGAGTTTCTAAAAACACGTATCATAGTGCAGTTTCGACCACAAACATGCTACATCAAGCACCAAAAAAGCGAGTAAACAAAAACAAAAATATTCATTATATTCTGCTCTTCCTTTATTTTACAACACAAACCTTTGAACGTGAATGCACTTCTCCCAAACCTGAAAATTTCTTGAAGCGACCACAAAGCTGGGTAGAAATGTTGCGAGATTTGCGAGCTGTTCTTTGTCGGTTAGGCTCAGCGGATTCACCTCCGTGAGATGAACGATCTCGTGAAAGCACTGGGAATTTTCCCACGTTGACTTTTCCTGTTACCGTCCCAAACAAATGTCGTCCCATCCATTGTACTCCTCACACCGTCGAACGCACACGGACTTTGTCAAACCAGATATGAATCGCCGTTATGCCGGACCTTGCACACCACCTCAGACCACAGCCAACCACGTGATCCCCGTCCCAGTATTACGTGACGCCTGCGCCGCTCCGCACTTTGACGACTAGAAATGGAGTGCTAGGGAGCGCTCCGAGAAGGAGGGGCGCCCTCGGAAAGAACCAGCCGATCAGGCCACCGCACTCTCTTTCCTTACCCAATCTCGCGCGCTCTGGAGAGAGCGGTCGAGAGCGCTCAGAAAGGTCCACAAGAATTCACCAATAGAAAACCAACATTTAATTTTCTACAACAAATGTAACGAGATCCCCAAGCCCGGCAGAGTATCACGTTACAATGCGATACGTCGCAAATATATTTCAACACTCAAATACGAATACATTTTTCCAAGTATCTCAATACAGAGATACAGATACTCGAAAGTATATTTAAAATACAATCGCAACACATTTGCTTCGCGATACTGCCCAGCCCTGCCAGAAAATAAACGAGAGAACTGCCCATCATAAGGCGTGTCCTCTTGTCATATTATTCACTGGACATTGTCTTCACCAGCATCATCATTCTTAGTCGCAGTTTCTTGTCTAACTTCATACATTAAAATTCACATCTGTTCCCAAAAATATTGATTGTGCTCAGCGTCCCGTGTCGTATCTGCATATTGTCAGCACCCCCCCGCCCCGTTACATCATTCTCATTAAAATATACGTCCTGTGTGAATGTGCCATGTGCACTTTGATTTACGCCTAGTGAGTTTTCTGGGTCCCTATTATTGTGTAATGTAATAGTTTTTAGCTAAATACTAGACTGAAAAATAAACCAGATGTATTCATCCAACTTCCATTCTTATTTTCTTTTTAAATTTTACTCTAGCTTTAATTTTTATTTTTATTTAGTCATTGCTTACTTGTGATTATTTATTTAGTTTTTCCTCATTTATATTTACTTACTTCTTTTCGGGCCCTCTTTGCCCCTTAGCAAAAAAGTCTGAAGACCCCTGACTTAGGGTACCATTTTCCAGTTTTCTCCCGGGCGCCGCCATCTTGGTGCTGAATGCAAAGCGGGGACTGTTGGCGATCATTACGACGCGAAAATGTGAATTCCCGATCTTTAGATATGGCGTCAGAAAGCTCGGGCGATATTGTCTTAAGGCCCGTCCACACAGTTGCAGTTGCTTACGACCAAGTTCTTGCAATCTCCTACGTCGAGAAAACACGCCGATGTCATCTACGAGGCGACCCCGGAACTGCATTTCACTAGAGCGGCGGTTTCGCGGCATCTGCGTGATCAAATGGGCTTGCCATCTACGAGAAGTTTTCCGAGCCAAAAAAGAAAGAGTGATGCTCAAAAAAGAAAAACATAAAAATGCCAAGTGCTGTGTTTACTTGTAGATTTTGAAGGTGCTTTTTTTCGCACGGTTGTAAGCAGTTGCAAGTGTGTGAACCAGCCTTTACCCTGTTGCAGACTGTTTTAATGTTGACATCGCGACTTCCTACGGATGCCCAAAGGACTTCCGTGGGACCATACGTGTCTCATCTAGGAGGTCATTTCGGAGATTGCACAACTGTTCCTTCCCCCGTTTGTTTCTTCCCAGAAACCGAGGCAGCGATCCAAGTCGAGCGTTGACCCCAGACAGCAAAAGCTCAACTTCACATCTGTCGGGTCGAAGGCGTCGACATAAATAAATGCGCTTCTTTTTTGCGTGCGACCAACGAAGGTGACCGAACTGTTCACCTTTGGTGTCCGCTGTGCTAATGTTTGTCGCTTCTTCCGCCGTGCGTGGCTTGTAAGTGTGTTTCGATGCTCCCAGGATACACAAAATATTTTTTATGGTACTATTACAACATTTTGGTGAATTGTGTTGGTAAAAAATTTGTGATCCTCTTCTGTTTTGTGGATGATGACTGATTCCATGTGAGCATGTTCAGGAACAGACATTTTCTTTTTTTTTTTTTTGAGTAATGACACTGGTAGCATATGCAAGTGTGCTTTTTTTGTAGCACATGGGTCCTGTTCTTTTTGAAGAAAAGTCTGTTTGTATGGGTGTATTTTTTCTCCTTTTAATAATTTATATTGGCCTGTTTACCTTGATATTAGCAGTTTAGCTACGTTTGTGTGGACGTAATATTGTCATCGTGACATCCGGGCGGTGGCCGCGTGCGTTGCAAATGTTTCTACGCGAAACCGACGAAGCTTGCTTTCGACGAGTTGTGCCTTTTTTCTGCGGCGCTGTTCTTTCGTAAATTTTCACAACGCAAGTCTGACCGTTTTCGCATGTGTTTAAGAAACTTCTTCAGTGATTGACGACGAACGAGTAGAAAACTTGTCTTCAGCACGCCGCCACCAGCCTCTACAACGCTCGCAAAAACGCGATTTCGCTGCATGCAAGATGGCCGTCCGGTGGCCGCACTCGCGGAGCGGGGCAGCGTAGTGGTTCACTCTTTGGCAACGTTCTTTGGATTGCAGATCTTGTTCCCAATCATAGAGTTATTATAATGTACGCTAGAGGTTCAACTGGCGCAGTGTCTATGCGACTTCCATGACAGAAGTTGAAGCAGACAGCAACTGCTCTACTTTTGTGGATGTTCGCAGCCACCAAATATAATTAAAGTCGTGGGTCATGGAAGGTACACACAAACTATTAAAAAAAGAAAAGAAATATGATACCCATTTTCTTCTGACTTTCAAAAATCTGCAAAATACGGTGATTGACAAAAAGAAAGACATTTACAATTGTCTGCAATGCCGAATTAGAGAGCAGCTCTTGAGGAGGAGGAGGCGAGGGTATGCCCGTCTGATGTCACGTGTGACGTCATTATGGGAGACGTCCCATAATGCAACACGAGGTTGCACCGTATAGGCCGTGCGCTTCCCAGAAATTGCGTATTTCGTGGCGGTTTTGCTGTTTCCGGTGCGCCTTCTGAGTCACGTTAGCATGGTGCGGCTTCGGGCGGGCGGAGAGCATCTGCGCCAGACGGCGAAGAAACACGGACACGGAACTAGTGCCCTCGACCGATTGGCCGGAGAGGAGCGCCCTACAACGTCACAGCGCGTTTTCTTGCGTGTTCAGAAAAGTTGAAATCATCCGACATTCTTATGCGCGCCCGAAAGGCGCACGGAAGCAGCACGACGTCACGAAATACATAATTTCCGGGAGCCGCACAGCTTACGCGCGCAAGAAAACGTGTTCGTTTGGATGCGCTCTGAAAGACGGTCGCACAGCCACATGACTTCTGCCAACTCTCCCCTCCTCTGTATCTGCTTTCCAGTTTCAATTTCGATGTCGAGCTTTTGCGTTTTTTTTTTTTTACTTTATTAAATGATATATGTGACGCTGTAGCAAAATATTGATCGGGCGCAGTCTTCTGACAATAATAAATCGCGTGGCAAAAAAATTAAAAATAAAATTTGGGGGGGGGGGGGGGGGGGTGTTGGTGTCCCTTTAACTTCGCTATATTTCAGACCCAAACCTGTGTCTCACAGCAGCAGGTGTGTTAAAACAAGCGACGATTTTAAGCAAAATAACTGTCGAAAGGAATATAGTGTGTGTTCAAGGTTCGCCAGCATTCCGGTGACGCTACTATATTGCTAATATGCCAGTGTTCAAAACATTAAAAATGTAAGTTACAAACATTAAAAATGTAAGTAAAAATGTAAAACATTAAAAATATAAGTAAAATGTAGGTTTAGGTGAGGTGTCTTTTTTTTTTATTATTTTCTATGCCGGGCAGCTTTTATTGGGCACTTGTTTTTAAAGATTTCGAGCGTGCAGGTGATGTTTTGAACGTAGAACAAGCATCTTCACTCGGAGCAGAAAGAATATAGCGGTACTTACTTATTTTAAATCGGAATTGATTACGTGGCCTTCAATTTATTTTGATCGTACATGCACAGGGAGTTACTGATCCACTGTTATAGTTCTTGCCACACGGCAAGAACCCTTCGTTTGTTCTGCGCGTATTCATGCTCAAAAGCGCCGACGTCGTGTTCGTGCTAACAGTGTCCGACAATGCACATAGTGGCATGAAAGAAGCCGTTTTAGCACAGTTAATGCAATGAATCTGAAAGAAAGATGTTGAACTGACCAATTATTTTATTTGCCTGGCTGAGAACTGTTCCAAGCTACCTAGTGCGTACGAATTATTTGTGATATTTGCTCGTATAATCAAGCGCAGAGGAAAAATGCACTCACTTTTTCCAATAGAAATCCATTACCAGAAGTCCATTTTCGACTTGAATTTGGTTAAAAGTTTGAAGATTCGTCGAAGCGGTTCGACCGAGTCGAACCCCGAAAGTTCGACCTAAAAATTCGGTTCGACAGAAGTTCGCGAGACCCCTAATTGCAAGCAGTTTCGCGGTGTCAAACGAATGCCTTGGAGGCTCGCTGCAGCACCCGCTCGCCCGCTCGACGTGCAAGCCCGCCTTCCACTGACATCACGGCATTGAAATGCGCGGGTATATTTAATGTTGGCTTTGACATCATTTTCATAAAGAACAACAACAAAAAAAAAAAACATTTATTTCTTGCATGCGCTAGGTTTTATTAAAAGAAACGAAACAAGTTTAACGTCGGGGTAACCCTCAAGCTCAACTCGCTGTTTTTCGATCGAAATGAGTACCGGGCCAGCCGCCAGCGTTTGGCCTACGGGCCGGTGTCGCCTCAAAGAGCAGACGACAAGCAGAAACGTTTGAAAAAGCAGACGACAGTTCGAACGATCAGGCGGCCGTTTGAACTTGAAGACGCACTGAACGTAGTTTGCTGGTGGTCCGTACCACTTGACATGTTGGAACAAAACAAATAAATCGGGTGACCATGCTTCCCGCCCAAGCAATCGTGGTGCGACGGCGTCTGGTTTTCCTTTTTCACGGCACATACCCACGTTCTCGGACGAACCGAGCGCATGAAAACTGACATTTAAACCTTTCTCGACTCTTTTGGTACAGCCCCAGTCGCGGCGTTTTGACGAGAAGGCAGGTTTTTGTGTGATTCCTTTCAAAACAACGCAGGAATACACGTCTCACATGGGCACTTCCGCCCACAGCCCCGGACTGGAGGTGCGTCCGACGCGCCACCACCGCGCCGTGACGTAACAGAGATGTCGCTCCGATTAACCTTTTTACACATCTATTTAAGGTGCATACGACAGGAAAAAACAACACTCGTGTCGAACTTGAACGCGATAGATCTTAAACGCTGCGCGGAATGATGCAATGTAGGGAATCACAGTGAAACGACCTCTCTTTTTGACAACAGCTTGCGGAAGTTGTTGCTTGAGAATGAACCTCTCAAGGCTGGAACGAAGTAGGTCAGCAGGAAAGCCTGCTTTTCCCAACTGCTGCTGCATCTTGAAGCTACTTTCGGAGAAATGCGTGCACGACTTGGAAGATGGAGACTTGACAGGTGACCTTACTATGCCGTGATTAACTGACTTGGTGTGAGCGCTGGTGAAAGGGAGGTCTGGCTTCTCCGATCTCTGCTGGAAGGCCCAACGAAGACCCGAGGAATGAGGATGTAATCGTAAATCCAGGAATTGTAATCTTTCCAGGATTTTTCCGGGTAAAAGCTAGTCCCGCCGCTCTGTCTTTGAAAATTTCAAAGATGCTGTCAGCGGACACAGCGTCTGCTTAAATGACCAAGTAATCGTAAACGCTATGGTAACCCTGGAAGTACTTGTCCAACTGATCGTTATAATAGCCCTGTCAAAAAAAAAAAAAAAAATCACTAAGGTCAGGTGCAAGGCAAGAGCCTATACAAACTCACCTCTTTTGTCTGTAAATATTTAGGGATGGGCGAATATTCGGTTATTACGAATAGCCAATCGAATTCTGTTCTATTCGGCATTCGCTTCGAATCGAATTTAAGTATTCGACAATATAGAATTATTCGACCTTTCTAAATAGAGTCAAACTCGACTATATCGAACCCGTTTACATCGAATTATTTCTTATATGGAACATCGAACAAAACTGCAAGCTGGCTTTCCCCCAACGCGAGCGGTTGCATTGGGGGAAAGCCAACTTGCGAAACACACTAACTTTTTCTTTTTTTTCTGGTGGCCGCGTTGACCGTTTAAAAGAAAAGGAAAATGTCTTTTGCGGAGGAAGCGGAGAGAGAGTGCCATCAGTTTAATACCATCATTTGGTACTAAACTCCAATAAATTTCATACAAAAAGAGTTTTTTTTCCATTTGTTTTACGCAAAAACATGCTTTCTAAAAGCTCAAGTTGACCACAGTACAGACAAATGACAAAGAGTGGCGCTGTTGTCGTATTTAGCTCGGTCTCGGTGGACGCCAGTGGTCCAAGTTTCGACGGCGACTTTCCCAACTGAGTGTTCTAGTAACGTTGACTTGTGCCGTGATAAACAATGTAACATTGCAAGCTGCAAATTTGTTTAACAGAGACGCGAACGAAAACGACATCAACGCGCTGCATGCATGCCTGCTTTGACGTCAAGCCGCCACGGTGGCGCTGCTGTCGGCACAACGCGTTCGCAGACGCTCCACGTGAATCTCGTTTCTGCGCAAGCGCAGTGACCACATGCTGGTGTGAGCAAACGCGGACTTGTATGTGCATGTTACATAATAATAATAATAATGAGTTCGTTTAGCAACTAACTGCAAAACGGACTTCTGCCTGCTCGAAAAAGTGCTTCAAAGCGTATGTGACCAGTCACATCATGCATATTTCAAAAGAAATTACGTAATTGTTACGAGAGAAATATGCAATTC